GCTGCTTTTTCGCTATGACATTTTCGACTAATTCATTTTTAGAGAGTAAGTAATATAGTGATTTCTTCGTCACAGGACATCTTGCAGAATAACAGTGATTTAAATACAGTGCATGATAGAGAACATAAAAAACTAATGGCAACAAAATTAATAAATTCGGAAAATACTTTTAACATACCACCTAAAAAATATTAGAAATATATAAATCATCCTGTTTCAGCCTAAACATTATAAATGCTTCACAAACTAGAGATACCACGCAACAAACTATTTCTGAAGTCAGACCAAGGAATTAGTAGTTACCTTCAGAATCCAGAAAAGGGATGAGGAATCCGAGAAAGAAATATATGAATTATGATATTTACAAAAACGAAATAAAAAAAATTACCTAAAACAGCAATTTATCTTTAAAAAATATTTAACAATTTATGTTATTTGATGTAAAGTTGTAAAAATTGTGTCCAATAACTATAATCCATGTGTCCAATTACTATACTTTTTGCATGTTTTTATAATACTAATATAAAAAATTGAAATATTCTTATTTTTAATTAAACGTAAATAAAGTTTAAACAAACCAACTATCCTTTTTTTATATTTATAAGAAAAAACTAAAATCTTTAAAACAACGGCATATATAAATTATAATTAACTATCATTATATATATTTTTACGTTAAAATAGGTATATGGTATGTTGTATGAATTATGCTTAAAATTTTACAAGGAAATTCATTGAAAAAAATAAACTTTTTGTTTTTCCCTGTATAGGTACTGATCAATTTTCCAATTTTTTTAATACGTAGGAAAAAATTATTTTTCAGTACCTACATAACCATACTTTTAAATTTTCAAATTTCAAAATTAATAAGCGGTGCAAAAACCACAGAACAGCCCTTTTAATAAAACTAAATTTACCAAAGTGTATTTATATATAAAAGGCTTTTATATATAAATACACTTTGGTAAATTTAGTGGTGCAATATGCATCTGGTGCAAGTCGATTTTCTGTCAAGCATGTAGAAATTTATTGACATATAAATCAGACTATGTACTGATGTATTTCAAAGTGTCGTTATATTTACGTCCTCGAATAAATATTTTTGTCACATTTGTGTTACTAATATAATAGCATCACTTTTATGTCGCAAAGTAATAAAAAATGTATGATAGCTTACCTATAAATAACATCTAAAATAAGTTTTCCTTACTACTTAATAATAAAAATATTTTAAGTAGATACCTATTTTGTTTTTTAATAAAATAGAAAAAAAATGGTCTTAACTTGATCAAAATGATCAAAATAGAATGAAAATAAAAAATAAAGATTTAAAGTAAAACATAACTTTTTTAGAATATTTGGAATTTAGTTGTTTTCAATTATTGCGATTTTTAAAAAGCCATGTTATTAAAATTTAAAGCTTTTGCTATATACAAAAATCTAGATACCTGTTTTAATATTGTTATTTGCATTTATCAACATGCAAAGCTTGTACAATTTTCAAGTTATGATTTTTTTTTTAAATTGCACTCTAAACTTCCCAATTTTGCACTTAACTTATTTTCATGCTGAAATGCACTTGTACCCTTTTCCTACCCCTTCATTTATCATATTTATTATTTTTTATAAATATTTTATTTTACGAATATTTAATATTTACATGTGATTTTTTTGTGCCGTTGTTTAATATCATTAAGTGTGGTATCTCTAGTTTGTGAAGCATTTATAATGTTTAGGCCGGAACAGGATGATTTATATATCTAATATTTTTTCGGGTGGTTAAAAGTATTTTCCGTAATTTTGTTGCCATTAGTTTTTTATGTTCTCTATCATGCACTGTATTTAAATCACTGTTATTCTGCAAGATGTCCTGTGACGAAGAAATCACTATATTACTTGAATTAGTCAAAAATGTCATAGCGAAAAAGCAGCCACTAATAATTCTCGTCAACAGCAATTTGTATCCAGGACATATAGCAGTCAATTTCTATAAAATATTATTCGCTGAATCCGAAAATGTCGTCAAAAGTTTACATTTTTTACCAACCAGTAATTGGACACTGGGCATTTTACTGTTTGTTTTCATAATTATAATTAAAACGCATTCAAGTCACAATGTTTAAACCATGAGGAACACATTTATACCACACACTGATCTGTACACTTTTTAGAAATATTTTTTTATTGTAATTTAAAGAGAGCCCTGCTCTTAACAAAAAAACAAAAATCTTACCACCAAAGTAACGTGCGAACTTTTTTATCTTATATTGGACCCAAAATAAAGTAGTTCTATATTATTACCGACTGAGATAGTTATAATTGTATACAGTGTCATCTAATGATGTGACTTTAAGGTAACTATTCATAGAACTTGTTTTTACAGTACTAATGTTATTTGTTCAATAAGTATAAAGTGTCCAATAACTGTCTACTTTACCCTATGACGAAAATACGTCAAAATGTAGCAAACTCAAGAATTACAATGTAAGCACAATTTTCTTTGTTTGTTATGGAGGATTGACAACTTATGGTTATTAGCATTTTTTTATTTAATTTTTTGTTGTTACCTTGGTCCGGGGTTTGAACCATGTAAGGTCGAAAACTTAAAAAGGAGTTATTACGTATAATTAACTATATTTTAATCGAATTTAAAGGTTTTTAATTTTTAAATGCGTTTTTAGATGTTCATAGAGCGTCAATTGCGGAAATAACCCAATAATTTTTTTATTGCAAAATATATTAATTTTTTTATTTTTTACTTTCTTAAATAAAGCATAATAAACATAACGGTTTTTATTTTTTAAATGCGTTTTAGATGGTCCTAGAGCATTAATTGGGGAAATAATCAAAAAACTTTTTTATTGCAAAAAAATATTTATTTTTTTATTTTTTAATGTGTTAAATAAATATAATTAACAATATTTAAATAAAAAAAATTAGGCTCTTTATTTTTTAAATGCTCTTACTTTAAGAAATAAATAAACATAATTTGAATTTTAACATTTATTCCATTAATAATTAATTCCTTAACTTCTTCAAGTGTGAATTGATTTTCATCCAAATTTGGAAATCTTCTCTTTACATTTTCAGAAAATAGACTTACGTCTTTGCCACTATTTGAAAATAGTTCTGTTAAAAAAAAAGAACGCAGAAAGTACTCATTTTTAAAAATCTCAAAATCATAAATGAGCGAATATTGTTTTACCTTTAAAGATGCACAACAAGGGATTATTAATTAATTTATAAAATATATTTCCTTTAAGATACCTACAAAGCAAAGGATTATCTAATAATTTGTTATGAATATGTAATTAATTATTAATCCTATGGGATAAGTATTCTTTGTATATATTTTTTAATAATATTATAAAAAATTCAATATTTGTTGAAATATTTATAATAATTAATAAATTCACTAAAACTTATGTGGGTACGGAAATCTTGAGAGAATAAAAATTCATAACTTTTCCATATGTGCGTATATGCAGCTAATTTTTTGTGTTATTATGAAGTAAAGTTCATTGAACAACCACATGTAGATACATACCAACGTGGAAATCGGAGTTAAATGCCTATATGAATTTTTCCAGGTAAAAAATTACAGGGTTCCCAGCATTGTTTTGTACTTTTTTTTATGATTTTATGACAAATTTTTCAAATTTTATGACAAGAATTTATTATTTCTAAAGTTATTTAATAAAATAAATGTAATTTTTTAACGGTTTATTATATAAAAATAAATATTTCTGCTATAATATTTTTAATATATGTTACTTTAGTATTTTATTATAATAGGTATTATAATCTTAAAATAAATAAAACCACAAAGGTATAAAAATCTGAAATATTGGAGGCTCAAACAATGGTAAACATGGGTCTCAAAAAAGCAAAAAAAAATAGTATATATACCTATAGGTACTATTTTTTTTTTGCTTTTTTAGACCCATGTTAATCATTGTTTGAGCCTCCAATATTACAGATTTTTTAAGAGTAGTTATGTAGTTATTGTTAAGGTACTTTGATAATTTCTTATTTCCTTCAGAAATAATATTTCTTGTTATTTTTAACTCTGCTTCCTTACTTGCCAAAATAGTATCAATTTCTTCAAGTCCTTCTTTGTGCCTTCCTTAGTAAAGTAATATAGTATAAAAATAAATTTACCTTTCTCATTATTTATTTCAAATTTAAAATTCATTTCCTAACCTAACTTATTTTTCCTTCATAGTATGAAGTTCATACGTCAACAACCAAGACCATATTTAAAACACAAAACTATTTCGCGTTCATAATGACTTCATTATAACACCGCTTTTGGTTCTTTAATGAGGTAATTTATTCCACCCAAAATTTTGATTTTATAGGTTGGCTACTAGTAAAATAAAATATTGAATACATATAGGTTATAATATTTTTATGATTTGTTTTCTAGTACTTACGAGACTTTTCGTGCAATAAATTTTGTTTAACACCAAAGAAAATCATTTTTTCTTTTTTAAGATCCGCTTATTGTAAATACTTATTATTAACGACGCCATAGCGAAAGAATGTGATAATGTTTGAAAGGTTAATGACCTTTCAAACTTCAAACTGAGATACCAACTATGTAAAGTAAAATTCGACCAAATTAAATATAAGGTATAAAATTAATTTGTTTTATGAAATGTTTGCAAAACAGATAAAATAGCATAAAGAACTTATGTCATAAGACCTTTTGTCGCACTTGTCCATTATAAATTGTCCGCGTGCGACAAAATGACGTCTTATGACATTAGTTCTTTAATATACTATTATTGCGTTTTATTCTACAGGACCGGCTTTAAATTTTATTTAACAAAATTTCCATTTTATAAAAAAAAACAAAGGTGAGAAATTTGTTAAAAAATAATAAAATTTTATGATTTCTATGACAAAATGTGAATTTTATGACATTTTAGGACAATTTAACCAATTTTATGATATTTAAAAATTTTATGACAAACGGGAACCCTGAAATTAAAACAACCAACTTCTTAAACCAAAAATTTACTTTAATAATATAAAAACTAACATAAAATATACATACATATTAATTTGAAAAGTTAAAAGTTCAGAATAAACTTAGGTTCAATATTTCAAAGGTTTCACTCGTAATCGTTTCCCTCGTAATCGTTGCCCTCGTAATCGAGGTCCAGATCGTCGCAGATCCCCACCTCTTGAGCGTAAGTGACGCCCTCTAGGTAGCTCTTGTGGAAATCGTGCGCTTGCCGCGCGTCCGGAAAAGCGACCTTCAAGTTTTTCCACTGCAAGTCGGTCTCGTCCGCCCGCTCCACGGCCTTCCACACGCACTCGTTTCCGTTTTGCTAAAAAAGTGTCACGTTACGCATAAACCTAATGGGGTAGTTAAATTTTTTCTGACCTATACTTTTTATGGTTTTATTCAAGGAGTTTTGTAATTTTAAACATTCCTGCGAAATCGGAATTTCAATTGAGTTTACCGATTTCGAGATATTTACAAAAAAAATCTCCTAACTACGTCGCTAGGCTATTGACAACGTTGCCAGCTTTTTCTATGGTTGCCAGTGTGTTTAGTTTAAGATTCTTACGATAGATGGCGCCACGTTATAATATTTTAGTTTTAAAACCACCTGATCTATAATTTTAGTTGAGAAGAAGAAGAAGAATTGATTTTTTGACGTTTCTTTTTTCCGGGTTATGTTTTTTTAAATTTAGATTATTGAAAATCAATGTTATTGTTATGTTATTTGTAATTGATATTAGACAAGTGATTTATTAATAACGGACTCCAAAGCAGAGGAATCTTGTGGAATGGTTGGTTACATTGAACATTGGAGCTTTTAAACAAATAAAGTAAGTACCTATAATTATAATCATATTTTGTCGTAAATGCATTTCATTAGTATAATGCCTAGTTCTTTATATTCTTTTAGATATATCTTGGACTCTAAAATATCAAACAGTAATATGATACCTCGTAATAAGGATGATAGGTACTTAATGAATTTGGTGACCATCTTTCACTCAACTGACAGTGACAGTATTTGTACATAACCTCTTCGGGTATTTTCTGACATAACCGAATGAAATCATTAACAAGACAACTTGACAACAGGGTAATTTTCAACCAATAGAAATCTTAGAATGTTGGTCACATGGCGAGGTTTGTGACGTCATAAAAATTTATATTTTTTGTAAATATCTCGAAAACGGTAAACTCAATTGAAATTCTGATTTCACAGAAATGTTTAATATTACAAAACGCCTTGAATAAAACCATAAAAAGTATAGGTCAGAAAAAACTTATTGGGGGTTATATCTTGCCTCCATGTAGGTATTCGAACCGACTAGAGTCGTCGACAGGCACTCGCCGCTGTCGATGTCGACGAAGTTAACCTTGGCAGCGAACAGGTCGTTGTAATAGTAAACGCCTGCCATACCTTCGCCCACTTTCAACCACTGCCCAGCTTCGCTCTGCGTCCACAGCTGCAAATCGGTGGATTCGCTCTCATACATCACCGACCTAAGAAAATAATGTTTCCTAATCTCATGGTTGTACACAAGAGCTGGGAAAGTTACTTCTGAAAAGTATCTAGTTTCTTTTCTAAGATACTTTAAACAAAATAACTTAGTTAACTCTGGTAACTAGATACTTTGAGTTTAAAGTATCTTTAGTTACAAGATATTTCAAAAGGTATTTTTGCAAAAAAATATTTGAGCACGGGCTATAAATCTATAAAATATACACTCTAGCACAAGTATTGTTAGAGTTCCTGTTGTGTACAATTGGTATTGTAAATGTTGTATAAATAATTATTGTAAATGTAAATTAAAATAACTTTATTGGAAAAAGAAAGATGTCATATGTATACATACATATATATTATATAATACTAGACAACACTGTAATTAATAAACCCCCACCACAAAATATCCTACCGACTGCGCCATGAAGTAAATGATACCAGAGTAGGTTGAAGACTGATTTATTAAAATGACTAGCATGTAGGTATCTTGACTAGCATGGGTGGTAGGTGCATTTGTAGTGGGGATTTATTAATTGAGGGGCTTGAAAGTAAAACGGTTTAAGTGCACTTTTTTAAATAAGTGGTCTAAGTGCAGAATATCACACCTAAAGAATATTCTAACTTGGTGGTAAAATTATATAAGTACATTTTACATTCCCTGGCGCCATTTCTTATCGTCTTTAAAAACCTGTCAAAATATTTTAAAATATATCTTTGGTAAAACGATTTAAGTGCACCTTTTACTGCTATAGTTTATAAACATAGGCTATTAGCTATGCTGCTAAAGCGTTGACAAGTATTTTAACACATTTCAAGTGATTACGTGTTTTCACAGATATTTTTCAGTGTTAGTGCCTACTGACATTGATCCGACGTCGGAATAGAATCGGCCATAGGATGTCGGCCAGCAGACGTCGGACGTATGTTCGCACAAGCGATTCTGATTATGAATAATACTTTTTGTTCTAAAACTTTCCCAAATTTTAAAAAATAAAGTTTTGTTCTAGCACAGTAATTGCATTTAAATCATTTTACCACTAAATTTTGTCTTACATGCATGACGATTTAAGTACATTTCTGTATTAACAAATTAACAAAAAAGCTAAATTGAATAATCCTTTTTCTTTATAATCCTTTTTTGTCTTTAAACAAAACTAAAATATTCACACAGTTTTTTAAACTCTTTTCTAGAATTTTAAAAGTTAACTTTAAAGCCATTTATCTCAGAACTAACAAAAATGCACTTAAACCCTTTTACTTATAGGCCCCTCAATTAGTGTTGCCTAGTATTATGTATACTTATGACACCTGCAACACAAGTAAGAAAGCGTTAAAAGGCTGTTTTCTGGTCACAAATTTTTACTTCCCCCAACAAGATCAAAAATTAGAGGAACAATTATTTGTGAGAACAGAATTTTTGGAGAGAAACTTATTTTAAATATGAATTTTCCAGTTTTTCAATCGCAAGATCAGAAGAAAAATATAAAGTTAGCAAGCAAATCAAGAATAAAAGTAAAAAAAGAGAAAAAAAACCCTAAAATTGAAGAACCTGATTTGAAAAAAAGAATAGACAAAGTAATTTAATTACATGCCAAAAAAATTGTTCATTTTATAATTTTACTTATTTTACATGGTAAAAAAATTGGAACCGAAAAAAACCGTATGGGCCGAACAGAAATTTTTTTTTTGGAACCGTTACTGAACCCGAACCGAAATTTGTCGTTTCTCTCGGAACCGGACAGGAACCGTTATTTTATTTAGGTCCGGGTCCCTGCTTTTAAGTTTTAATAAAAACTATAAAATTATAAAAATTCAACAAGTTGTAGGTTAGGAAATTACTTTGAATCATTCTGAAATTCCCCAGATTTTCTCTAAGAAAGTACCTAAGTTAAACTGAAAAGTATCCAAGTTACTTTAAACAGTATCTTAGTTACTTTAAAGTATTTAAGTTACTTGAATGTATCTTAGTTACTTTACCAAGTAACTTAGATACTTTTTAAGATACAAGTTACAAGATACTTTTCCAAAGTATCTATAATAAAGTATCTAAGTTACTTTTAAGCAACTTTTTTTCAAGATACTCCCAGCTCTGCTTGTACAATATTATTCTTAGATAAATTATACGAATGAAGGGTCTCGGAAATTATCGAAAAAACACTTATAACTGAAAACTAAGCCAGATAAAATCAAATATTGTATTGTATTTTCTTAACCATTAACGAAACCCTAGCATTTAATTTCTTCAGATAGCTATAATAATAACGCTAATAAAATTAAAAGATACAAATGTTTCCAAAACGAAGCATTGCTACAAAAGCAAAGATTAAAAGAGGATGTGGATATTTTTCCTTCATTTTGGTTTTTTGGTACTGCAGTATGTTTCGTTTTGTCTTGTCCTTTGGTTGGGTTGATGATTTTTCCATTTATTTTGCACCAAAATGAAGGAAAAATATCCACATCCTCTTTAATTTGAAGAACACGAATTCCTTACCTTATTTGGTCCTCATCGTCTTCGTCGTCCTCATCATCGTCCTCGTCTTCCTCCTCGTCGCCGTAATCCTCCACGACGCCCCGATGAGAACCCTCTTGACCTCTTCCGCCGGCGGCGAGCTCCGCAACCGTGGTGGGAATCTGCGACAACTTCCTGTTGTTGATCTCGATCACCTTGCACACCGTCAAATCCATGGCCTCCTTGAACGTCTGCGCTAGCTCGGAGGTTTTAAAGCGCACCGCGAGTTTTTCCAATCTTGCCTCGTCCTCGACGTAATTGTAGCCGGCCCACATCCACGCCTTGTCGCTGGTGCTCATCGGCTGCAGGTCCAGATCAACTCTCACCAGCTGGTTGAGCACAACTTTGTGCACCTGCTCGCGGCGCAAAATCAAGCGGTAAGTCGCGTTTTCCGGGTGGTACAGAATCTTTATCTGGCCCACGCCGCGCTCCTTCCACTCTTTGGTGTCGGCGTTGTAGCGGTACAACTTGGCGCGTTCGTTGAATTTAATCTCCTCGGCTTCCTCGCCGGTCGACACTTCGATGGCTTCGGGCATCGGGATTATCGGTTCGTAGTGCGGATCGTATTCTTCCTCGTTGGTTTGGCTCTGCTCGGCCGCTTCTTCGGCTTCCTCGACCTCCTCGGCGTTCAGAGATTTGTTCTTGTTGCCCACCTTTTTGATGGTGGTGGCGCCGAAGACCGGGGCGCCGGCGCCGAGGAACGAGAATGGTTGGGCGGTACCGCCATCTAAACAAATGTTTTATGTCTAAATGCCTATCTTTAGGAACCTCGTAAGTAGTGGTTTCAATTAACGTCGTGCGAGAACTATAATAAGCAACTTAATATTAGACATTCTATATAAAATCGTAGTGTAAAATGACCTTAATTATATGGTTGACATTGTTTTAGTTTTTAGGTTAGTTTTAACTTGAGGCATTCTTTTTTTAGGGAACTAATACAGATTAATAATCGTTTTAAACGTTGTGTTTCTTACAGAGGCGCTTGTAAGACTAAAAGAACAACCGTTTTACTTCTCTTTTGGTAAAAATAAACCTTACTCATCAGGGCTGCCATTAAACTGTCGAATTTCAATTATAAGGTTTACCATCACCCACAAATTTAAATTTGATAGTTTGCTGACATCCCTGAAAGAATAAGGTTTAAAATGGTTGTTCTTAGTACTAAGACCTCATTTGAGACTTACAAGTGCTTCCGTAAGAAACACAACGTTAAAGCGATTTTTAATCTGTACAAACATAAAAATGGCCGCCGTTAGATTCTGTGCAGTGTTGAAGTGATTTTTAGTTTGCGCGAAACAAGATAAAACAGGGTTTGTTGTGTAGATTGTGATTATTACATATTCATTCAAATATCTCTAATTAAAAAATAATGTTAAAATTAATTATTTTAACTTATTTAAAAAAGTAAAGTATATGACCATCAACCTTGTATTAACTTATTTATTAAACCGCAAGTTAAAAAAATTTGTCCCACACAAAAAAATGAACATTTCTCCTGAACCTACAAAACCAAAAAACTGGCAGTGACAGTGAAAAAATATAGTAGATTATGACATAAGGAGTAGAAGTGACTATTTTTGTGGTGAGTACAGAGATTGACGGCCGAAGCGAAGCACAAAAAGAGCTTCTACCCCACAATCCACACAACAAGGTCTGTTCTATCTCATGCTAAAAATACTAAAAAACACTGCAACACTGTATAGAGTTTAACTATGAGAAACACAACGTTTAAAACGATTATTAATCTGTATAAACAGAGCACAAACCCAAAGCACAAAAATTGTAAACAACAAAAATGGCCGCCGTTAAACTGTGCAGTGTTGCAGTGATTTTTTGTATTTTTAGTACGATATAGAACAGACCCCAAATAATATATACATTTTTTTTTCAAGGGCGTAATATAAATAGGATAAGCAATATAATTATTTTATTTACTCATAACTCATGTGAGAAAATTATGACTAAAAGCTTTAGAAATTATTGATAAAAACTAAAAAAACTTGCCGATAAATATCCTAAACTAAAAATAAACACTGCTCTGTCAAAATGCTGCGCTTGAATTAATTTTGACGTACTGACATTTGTTTGGAGTTCCAACATTGACGACTCGTCTATCATCATAATATTATACTAATAAAACTAGTTGTTCTTTATTTCGTTCAATTAAGATTTAATAAATATTCACCAAATATTATTATAATATTATTGTTGAATCACCTATGGATTTACTTCTATCCCTAGGCTTTTTTGAGTTTTTTGTCTGCCGCTAATGAAAAAGACGTACTTCAACTATCTCTATACATGAATATAAGGTTGTATATCATGGCCGCTTGAAAAAAAAATACTTTTCTACTCCTATAACGGAATTCCTTAAAGTGTTACAGAATGAATTATGGTATCATCGGATAAGGAATGGTGGCGACATCTCTGTGTTTAAAGTCTGAAACACGTTTGGAATTGCATATTCATTCCTCTCTTAAAACCAAATTTTTCACTCGAGCGGAATATGCCGTATTCCAAACTTATTACAGAATTTACCATTATATAACCTTAGTAAGGGAACTATCGCTAAAAACTTCTATTGATAACTATCAAAATTCGAGTGTTTTTTAAACGCAATAAAATCACTCGTTTAAAGCAATCTAGAAAGTTTCCAGATTCTTGTAGAATTTTTACTGTGGAATCCTTAATAATAAGTCATAATTAAGGTTATAAAAACTCGAAGTTACCGAAAAAATGCAAAATAACCAGATGTATCTGGGAAGTTTTAAAGTTGTCTCATAGATGGAGCAAGTTATTAACTAGCTCCATCTATGAAACAATTGTTGGTAAATATGCATTTTTTTTGTTTTTTGACAAACTAAGGTTTTAACAGTTAAGTATCTTGAAAATTTCTTTAAGTAGAAATATTACTATCAGTAACAAAACCATTTTACTGATACTTATTGATATTTGTGCTTACTGATAGTTTTCCCATTGCTAAACCTTCACTGACAAATCTTTTTACATTTCACATAAAATGTTCGTGCACATGCGCAAAGGCGATTTTCAATCATAATTAGTGACAAGTTTTGAACTTTTTCCACCAATTGAAAAGTACTACAACTAATTTTTGTCTGTGAACAACATTGTGTATATTCATAAGACAAACTTTAACGTTAATTGAAACCACTGATTACGCGGTTCTGAATGAGGCTTCACATTCTAAACCATGCGAAACTCGACAGTTGCAATTTGAAATGGTGAAAGACAAAAACCGTATTCACCATCATTTAACATCTTAAATTAAAATCTTGATTGGAGAAAACCTACATATCTACATCATACATATTCATCGACTTACCCTCTTTTGCGGCGAACGCAGGCTTGGCTTCGGGGGCAGTGTTGGCCGCCAGAGTGGCAAAACTGACCTCGGACTTGCACTTGAGCACGACCTCGTCGCTCTCCTTCAACTTGGTGGTCTCGCCCGACACGGTAACAGCGCCGCCGAAAATGTTAGTGGCCGGCTTGGCAACAGCGGAAGACTGGAAGATGCTCGCGTTACTGCTGGTGGCGCTCGCGGCGTTGCCAAACAGGGCTTTGCTCTGCCCGAAGATGGACGTCGCCGAAGTCACGGAGGATAGAGACGGGGAACCGAACACGTCGGAGGAAGGAGTGCTACCGCCGCCGAAAATGCTGGTGTTGGATGGGGTAACGTTTGTACTGAAAATACTTCCGCCGGAAGCGCCGAATACTGGCGTGGCTGAAGCGGTTGAACCACCAAAGATCGACTTAGAACCGAAAATGCTCGGTGCACTAGGCGTTTGGAAAATATTGCCACTATTCTTCCCTAGAGTACTAGGCGTGGACAACAGACTCTTAAGGGACGAATTACTTTCAGTTTCGGCGGTATTTACAGCGGGAGACTTAGTCGCAAAACTGAAAAAACCCCCGGGCGTACTACTAGCAGTACTACCACCAAAAACACTAGCTGGAGCGCTAGAAGCCGTAGAAAAGGAAAATATCGACGGCGTAGTGGAAGTACTGCTAACCTGAGGGGTGATGCCGGTAAATTTGGTCGTGGCAGGGGTGTGAGATGCGAACTCGGTGCCCTTAAAGTACTCGTCGTCTTTGAGGCATTGCGCGCACGTGCAGTACTCGTTCTTTTTGCGGTACTGGAAGAAAGTGTAGGGCAGTTGAAGGCGTTTCGCCTCGCTTATTTCCTCGGGGTTAATCGGTTCGTCCAGTATTATAACGTCGTCGTCCGATTCGTTTGGAGTCGGTACTGAAATAAGTGTTTGTCTTAATGTTTTGCCGGCTGGAGTGTTCAAAAGATGTAATGCGGTAAAAGCAAGGCTCCCACGGCTAAATTACAATTTTTTTGTTATTGGATAATAGTTTGAAGATTAAAGTTTAGTACTTTTAGTTCATATATTTTATCCTACAAAATTATCGATTTAAATTTGTAAAGAGTCATCATGTAAAGAGTCAATTGGTAATTTTTAAATCAAAAATGTATCAACAATCATTTAAATAACTCTTTACAAATTTAAACCAAAAATTTAAATGCAATGTGAATATGTTGGTGTTAAAAATGTATCAATTTAAATTTGTTAAATTTCTCAAGGTCATTTAAATGATTTTAATCCAATAATTACCGCTTTAAAATTTAAAACTAACATTTAAATGTAAAGTGAGGATTTTTGTATTAAAAATTATCGACTCTTTTCAAATTTAAACCAATAATTTTGTAGAATAATATATTAAAACTACAATATTTAAAAAGCAATATTTTAAAACTAAACTTTTACATTTGCATTTTAAATTTAAAATATTTAACTTTTTATAGAAAAAGTTTTATATGTGTTTTTATTTTAAATGTATTGACACTACAAATACAACAAAATTTATTGACCAATTGTATCTAAATAATTTAAAAAAAAATTATTTAAAAATTTACAAAATTCTGTCCTGATAAATTATACTTCAGAAATTATTTTTATAAAAAAATGAAATTGGAAACAATATGAACTGTTGGTTAGTACCTAAATGTTATCTTTCAATACATGATAGTTAAAAGTAGTTTAAATTTATAAATGTAAACCCAAAATTTTTAGTTGGGAAAATTTAAAGCAATACAATTTTAAATTAAAAAATTATTTAATAAATGTTAAAATCGCATAATAGAAAAAAATATAAAGTTTGCATAATACAGCAAAAAACTCTTTTAGCTATCATTTAAAAGAAAATTAAAAATCCTTTTGTTTGTTGTTTTTTAAGATAAATGTAGTTGTGATATATCTTTTTTTTTTTAATTTAATAAATTAGAATCTAAAAAAATATTTTTTAAATTACTTTTAAAAAAATAAATTTTTTAGCAAAATTACTTAATTAAACGCATGTTGGCAATTTTATGAGTTTTAGGATGTGCGGGAGCCCTGCCATCTTAATGTTTAACTTAACAACTTTTCTCTACTACTACTTTTTACAAACAATTAGAGTTAAAGGCTGGTCATTAGTGGTTTCATTAATGTTTTAGTATTACTTACACATGCCCATTGCTTAAATTAATGCATTTATGTGATAGTTAGTGTTAGGTTGAATTAAAACGAATAACTTTATTAGGAACAATTTATTTATAACATTGCACATTGGTTAGTGATATTAGGTAATAACACAACAAACAAAAACAAAAAACTAAGTACTCAAGTCACAGCCATTAACACACCAATTATTTGTAAAAAAAATAGGAAAATAAAAATGTAGAAGAAATAATACGCCTTTTCAATAAAGTCTCAAAAAGTATTGTCTTATAATTGAGCCTTTAGGGAAAAAACACAGCCAAAAAGAAAGCCATAATAATATAAAAATAAAACTACATTATGTTAGTAGGTATAAAAACGTTTCACATAAAAAAATTGTAGTTAGTACCACCTATACCCTTAAAAAATTATAGATATTGGCACGTTATCACCAGTACTGATTCGACTAGAACACTAAGACTGATACCTCCGGTAGCAAAAAACAAACGCCGTTACAGTCGCCATGGCCAGCACGGGCACTAAATAGTTTACGCCCCGGGGATTCCCAACGACAAACTCACCTTTTTCGATGGAAACGTCTGCGCAGGCGCCGCCCAGCGCCTCGTCGACGGCGGCCTTGAATTCCGCGGCCAACTCGGCGCTCTTGAAGCGCAGGCAGAACTGGTCGCGGCTGATCTCGCCTTCCGAGTAGTCGGCAGCGTGGAACAGCCACGTCTTGTCGTCCTTGGGACGGTACTCGACGTCCTTGGTGAGCACGTGGTTCAGGCAGATCTTCATGATTTGCTCGCGACGCATCAAAACTCTTCAAAAAGAAGAAAACGTTTGACAGCCTTTCGTATTTGTTTTTAACATTCTAAAATATGTTTTCACCTTGCAATATTTGGTGATTTATTAGTACGTACAGTTAAGGAAAATAGTAATGCTACATTGTAATTGTTCGGAGACATTCGGGTTTTGGTAATAAAATTAAAATATTTATTCTTACTATGTTAATTAAAGCCATTAAAAATTTTAAACTAAAATGAATTTTGTGCTTATAAAAAGAAATTTACTTTTAATACGTTTATCAACATTTTAGTTTTCATTATTTGTAGAGCAAACCTGCAAAAACCGATAAATGTATGTTTACATTTTAAGAGGATATAACTAATTTTGGTAAACATTTATAACTTAACACAGCATTTTAAGTAAAAACCGAAACAGAGACAACCCAACAGGATCAACATTCCCTTTTAATAGTTATTAAACATTTGGGCAATCTGCTGTGCACATTTTTGGCCAATAAAGTTAAATCTCCATATTTGTTTTATGAAATAACTACCCAATACCAACTTTTAAATGTATAAAAATACAATAAAATATTAAAGAGGCATAAACTTATAATAATTGAAGCTTGGTCTTCCCAAAGGGTCCAAGTGCCGAAAATAAAATTGTGAGAAATCAAGAAAAATAGTAGATAAAATACTTACAAAAATAATATGAAGTTGGAATATTTTTTAAGTCGTTTTGCATGGCACATAGACTATTTTTAAATAATAGTTTAATATTTGACCACATTGGGTCCAAACCCTTTGGGAATACCATGATAATTATTAATGTTATTATTTACCACATACCCATGTATGTTTATTTGTTTTATAGTTTTATGTGTATGTTATAGTTTTATAGGTATATTAACTTTTTATTATAATTATAACAAAAGTTTTTTGATTAATTATTATATTTAATTTAAAAATATACCAAATATAAAAATTCTAAATATTTTTTTATTTTAATACATAAACGTGCAACAAGTAATAAAATGTGTTTTTTATTCCTATGATGTAGAATAGTGTATGCTAGTTCTCAAACATGTAAAGTTAGTTTTAAAAAACTACAACTTAATTATATTATTTTTATCCTAAAAAGTTATTTTTAAAAGTTTTTTGTAGAATAAATGTATAAATTTTATAAAACTATAAAAAAGTATTTAAAAAAACTATTTATAATTATTATTAATTAGGTATTAATTATGAATAAGTAATTAATTCATGATTACTAATTAATTTAAGACAATCATTATGCTTGGTAATGATACTGTACTGTATACTGTACTCTATAAAAGTGAAACAGTGAAATTTTTACTATTTCCGTCAGTGAGTTATTATTCACTGTAAAATTAGGGTTTTTCAATATAAATTAGTGAAATTTTAACTTCTCCAAATTAGTGTTTTTTATTATCTCTACTTTTCCGGAACTCTCGACATAAAATGGTGAAATTTTAACTTTTTTTAACTAAACCTATTTCACTAATTTGTACAGAGTAATTTCCACTAAATAAATTAGTGCAAAGAAATCGCTACATGAAAAAGTGAGTATTCACTAATTGCTAGTGGTATACTTATCACTGTGGCAAATAGTTAATATGCACTGTCAATCAGTAAAAATCCACTGTTTCATTTTTAGAGAGTATACAGTAAATTAATTAGTATACCAAAGATCGCCGCAATTTATGATTAATGAAAGATAAAAACCTCAAATATTGGCTTACAGCACCTCTCAGGCAAGCTTTCGTAAACATACGTTTTATGTCCACCAAACAGCGAATTTTGGAAACATATGTAGTTCATGAACATGCTTGTTCAATGAAAGGTAATAAATAAAAACTTACCTCAACTTTCCGTTATCCGTTCTCTTCAAAATCTTGAGGTCGCCGATGCCTCTCTCCTTCCACTCGCCAGTCACGAACCTGTACAGTTTGGCGCGCTGCACGTACAGAGAATCCTCCTCTTCCTCGCCGGTTTTGGCGTCGATTTTGTCCGGCAAGGCGATCACCGGTTTGAAGTAGATATTGTCGGCCTCCTCTTCCGCGTAGCTGCCGTCTGAATCCTCGTCGCCCTGGCCCGAGCTGATGCGGCGGTTCGGCGAGCGAGGCGTGAACTCGAACTCGTGCTTGGTCGGCGAGCCGAACACGAACTTCCCGTCGTTTTTCTCTTCCGCTTTGTCGGCGGCAGGTGCGAACGTGAATTTACCGATCGGGGTTTGCTTTGTCGCTTCGGTTACCGCAGGCGAGAACGAGAAGGGGCTACCGGTTGCCGCGCCGAAAATATTAGGTTTCCCGAACGAAAACGACGGTTGTTGTTGCGGAGGCGTGCTAATGCTTGCTGCAGCAGGAGAAACTCCAAAGCTGAACTTCATCCCGCCAGTATCCAAACTTATACCCTTGCTGGCTTCCTTCTTGGGTACGGTATCGTCTTTGGGGCTCTCGCAGGAAGCGCAGTGCAAAACGCTGCCCTCGTTTCTCACGAAGCATTGCTGACACTCCCACGAGTCCACTTTAGGTTTGAAAGCGTCACCGAAACCTTTAGTCTCAGGCTTAACTGCAGGCAGATTTTGTCCGAATATCAACCCTGCCGCAGGGGTTTGCGCAGCCGGTTGCACCCCGAAACTGAACTTCTGACCGGGCGTATCCAAATTAATGCCTTTAATGGTGCTAGCGGTAGTGGCCGGTGCGGAACCGTCCTTTGGCGTTTCGCAGCTCAAACACTTCGCTTTACTCGCGTCGTTTCTCACGAAACACATCTGGCATTCCCAGGAGCCTTCGGCGGGTTTGAATTGCGCCCCCCACGAGCCTGCACCGGGGGTCTTGGCGGCACCAAACGAAAAATTGGAGCCCGACTCGCCGGAATCCTTAGTTTCTTTGACCGAATTGTTCTTCGGGGTTTCGCACGCCACGCAATGGTTATACTTCGCTTCGTTGGAGATGTAGCAATTTTTGCACTCCCAGTTTCCTTTCGGAGGCTTGTGTTTGTCCAGCAAACCCGGCGATTTGGACTCGACGGCGGGTTTGTGGTGCTTATTCGAGATCACGTTCGATTCGTTGAGAGACGCCTGCGCGGTGTGCAACGTCTTCAAAAACTGCCCCGCCAGCTCCTCCGATTTAAATCTCGCGGTGAAAGTCTCGGACGTCAGCTCTCCCTCGGAGAAATCCTTGGCGGACCAGAACACCGCCTTGGGATTCTGCTCGTTGACCTTGAAAATCATGTTTTTGAGCACCTGGTGGTTCAAGCACACCTTGTGCACTTGATCCCTTCGCATCACCAAACGCACGGTGTCCTCCTTGAGGATCTTTATGACGCCGACGCCGCGTTCCTTCCATTCTTTCGCGCCGTCCGCGGTCACGAGTTTGTAGAGCTTCGATCTGCTTTCGAACAGGACTTCGGCGTTTTCCTCGCCAGTTTTGACGTCCACTATTTCGGGCAGAGCGACTACGGGCGCGAATTCCGCGGTGGGAACGAAATCTTCCACGCGATCTTCGCTTTCCGAATCCTTTTTCTGCGGGGTTGTTGTGGTTGTCGTTGTTGTTGGTGAGAAGATCGGATCGGTTTTCAGGTTGCCGAACAAGTTACCACTCGTCGTTGTTTTAGCGTTTGCGAAGGAGAAGTTAGAGAAGGGACTCGGTTTAACCGGTTCCACGGTCGGCGTGGAAACCGCCACCGTGGTTATTGGCGCCACTTCTTTGGGTTTAAACGATGGGGTGCTGCTGAAGACGAAACCTCCGAGTGTTTCGGAAACAGCAGGTTTATTGCTTGTTGTCGCGAAGAGGTTCTTAGGCGCTGGTTTCGGTTTATCGGACAACCTCCCCTTGGCATCTTCGAAGGCGCTGTGGAACTTTTTAGCCTCCTCCGACGTCTTAAACCTGATGCAGAACTTTTCGACGGTCATTTCTCCATCGGTAAAGTCTTGCGCGGCCCATATGTACGCCCTATCGTTGTTCGCCATCGGCGACATGCTCATGTCCGCGGTGAGGAAATGATTGGCGCATATTTTGTGGACCTGATCTCTACGCATCAGCACCCTGATTTTGCCGGACTCCTTGTGCTGCAGGATCTTCACGTTGCCCACGCCGCGCTCCTTCCACTCCTTGTTGACGTGGCGGAAGAGTTTTGCGCGCTCGCAGAACAGCACGGTCTCGTTTTCTTCGCCCGTGGTCACCGGAACCTCGTCCGGCAGCGGTATGATCGGCTTGAAGTCCGGGCAGGGATCGTGCTCGTCGACGGAAGCGTTACTTTTGTTCGGGCTGAACGTCTTGTCTAAACTCTTCTCGATGCTCAAGCCCAGACTGACGTTCTTGGACGGCGTTTTGGCGGGCGACACGGCGGAAAACATCGGCGGCGCCACGTCGGACAGCATGCTCTGCGTGTCGACGATAGGGGGCGGTTTGCTCAGGATCGAGGGGGTGGCGGCGATTCCGCTGACGCTCGAAGGCAGCGAGATTTGGTAGTTGTGAGGTTGCTGCGGTTTGTTGCCCTTGATGTGCTGCGGCGGTATGGTCACGGATAGAACGGGCTGAGCTACCGGAGTCGTGTTGGTGGGTAAAGGATCGGACGAGGTTATGACCACATTAGCGGGGGCAGTTTTGGTACTATTCGCGTTCGAATTGGAAGGGGCTGAGGGGGTTTTAGATAGCGGAGACATAGATGGGAATGCTGCCTGCGTTGTGCTAGTGAACGTTGAAAGAATGGCTTTCGGCGGTTCTTTGACAAGATTCGTGGGTTGTTGGGGTATTTGCTGCGATAACCCTTGACCGGTCAGCATGCCGATACCCAAACTGCTCGATTGTTGCGCCATGAAACCCTGCAGTTGCTGATCCGGCACGAACGGTGCTTGCGGCATTAGAGCGCCGCCATAAGCGGCCGCCATGTAAGGAGCCATGGGCGGGTAAAGCCCTGGGTACAGGGCTCCGTAGGAAGTAGGAAGATTCCCAGGGTTCAAAGCGTTCGCTCCGGACAACCTCCCCTGATAATTTTGGTAGAGGTTCGGATTGTACTGCCCCAAGTTGGCGTTCAAACCGTAATCGACGCCGTAGTCGGGATCCAGCACGTAGAGATCCTCCTCTGAGAGTTGCGGGTTTTTACCGCCGGTATTATCTTTTTTCAAATCGTTGATGTCTTTACGCATCTCCTTCACGATATCCACGACGCTCTGCAAATCGTTCACCGAGTGCTTCAAGTCCGTCACCGTCGTCTTGATTTCCTTCAACTCCTCCATGCCGGACTTGATGCTCTTCAGCTCCTCCACCGTGGAGGTGAGGTTGTTGACGGCGTCCTTGAAGCTGCGCAGCTCTTCGAGCAGGCTTCTGTGCGAGTCCACCATCAATTTGTTCTGCTCCAGGATGCTGGTCACCGCCGTGTCTTTGGTGGCCGCCATTTGGCGCAGCTGAGCGTCCAATCTCTCGGGACTCGGACGGGCTTCTCTGCGGTTCAACTCCATCTTGTACGGGGTGGAGTGGTTGTTATGCGCGTCGTGTTTCGGAGTGTTGTGGTAGCTGTTGTGGTGAATGGAAAGGCTCGTCAAGTAGTGTTCACCGGCGCTATCAGACGAGACGTTTTCGTCCGACATGCCGTCGCACTCGTTTCTATTGGTGCAGTCCGGGTCGATTCTCGATAACAACCTCTCGATTTTTTCTATATCCGTCCCCAGTTGGGTGTTGAGCGGGTGCGATCTGTCCACCGACGGCTCTCTGAGCCGATCCAGCGTCAAGTACAAGCAATCTCTGGCTTTCGAGAGCAGTATGATGTTCTGACTGCGCATTTCCGACGTGAGGTTCTCTTTGTTCTGATTCGTCTTCTGGTCGGCCAGCAGTTTGTATATGTGCGACTGATGGTAGCTCGCGTACGGATCTTTGAGCGGCTCGAAGACGTGCAACGCCTTGTCGTACTCCTTCTTCTTCATAAGTTGCACGGCGGTGAACAACTTGCCTTTGTCTATGTAATTCGCGACTTCGCTCATCGTTAAATCTTTACTTTTGTACTCGAACAACCTGTTGGACGGGTATATTACCGCCTGGTTGTTCTTAATTTTTTCCAGCAGCGGTAAGGCCGTTTTCCAGTACAACTCGGCGCGGGCGTCGTTAAACTCAACCTCGGAATGTTTGGTGAGATTTTTGGATCGTTCTTCGAAAATATTCGCTAGTTTCACCAACATCTTGACGTCCAAACCGTGATGACCGACGCATCTCACGACCTCGATGCCTTTAATGAGCAGCAACCGGATTTCTCCGGTGTTGAAGGCGTGCTCGTTCTTGTACATTTTATAGGCGGCCGTTAGGAACTTTGATTGGTTTAGAGTGCCCAGATTCTCCGTTATGTTCGCCGGCAAGACGCTCGGCATGTCGTTGCTGTAGTACATCATTTTTTGGTTCGCGTCTCTCTTGGATTTGGCGCACAAGGCGGCGCAGTACACGAAAGCCTGCACGTCCAGAACGCTCAAAGACTCGGCCGCGCAGTTGTTGAGGTTTTTGACGGAGTAACTCAGACCTTCGAAGCACTTCAGCGCGACTTTGGGGAGGTCGTTGTTCAAGGAGATCCAGATGTGGTGGTGCAAAGAGTCCGGGTGGTTTAGCTGAGCGATTTCGTCGTAATGCAGTAGATCCGCGTGCTCGGGCATTTTTATCGTCGGCTCGAGCAAATCGGGGCTGCTCACGAAGTAACTGGTGTTCATTTTTTGGTGTTGATCTCTCATGACGAACAGTCTTTTAAATAGCTGTTCCCGCCACATGCCGGTGGAATATTGCGACGCCTTCTCCAGGATTATCGACTTTCTGTCTTTCATCGCGGCTAAGAGCACGTGGCCGCTCTGCGAGCACCTGTAAGCCGCTTGTTGATGCCATTTTCGCACCATTTTCCGCTTAGATTCCGGAGAGTTGTTCAGCCAAACGCCGTTAATGTCGGGGGGTTGAGAATGGTACGAAGCCAGCAGCAAAGGGAGCGTCACGTTCGAGACCTCCTTGAACTGCATGAAGTCCTTCTTGGCCTGCTTGAAGAGACACGTGGCCAGGTGGAAGTACAGCTGAGCGTGAAAATGGTTGAGAAAGAGCTGACTGAGTTGCCTGTCGGGGCAGGCGGAGATATTTTGCGAAGCTTTGCACAGAGTTTGATCGAAGTTGAAGAGGATCGTTAAGTACTCCGACGGACTTTTCATGTTCTCCACGTGGTCGTCGAGACTTAGAGCTGCAAGCCTGTCTAGAACGCTCACGGAGAGAAACCAAAACTCCCAAGTTATGGACGAACTATACGACAAATCCCGCTGGTACCTCACTAAAACCTCCGCGAACGCCTCGTACCACCCGAGGGAGTTCTGAAAAATCCCCACGTCTTTACCTTCCACATCGCTGGCGTGCTTGTACGCCTCTTTGGTCATGTTGTTGTGCAGGAAGTGCTTCAGCAGGCGCACGCGCAGGCCGACGTCGGTGGGGCGGTTCTCCAGCTCGTCCAGGAGCAGTTTGGAGACGTCGGACGGGTTCGCGTTTTCCGCGGTTATCAGGCGCTCTTTCAAATTGAAAACCGCCGAGTTGTGCGGGTCGAACGACTGAGCCAAGTCGCAGTAGTACCTGGCGCCGGCTTTGTCCATGTCTACGTCGTCGGATGCCAGCAATTCGCACACTGAAAATACGTCGCATTTTTTAATGTAAATTGTTTCGTTCGAGTCGTCTACAAGTTTAAAATACAAGGTGATTTTTGAGTTGAGGTATTTTTTGTTTAAGGTGTAGTCAATTTCAATTTGTCCAGAACCCACGGTTGGTTGAATTCGTCCAACTGGATTTAAACAAAACCCTACCTAGTTTAGAGTTTTTTGTGATATTTAACCTACATATAATGAGTAGTAGGTTACCTACTGTATACTTATTACTTTCTCTAAAAATGAATTAGTCAAAAATGACTAGTTACTAGTTATTATGGCTGCTTTTTTACTCATACCATGGTTAACCATTGGATACCATGGTATCCCCAAAATTTAACAGACAATTAATATGTAAAATTATCCCCTGAATCCGAAAATCCAAAAATTATGAAAGTAGAGCAGTTTTTGAGATATTTCGTTTTATACATTTTCAAATTCAGGGGAAAATTTAATATGGAAATTGACTGCTAAATGTTCGGTCATTTTTGAATAATTTATTTTTAGAGAGCTATAATTATAATAGTAGTAGATTATAAAAAATAAAATGCAGCAGCAAAATGTTAACTAATAAAAAAATAATAAATCATTAATGATTGTAGATGTGAATTGAATTATTAATAAAAATAATAATTTTAAGGAAGTTTAATTTTGTCCAATATTGTCCGATTATGTCCGTTTTTGTCCAATCTTGACGAAGTCATGGACGAAATAAACAAAAGTGGACAAAACCACAACAAAATGCTGTTTTGATAAAAGAGTTACTTGAAATATTTGTTTGTCTTTTGATTTCTATACTCTGTTCAAAAAATATCTCAACTTAAAAATTGGGTTTTTTTTTTAAGCAATATCGTTTTTCTATGTAACATGAAAATTTCTTTAAAAAAATTAGTAAAATTACTATTTATTAATTAATTAATTTTCATTGAACTAACACAGGAAATCGATTTATTTTCATTATTTCTTCCTATAATCTATGCAAGTTTTATTTTGCAAAATCCAACGAATTTTAATATCAAATCTAAATAACGATATTGCTTTTTTAAACTTTATAATAAAATACAAGGGAAAATGAATTATCTAAACATAATCACTAAATTAAAGTCTCTGAGCAAATTCAGTGACGTTAGGAAATGCGTTTGGGTAGTAAGATCACTTGAAAGTAGAAAAACAGTACAAGTCTAAAAGTTAAAATTTTGAGAAATTATTTTATAAAATCCGGTTTATAGTTAAATAAATTGTTTTGAGAATATTTTAAGTACTTCATAAAATATAATAATCATATTTTATAAAATGATTTAGAGGAGTCTCTGTACCTAAACCTGTAAAGTTTTTGGAGACGAATAAACTGATTTTATTATTATTATTATTATTAAATCATTTATATCTTCTCTCAAAAATGCATTTTAAACTTTTAAATTGATTTTAGAAAATGAGATGTCAAAATAAAAAAAAATGACTTAATCTCACCAACTTAATTATTGGTAACTTTGTTTTACCAGTTAAAGTAGAAATTTCCCCAAAATTTCGGAAAAACCTTGTACTATATCTTAAGTATAAAAAATTTATTTTTAGCATTTAAGTTTTAAAAACTATTTTCAAGATGAAGAAATCAAAAAATTTGAATTTTTGTAAAAAAAAAATAAAATTAAAGAAATTTAACACCCTTTAATTTGAAAAATATTCTATTTGAAGCACCCAACCGCACCTATTCGTGTTTAAAAAATAATTTTATATAAGTGAATAATCTCAAAACATTAAAATAACAAAAATGAAATTCAATTTTTAAACTACTCTTCAAAAATTTACCTTTTATTATTAAAAACTTTGATTTGTTCAGTATAATACTTTATATTACTAATATTTTTTATTCAAAAGTCTATTAAAATGAAATTTATAAATTAAAATTGTAAAAAAATAAAAAAAAAACTATAAACCTTACAAAACCAAAAATCGTTATAACATCGTTATTTCTGGGAGTTTTGAAAAAAAGTAAATTTTATATTCAAACACACACATTAATCTACATTTTCATCAAATTTCTTTGCTACTATGTTTTAAGTTACCATCACTATCTTTTGTTTTTATAATGGCTGCCATAGCTTATGTAGTTTGATATATAGTTTGATTCCTTGATTTTTTTTTATCTAACCATGCAAAATTTTAAATCTGGCAGCCGTAAGAAAAACAAAAGATGGTTTTGGTAACTTAAAATCCAGCAAAAAATGTCAGAAATCGGATATAAATGTAGATTAACCTATATAATTACATGTGAAACTTACTTTTTAAATTCCCAGTATAAAAATTGTGTTTTAATCAAATATTTTGACCTAATTACTCAACTTTTGTCTAATTTAAATTTAAATAAAAAAATACCAAACTTTTGTTCAATTTAAATTCAAATAAAAAATAAAAGTATACTTGGTGCAACCTGTATAAATAAATAATATCAAAACAAAAAAAAAATTAATTTTTAAATCCGCATTAAAAATATTTGTTGTAATTTTTTACACTTAAAATAACCCCCTACAATGGGATATTTAGAGCGCCATTTTTATTTAAATTAAGAAATACAAAAACAGCATATTTACTTCAGATTGGACTATTTCTCATAAAAAATATAAATAAACCATTTATTATTGTCTTTTATTCATATTTTTCACTTAATAACCCTTAAAATTTACATACTTTTTACCTTAAACACTCTAAATAATAACTACATAAGTATATCTTAAACTCTTATCTTATCTTGTTAAAAATTTAATAATTTAGTAGATAATTGCAAAATAAAAACAATATTGCAATAATCTTATCCAAAAAACAAAAAATACAAAACATAACCGTAACTCACCTTTAATAACAAGATTGTTTTGCTTTGAATCAAGCTGCAAACTTTTCCTGTAAGCTTCAAGGGCATTTTCCTTTTTCCCCAATTTTTCCAGAGCTTTTCCCAACAGCTGATGACCTTCGGCTGATTTTGGCTTTACACTCAAGTACAAGGAAATATAACGACAGGCATGTTCGTAATCACCCACTTGGAAATACAATTTGGCAAAGGAGAAGCATCTTAGATTTCTCTGCAATAAAGTATTACCACTGAGTGAGAAATACCAATATAATACAGGGAACTTATAATAGCAAATACATATAAATAAAAAAAAACGAACGTTATAACCTATAATTTGAAGGTTACAACAGGAATAAACATGGTTGCATAAATATATAGTTATTTATTGATATGACAAATTGATGGGATCAATAGTCAGCATTTTGTCTGCCTAATTTGATTCCCGCCAATATGACATTAGACCCATGCGTAGTAATAAGCTAAAAATAGACGATCAAAAACTACTGGCAAAAATTGTAACAATTCGCCGCATAATCAACAATTAGCAGCGTATTTTTTTGCGAATGCAGTTTTAAAGCCGGCACGCCGACTTTTGACTCACCTCTGTTTCGTTGTTGATCTTTTTCAGGGAGTTATCCACATGCCTGTCCACTTCGGATTTCGTTTTGAACATCGCAAATCACAATCAATAACAACATAAACTGAGACAACTTGAAATACACTTTGAGATTGTTGGAAAATACGGTTTTATTTCAGCGGTGTAACGGCAAAACCGTCACCACCATGTTCACTTTGAATGCGGTGTTGCAAGACGTCAAAGACGGCGCATGCGTGCAGGTGGCTGTCAAAAAGAATAAAAATTTAAAACACGTTTTAACGATTTAAGTACCTAATGTATTTAACAGGGCATTGTTAAGATGACGTTTGTTTGTAACAATAAGCAAAATAACTTTACAATTGGTTGGTTTTATGATAGTTTATTATAAATTAAAAGATTACCTATTAAGGCTTCCATACACTAAACATTTCAAGGCAACGTGACCCATTTATTTTAATCTATAAATCAGCATTTCCAGAAAAGCAAGCTCGATAGGTTTAAAAAATGCAGAATTTAAAATATAATTGGTAATATATCCAGACTCAATTTCTTTTTATTCAAGAAAAATCCCTTAAATTTTATAAAAAATATGAAACCAGCCTTAACAATTTTGCTTTAAAAGTTCGACGTTGCCACACAATTTAGATTTAGTACTCTATGGAAAAGTAAAAAACGGTTTTTTCAGATAGAAAGAAACAAAAAAACGGGTTTTTTGTTTTTTTATTGTTTTTTTCATAACAGCTACAATAATTGACAATAAAGGATATTCTGTAATCTTGCTTTTTTTCGTTCGCTTAAATTAAAGTCAGACCCACATTAAAGCCTGATTTATAGATTGCCTTCCTTCCTTCCGTAAAAGATGGACAATACGAAAATCGTAGTATTTATAGATTCCCGTAAGTATTATATAATAGTATGTATATTATGTATTAATAATATATTTACTGTTTATATAGTAATATATAGTATATATTTATTCTAAAGTTAATAATTTTGGGTTTTTAATACATATAAATTGATTTTTTTGTATTAAAAAAAGCATAATTTTAAACAGTATGAAGTTTGAGGCTCGAAATCTTTGAAACGGCTTGACTTACGCAAAATGCCAATCAGACCTTTTTTGTAGAGCATTAAATTTCCTATAAGGTGTAATTTTGTCTTACTTATGAAGTAGCTCGTTATCACGTTACAAAATTCCAAAGTTTGAAAAAAAATCCCATATTTAAATGGGAAATAGAAAATTACTAATAATTATTAAGAGCTCATATTTTCACAGGGTCGTTTTCTAGAGATACTCTGACGATTTTTCAATGTTCTTTGAAAAAAAAATAGTCGGTTTTTTTTTGAGACACTCTAAAATTTTAAAGACTTTAATTTCGCAATCTCTTAAAATCTTCATTTTAAAGATTTGACTTGTGATATTTCTTATAGAAAAATATTATTTTTGTACTTTTTTTCTGAAGTCAACAGTTTACTGTAGATTTTGCTAACATTTATATTTTTCTGCTTACCTGTTAATTTAAATTTGATTTTTGAGAAAAAGGCGCCAAAAACTATGCTTGATGGAATTAATAAAAGAAAGTTAACATTAAAAAAAAAATAATAAAAAAATTAATAAAAAAAACATAATTTATCAGGTACTGATTTAGAAAAGTTATAAATGTATTATGCAATCCAGATTACAGATAACAATTTTTTTTATACACTTTTTAGCAATTTTAAAGCACATTAATTACCAAAATAAAAAAATATGAGCGACAATACATTTCTTTCAATTTAAGAAAAATCCCTTACATTTCATAAAAAATGTGAAACCAGCCTTACCAATTTGCGCTTTAAGAGTGCGACGTTGCCACGAGATAAATTTTTAAGGAGGGTTGGTAAATAAAAAACACATTTTATAACTATTAATTAATTATTTATTTATTGATGTTTATTCATAAGTGAAAATATGAATAAGAATGAAACTTTCAGTACAATACAGAAAGTGAATAAAAATATGTGTAAAAATAATAAAAATCTTAAATTTCGCAATTTAATAGAAGGGATTTACTCGGCTTCTTCATCTTTCTGTTTGTCCTTCTTCTTCTTCTTTTTCTTTTCTTTTTTAGGGGTCTAAAACAAAAAAATTATTTATATGTTAATATTTTTGAAAATTTTTTCTTACTTCTTCGGCGACTTCAGAGGGAGCTTCAGCTTCAGCTTCACCATCCTCCTCAGTCTTCTTCCTCTTTTTCTTCTTTTGTTTTTCTTTTGGGCTAACTTCAGCCGAATCTGTGGGGGTTTCAGTGGACACACTTAGTTTGCGCTGAAAAAATATGGTTAGATACTTATGTGGATTGTAAAAAAAATATATTTTACTTTTTTGGTATCCTCTTCCTCTTCTGGTTCTTCTGTTGTCTCTTTTTTTACTCTGAAATTGCAGAAATAAAAAATATACAGTTCAATATGTGGGTGTAATAATTAGACTGTTCCAAAAAAATCAACTATTTTTTTTGTAAAGTATATCGAAAATATTGTCTGGGGTGACCAAAAAAAAATTATGGTGAAAGTTTGAGTCCATAATATCATCGCAATTTTATTTTTTTTTCCTCAGCAAGTTTTTGTCTCAGAACTCCCAAACCATTGAGTTTAACAAAATTGATTTAAGCATATTTTTTTAAGAAAATTAAATGTTCTACAAAAAAGGTTAAAATAAAATTTTCCGTCAGATAAACCGTTTCCTTAAAATCATGCCTTAAAAATTGGTATAGTTTTACATTTTGATCTTTTAACTTTGGAATTTTGTATTTCCTGTAAAAATCAGTACCCAGAAAAAAACGATGAATATTCTTATGGGAAATCAAATGCTTCAGAAAAAAAGCCTCTTAACATTTTTGGCTAAATTCACTCAATCAAAAGTTATTCAAGATTAAAGTTGAAGTCAAAGAAAATTCGTTTTTTCCTCTGCAGATTTATTTTTTATGGATGATAATTTGATTTTTTTCTTTATAAATGTGTATTACATAACTAATTAACAATTTCCAATAAAAAAACAACATGATTGAAAATAGCTTCTTCAAGCAAAAAAGTCTTATTTTTTTTTAAATATACACATTTAAAAAAAAGTAGCAATTAATAACTTAAAATTATTTTAATTAAAAAAAATCCTTTATTAAAAAAAATTAACTTAACATTGAATTAAATTAAACTGATTTAAGAAAATAAATGTAAACGTTAACTACAAAATAATGAATGATTTATAAAGTTAAATTACAAAAATATAATTTTATAAATAAATATGTTGAATATGTATTTTGCGGCCCGGTAGAATTTTCTTAATCAGCGTCGGAAATTTTTTTCTCGATATCAGTGTACGGATATTATCCTTAAAAATTTGGAAATTTTTGGAAAAATTGACTTTTGCATTTTTTTGTTTTACCCTTTGAATAAAAATTTAAAAATGAAAGTCAATTTTTCCGGAAATTTTAAAACCCTACATATGACGGGAAATTCCAATCAAACCTTTTTTATAGAGCATTCAATTTTCTTCAAAAAATAATAAAGTCAATTTTATTAAACTCAATGGTTTGGGAGTTCTGAGACAAAAACTTGCTGAGGAAAAAAAAATTAAAAATTGCGATGATAGACCTCTTAATATGGACTCAAACTTTCACCATATTTTTTTTTGTCGATTTTTTTGGCCCAGGCTAGTGTAATAATTTACCCGTAATCCACATAGCTGTTTATCCACTCCTTGGGCGTCTGATCGTTGGGTTTCCCGTGTTTATCCAGCTGCCCTTTGGCGATGAGCATTTTTTTCTTGCTGGCCCTCTGCCCCAACCCCCATTTCCTCGGATAAGTATCCCTCTCCATGATAACCCGCTTAATCTTTGCTACAACCCCGTGATCGCAGCTGGCGATCGTAGCCGTGGTCATCTGAGCGATAGCCAACGCAACAGCTTCGCCTTTTGTGGTTACGATTACAATCTCCTCGTTCAACTCTATGTTGTCTTCGTAGCGCAAAATACCGGGCAGCAAAATTTTGGCGCCGTAACAGACCGCGTTAACCGAACTATCTTTCATAATAATACGCTTGTGCTTGATGAGCAGACCTTCCAGAGGTCTGACCACTCTGCGCAGGTACGTTTCGTCTTTGTGGTTCTCGTACATCCACTGCGCGTCCAGGACGTCGTGCATCGTGGAGATCTGGTCCATTTCGGACGTGTGCCCCGAACGGACACGCCTCAGTTCCAACATCTGCCCGCCCACGGCCAAAACCAGGCCCAAGTGCACGCACATCGTACGGATGTACGAGCCGGCCTCGCATTTTACCCAGAACACCCCTAAAAGTCATAAATTAGACTATATACTAATTTTACCAATTCCCTTAAACACGCACAAAGGTTTGTGTATTGTAGTGAATTGATAAAATGAATATAACATAGTCTACTTTCTTAATAATTTTGTAATTTTTTTACATAGATCGTTTAAGGCTCATTACAAAATCTTGTTGGTTTATTTTTTAATACCTACTATTATACTATTAATAGTATATAGTATACTAGGTATACTAGACTGGGCCAAAAAAATCAACTATTTTTTTTTTTGAAAAGTATTATGCACTCAAACTTTCACAATAATTTTTTTGTCACCCCAAGCCATATTTTCGATATACTTTGCAAAAAAAATAGTCGATTTTTTTGGCACATTCCAATAAATATACCAGTCTTCTCTCTAATCTAACTTTTCCCGCAAAGTTAGGCTTAAGCTTTTCTTATGAGCCCAAAACGATTCATGCAAAAAATATCTATGGTAATTTTTTTCCAAAAACCGCATTTTTCGCATTCCAAAAATAAAGTGATTTCCTAATAAAGCTCGAAAAATACAAATTTAAATCAACTCAAAAAGTTTCGGTTTCAGCTGAAAATCGTGTTTCAGTCGGACACAAATTAAAAAAAAAGTTGCCGCATTATTTTGTTCGTATGTTGTTCTTAAGAATCAAACAAAAATCCGCGGTACCAGTAGGCATTCTGTATGCGTATGTGACACCCGATTGCAGTCAGTATTAAAATTGCCCGAGCGTTTTCTATTAATATGGGGTATTTTACGTAAAGCCCGCATTTTTAAAACTTTATCATTTTTTTTCAAGATATAAAAAAAGATTAATTTTTTTTCATAATGGTAGGGTGAAATTTTTGATTTTAAGCAATTTGAAAATGTTTAATAGTTTAAATAGCGTATTTTTAGTAAAAAAAATTACATAAAAAATTATATCTTGAAATCTATGCAAAATAATTTGTCTGGCTATTTAAAAAAATGATTTAATTTAGAGAACGCATTTGCTTTTTTCAGATTTTTTTCTTAAGAAATCCTCATAAAATTACAAACATTTTGAGATTCGGGTCGTTTTTTTCGTTTTAGACGCCAAAATCAAAAATTGTATCTGACCAGACCAGACAAAAAAATACTTGTGTCCATTTTTCATTTAAAAAAATGATAAGGTTTAAAATTGCCCGAGAGTTTTTTAAATATGGGGTATTTCACGTAAAACCCGCATTTTATAAACCTAAAAATACACGCATTTTTTTCGACTGGTTCAGGCTTAATAGACGAGTGAAATTTTTGATTTAAAAAAATACTAATATCTTTGCAAAATAATTTTTCTGTCTACTTTTCAAGAAAAAAATGATTTTATTGTATTATATATTTTTTCACATTTTGTTCTGCGTCCTTATAAAATTCCGAAAATTTTGAGATGTTAGACAAAAGAATACTTGTCTCTATTTTTCATAAAAAAAAATGATAAGGTTTAAAATTGCCCGAGAGTTTTTTAAATATGGGTTATTTCACGTAAAACCTGATTTTTCTAAACCTAAAAATACACGCATTTTTTCGATTGGTTCAGACTTAATAGACGATCGAAATTTTTGATTTAAAAAAATACTAAGATCTTTGCAAAATAATTTTTCTGTCTATTTTTAAGAAAAAAATGATTTTATTATATTATATATTTTTTTCACATTTATTTCTGCGTCCTTATAAAATTCCGAAAATTTTGAGATGTCAGACCGTTTTTTAGTATTTTTTTAGTTTTACAAGATTTTTATTATCATTACTTTCTCAAAATCTGAAATTTAAACTTTTTTCTTTTACCTTCAAAATTTAATGATAATAAATTTCCTTTCAATGTAGATAATATATAAAATGCGCACTAAAAACATGGTATATTAAAGTGCCTTTTTAACGTAAAAAAATTTGCCAAAAACATCACCAATTTTCAAAATGAACTCACCCATGTTTCTCTCCTCGTCATAATCGAAAAGTTTGCTATCGTAGACCGTCCTGACTCTCAGCTGCCTTTTCACGGCGGAAATCAAGGGCGGCCTTTGGAACAGCGCCCCCTTGAGCTTCTCCAAGCCCTGAATGACGTTGGAAACGCCCCCTTCGGGCGGCGAGTGCAACTTAAAGACGGCCACGTACTCTTTGCCGGCCGCCTGCTGCGACTTGACGAGACGCGTAGCACGCTCGATGCAGACGATCAGGCTGCCCGTGACTTTCGGGTCTAAGGTGCCCGAGTGGCCGGTCTTTTCCACCTTCAGGATGCGCTTGATCCAGGCGACCACCTCGTGCGAGCTCGGGTTGCTCGGCTTGTCGAGGTTGATGTAGCCGGATTTAACGTACTCCGAGATGTCCCGTTTGAGGGGTGAAGCCCCCGAAGGGATAGGTACATAGTGGTTGGTTCTTACGTTCAATCTGTCAAAGTGCTGAAAACCATTGATGATGTTATTTTATGTCAATGGTGTGAACGGAAATGCTTTATTTTAAAACCATTAAAAACATGTCAAATAACTACTAGAGTGATTCATTTCCGCAAAGTTTTTGTTTTCTTCGGTGCTCAAGCAAAATATTAATCTGCATATAGAAAAAAAAATTCTCAACAAGTTTGAGCTCTTAATATAAATTTTAAGTACTTACTATTTAAATTTAAAGTTTTACCGTTTAAAATGCATGTAAAAAATATATATATTTTTTCAAATTTCTAATGCTTACCCACCTTTGACAATATTGCAAATCGGTTTAATACACCTTATGGGGAATTTCACGCTCTTTAAAATTGCTTTTGAGTTTTTTTTGTAACTCGCATTGGTTTACCAGTAGGAGCCGTCAAAGGACAGTTTTTGAAAAAAATCGGTTTTTTTTATTTTTTAGAGCAAATCGCCAAAAGTAGTGAGAAAAAAGGGCTGATTCATAAAAAAAAAGTTATCCAACCAATATTTAATGAATTTACTGCCATTTTTATAACTGAAAACGTAAGAAATTGATAAATACCAACCCATAATGTTATTTAGATTGATTTTTTCTATTTATTATCATATTTCCCTAAGAAGTTTTTTAAATTTATTGATTTCTCACTTATAATGAATATGAAAACAACAGATAAATTCATAAAAAAAACAATAAGAAAATTGTAACGTGTATTTTGCAATTTTTTAACATTTCTGTCATATAGCAAAAAAATATAAATGAAGATTATTTAATTTTTTGAAGCGAAATTTGAAATATGTTACATAACCTTCTGTATATTCCGATTAAAGTTTTGTTGTTTTTTTATGAATTTATGTGTTGTTTTCATATTCATTATGAGTGAGAAATCATAATAATTTTAAAAAAGTTCTTAGTGTAGGGAAATATAATAATAATAAATAGAAATCAATCTAAATAACATTATGGGTTGGTATTTATCAATTTCTTACGTTTTCAGTTATAAAAATGGCAGTAAATTCATTAAATATTGGTTGGATAACTTTTTTTATGAATCAGCCCTTTTTTCTCACTATTTTTGGCGATTTGCTCTAAAAAATAAAAAAAAACGATTTTTTTCAAAAACTGTCCTTTGACGACTCCTACTGGTGAACTAATGCGAGTTACAAAAAAAAACTCAAAAGCAATTTTAAAGAGCGTGAAATTCCCCATAAGGTGTATTAAACCGATTTGCAATATTGTCAAAGGTGGGTAAGCATTAGAAATTTGAAAAAAAATATATATTGTTTACATGCATTTTAAACGGTAAAACTTTAAATTTAAATAGTAAGTACTTAAAATTTATATTAAGAGCTCAAACTTGTTGAGAATTATTTTTTCTATATGCAGATTAATATTTTGCTTGAGCACCGAAGAAAACAAAAACTTTGCGGAAATGAATCACCCTATTAATTATACTAAACAGGTACTTTAATTTTTACTTAAAAGTAATTCTAACTTTTAAATAGCAATATTTTGTAACAGAAACTTCATTCTTCCCTTAAATGGTTACTATAAAGTAATAAACATTTAAGTAAAACTTGGTTGCCCCCAATAAGACTTTGCAACTTTAAAAAAGGTGTTCTAAGTAAAAAAAAACTTTCAAGTAAATTTAATTTGTAGCAGTTACTTTCAGTTGCTACCTAAAGATTACATTGTAATTATTTTTACTTTGTAGTCCCTTTTCAAGTTAAAATCTCAAAACTGGAACATGAGTTAAAAACTACAAAGTTAATAACTTAAGAGTTATTATTTTAGTATTTGGAACGTTTATGGTACTAACCAAAACTACCGTAAAGTAATTTAAGGTGGAAAAAACTTTAAAGTAGCGAAAACTACTTCAAAGGAAAATGCTTCTTATCGGCCATTTTTTACCATACAGTACCACGTGGTAATGTAAATAATAAATTATTTTAATTGTTTGTAAATGGTTGTTTACTTTTTAATAAATTGTAATTTTGTTGGTAATAGACGTATTAATAATTAAATAAAAAATTAACAATAAATATTAAGATTTTTTTATTTAAAAACATTATTAAATAAATAATTTGTTTTTACTTAAATATTGATGAAGCGCATTTATTTAAAAAAAACTAAATTTATAAGTTCAACAGTAAAATTTAAAGGGTTTATAAATTTACCTGCCTAATTAAACACTTTAATAAACGACGACATTGAAAAGCCAAGTCCGTAGTGGTTCCATTTAAAAAAGGAGGGATAGTATATAATCTAAGTTTGACAAAGACAGTTAATATAGAAGTAAAAACAAATAAATAAAAGTAATTATAACGCTCTAGCAACGATATTGTAACGTTCTAGTAACGTTGCAGCTACGTTCCAAATAGTAGCAGGATTTATAGCTAGTGACATATTTGCTACCTTTTTGGAACTCAATCATTGTTCCCCACTTTAGTCGTAACTTAGTAATGAAAGAGTAATATAAAGAGACCGGCGACTGTCACAAAAAACTTTAAAGTTTCTTCAATAGTCCCATATACGTAACGAATACTTTAATTGTTGCTTGGGTACCGTTTTTTTTTGCTCAAACCTTGTCAGAAAATGGAAGTATAATCCAGCAAAATGATGTCATTGATAAAGAAATTGATCAGTTACAAGAGGCCGACGCTGTTTATGAATAGCCAGCCTTCTTATTATATTCTTAGTTTTACTTTAAGTTATTTCTTAGTCTTAAATTTTGTTCAAAATTTATATATTTTTTACGGCGTTATAATTAAACCTTTTTTAAATATAAACAATATTTTAGTTTTATACCCACTAAACTGTTACAAAAATAAACAAATGATTAATTTAGGATATTAAAAATAATTCATAAAAATATTTTGTAATGTTATTTTTCAATTGAGAAAAACCTTGGTAAAGCCATCATATTTTTCAGAAGTAAATATACATACATATGTAGTACATATTATGTACTTATTACTTATCAATAAAAAAATAAGTATTTATTTAAAGTTTAAACATTAAACTTTTGTTGTTTTCTTTTAATATAAATATTGAAATCTGTTTATATAGGGTGTCCTGAAAATGGCACACTTACAGTGTGAAAAAAGTTTCCTGTTTGTATAATGACAAAATTACTAAATAATACACAAAATATCAAAAAATAACTTGAGTGAAAGTTTTGCTAAAATTGTTGAATATTGAATATTTATTCAAACACAAATAGGTACATATTTTTAATATTAAAACGGCCTCTAGAAAGCTTTTTACTAACTCAAGGTTGAACAACAAAATCCAAATCATAATTATCGAACATGCTTGTAGTCAAATAAATTCCACAATAAATTAAAATGAGCTTACCTTTAATAACAAGGGCCATTGAGAGGTATCAAGCTTGGTGACTTTCTCTGACGGTTCAACTTTAAAATCGCCCTCCTTCTGAATCTCTCCCAATTTATCAACTTTGCATTTCTTCTTCTTTTTTTCTTTAACTAGCGTATCCCCTAAAACACCAGCAAATCAATTAACGGGGTGGTTTATCAACAATCCGCACTATTTTTTATGAATATGGCACTATATTTTATTGTTTATAACAATCCAAAACAATTATTACCGTGCTCGGACATCGTGGTCAATATACAACAAAACACGTGGATATTTGAAATTTATTTTAGGTTATGCTTGTTTTTCTCTCTTCTTCTTCCGCACCTAAAGGTGGCTACACACCAAACGTTAATTTTTAATTAATAGAAATTAAATTTAAATTTTAAGTATGCTAGCATTAATGCTTATGTATTAACGTTATTAAGTTTATCAATTACTTAAATCTGAAATTGATTAATCATAAATAAAATAATGGTTTTAATGTAGCTAATTTCACACCTAACTAATTGTAGGTTAAGTTGTCAAAAATCAAAAAATACCTCAGAAAAATGAATTTTATAATACAAAACGTTAAGTTGGGGCTTTTAACGGGTTCAGAAATACTAACAAGTACTTATTACTTAATTTTTCAACGTGATACTAATCATAAAGTTTTTAGATTCTGTCCGATATGCTAGTAAAAAAGCTAAAAGTAGTACAAGAAATTCGAGCCCCAAAACCAGACCAAAACACAGAGGTTGGAAGGTCCAAGATGGACACACAGTACATGCGGGGCACATTTTGGCAACACAGCGGAATTTAAGGTTTCATCCTGGATTAAACGTAACGTTACTTTCTATTTTCTACAACTACCTTTTCCTCTATATAAATGTTTCATTTTAGGTTGGTTTGGGTAAAAACGGTACCCTTTTTGCCATTATCCCTGGTAAGGTTTTGGTAACATGTGAAAAAGCCGATTTAAACTGGGAACACACTTGGGTTCAACGTTGCTATGGTCACAGACAAGGAACGGAATTTTACAAGAAATATTTTAATGTCATACCTGAACCTCAACACCAGAATTTTAAGCTGGTCGATCAAATTTAAACGGCCATTTTAGATTATGTAGTTAAATAAAGTTGTTTGTTATTTAATTTATTGTTTTATTAATTGTTTTTAAAAGTGTAAAATTAAAATACAATGGTGGTTTGTTCTGTGTTTATTAACTCATCCAGCTATAGCTTAAGCAATGATTAGAAAATTTAGTAGGTACCTATTTTAAAAACTCCATAACCAAAAAATTAATTTTTTTCATCGGTTTTTTCTTTCTGTTTAAACATGAAATTAGTTCACAGGTTAAACTTTAAACATTCAATTTGTGTAAATAAATCCAAAAGCACTTCCCTTAGTTAAGATATTCACAGTTTGAGCACATAACCTATTCCGTCATAAAGTTGCCAGATTTTGTTTAAATTTACCTTCATTACAAAAACGATATTCAACAATTAATAAAAACGCCAAATTGACAATTTGCATTGTTGATTTTGTCATTTTTGTAATCAAGCTAAATTTAAACAAAATCTAGCAACTCTTTTGACAGAATCTGGAAACGCTTGTTGCTACCAACCATAACATAATAAATTAAATTAGACAACCAGATTAGCCTAAAGTTCCCAGTCCTTGTTAAAATTATTGAGTAAAGGTTTATAAAATACAGAATTACATATTTTTAAATATAATTTATTTTCCTAAAAGCACATAGATGTAACATTAATTAATACATTGAGATCCAATATTATACCTAAGCTTTTTGGCACGGAATGTTGCATAATCACCCTATAGGTACTGTTAAACTACAAGCATGAAAACTACAAAAAAAGTTGTCTACACCTGTAGTTTCTTTTCGGTACCGAAAAAATCAAATCGAAAATCGCAGAAACTAAATTATGTACCAAAAATGCAATAAAGTCACACATGTTTTTTACTGAGTACAAAAATTGGAAAAATGGTTTTAAAATTGTTTTATTCAATTTTAATGTTTTGGGAATGTTTACAAGTGTAATACATATCACACAGAGTTTTAAAAAATGCAGACAGTATTGCCAGTTGGGGACAAAAAATTACCAACTTAGTTCCAGCGATAGATTTGGTTTTTAGTAAAAAACTTTTTACCACATATTTAGAGAACTATATCACAGTATAGAAAGAACTGTCTGTACAGCTCCTTTCTAAACTTTCACCAGGATTCTTAAGAATTTGAGGTTATTTTCAGAAAAAAACGTAAGCCATTTTGCTAAATAAACGCAAATATAATAATAATAATTAAATCGGTTTAAATTTGACAGATCGGCCTTTTCAAGCGCGCGAAACGCACGATTTACAAAAATGTTTTTGTAAAAAAAAAGTGAATCATTTATTATATATGTTTTGGCATCAAAAGAGTCAAAAATATTCTTCTTTTGTTAGATTATACATTAAATAAAAAAAACGACAGTCCTGAAGATTATTAAAATTATCTCCATTTATATAAAATATTTCTTGCGATTTTTTTTATTTAGTTTATAGAATTTCGTTGCAAAAAAATTACCTACAATTTTTTTCATAGAAACAGTTTTGTGATTTGTCCCGTCCGTACGCTTGAAATGGCCGAGATGTCAAATGTTTAACAAATAAAATTGGCTTTAAATTCTTCTTTGTGTTCGTCATAGATAAAGTATAGTATGCAACTCGTTTTATAAACTTCTCTAGATACTAGTTTTTATTAAACACTCGCTTGCAAGCTTAATAAGACTCGTAACTAAACTAACAATTTTTTTACAACTAATGTATATTTTTTCTTTACCTTTGTGAATTTTTTTTTAAATATTTTTCCGTTACACCAAAGGTATTCAGTATTTTAATGTATTACGTTAATTACATAACACCCTGTATACTATTAGGTTGGTATGTAAAAATAGCTTTCTATTTATATAATGCGCAAACGTGTAAAAGCGATATAGTTCTTTAAATATGTCGGTTTTATTCATAATAGTAATAATAATTTACACTTGTCTATAATTTTGACACAAAATTATTAATCATTAATATACTCCTATTAAATAATAATAAATTAAGAATAAATTGTTTTTTTTCTGGAATGTACACACATAAATTAATTAAATTAAATTGTTTGGAAAAAATAAAGACCCTGCGTTAACAAAATACAATAATTTTATTGTATTGAAGGTAATATGGGGCATTCCACACGAAATCGCCATTTGTGTTGCTCTTTAGAGCTACGCTATTCGGCAGTTTTGTATGGAATGGCCCATAGTTTGGACTAGAAATAATTACGTATAAAACAATATTAACAGTATTCGACTTGAGACTGATTTATAGATTGCCTTCCTCCCGTAAAAGATGAACAATACGAAAACCGTAGTTCATCTTTTACGGGAGGAAGGAAGTCAATCCATAAATCAGGCTTTAAACTTGTTAAGTAAACATTAATACCAACTTTTTTCTTAAAAATTAACATTTTACAACAAGACAATCGCGTGGTCTCTTTCAAGTCGTCTACGAGCTTTAAGTTGGACCTGACCCATAGGGTCAGCTGGAGGTGGTAAACCGCCGTTCAATGGGGCGGTCTCGTGGTAATAAACCTCAGTTTGACCGCAACTGTTTCCATATACCACGCTGTCGCTACCTCTAAAAAAATAATTCTTCCAAGTAAATAATCCGTCGGATGAAAGAAGATTGAAAAACATTAAGGGGCAAATAAGTTTTGTGATTTTGTTAAAAGAGAATATTACAATAAGAATATTTAACAGTTCAACGCGATTTTTCTCCCATGATAATTTTAATTTTTTGTATACATCCATTCCCAGATAGCACACAAAGTCTTAAAGATGTCTTTTGTATGTCTGATAAACGTCTTAAAGATATCTTCATTTAATGTTCTAAAGACATCTTTTAAATGCCTGATACCGCCGTTTTTTGTTTTTTTTATAAAATAGTTGTTTTAGAAACAACATTAATGTAGGATTTTAAGTTTTGACAACGATGATGGGTAGGGTAACTGAATAAATATATATCTGACATTCTTGTAGATTGATTATTTTTCCTACAATTAATAATATCCATTTGTAATGAAAACATTACAAACAAACATGTTTTTTTAAATTAAGGATTAAGACAATATAACCTTAAAATAACCCAGCGAAAGTTTTTAAATCAAATTACCCGCACATTTCCCATAATGCAATGAAATATGATCCTTATTCTGTTCTTTTCTATTTCACCAAGCCCTGATATGTCTGTCTCTTTTCAATTCTTAAATAACTCGTAACTAAATGCAGATTGCCGACGCCATTTTTGCTTCTTGTAAGTATGTTGAATTTGGGTGAATGCTATTACTAATCGTGGAGGTTTTTCTTTTTTATGTTCCCGTTCGACATTCAACAACTCAAGCAGTGGCGGCCCGTCAGGGGAGGCAGGTGAGGCAATGCCTCATCATAGAGAATCAAATTATTAAATATAATTTAAATATTTTACTTTCTATAATATAGTGTAAATTTTTAATATTTGGATTACATAAATTGTGAAATGGTCAATAAAATTGATTGATTTTATACGTGGAATACCCAGCAACATTTAAATTATTTGAATTTGAAACGACCGCAATTTAAACCAATATTTATAGCTAGATGATTGGCTCAGAAGCATGCCTGAACTAATTTAGACTCACGATTGGCGTTAGCCTTGTTGTCTCGTTCTATTACAATGCGATATCATAGTTGTCTCCTTCTCTCGTATTAGCATACGCGAGGCAGGCACGACTACATCCAAGGAAATAAACAGGTGTTGTGGCAACACTGTTGCGGAATTTTAGATAAATTATAACTTCACACGTTTTTCAAAATTCAATAATAAATGGTATTATTTTTCTTATAATAAATCGATTTAATCGAAATTATATTTCTATTCTAAAATAAACATATTTTAACACTATCGCCATCTTGTAGCCATCACAGTAACCAATAAAATAAATACAGATTCCTTCTTTAGGTTTGTTTTGGTTATAAAACTCTGAACTGTTTAAAGAACAAATCTGTGGTTATTTACGCAATATTTTGTTTATTCTTTTTCTATGAGTTGTCTATTTTATGATTCTTTTGTAAGTGGTTTATTCTGTGGGTTTAGTTAATTGAACTTGGTGATTTATGTGAATTTAGTCATTATGGATATTACGGTGAGAAATTGTACCGATATTGTTGACTTTCTTTTGAACTTTCCATTTAGTCGTCTTTCTTTCGATGATAAAATGTTTGTTAAGGAATTTGGTGTCCCTCGCCAGATTTAAGTAATCTATCAATCAATCCTAGTAAGCCTAGTCGTGCTTTTGTTAATACTTGGTTGGTTTTCGATTTTTTTGTGAATTTGGTGTCGCCAAGAAGTTTTTACTCTATTGATTTGAATTAATTGGCAGAAATAAATATGTGACAACTTTTTATTTTAAATAGAAGTATACGTTATTTATTATTAGCTACATTTTAATTACTTAATACCTTTGAAACGTTTTGGCGATGTAGAGATTCATAACCGAGACGTTTTAAATAGGTAGTCTTTAACGTCCTAAAGACGTCTTAACGACGTTTAGCAACGACTTAATAGTTCCGTTAAAACGACATCTTAAAGACGATGTGTTTTGTAACATTAGATATCTTAAAGACATCTTTAAGATATCTTTAAGATGTCTCTGTGCTATCTGGGAGTCTGTCACTGTCTTTTACCACCTTACTTACCGTAATACCATTGATTAATAACTCCTTCAATCAACGGTAATAAATTTAATAGTTTCGCTGTAAAAGAACTAAAAACACATATAAAAACGTCTTACCTTATGAATATATCCGTCAAACCGGGAGTCTCCTTGAAGTCCCTGTGCAGGGTGTTCATCACGGTGTCAGTGGTGCCCCAGGGTCCGCCCCTCTTCAACGTGTCCCAATCAGAGTCCAGCATTATGTAACTGTACGGGTCGTGCGCACTGTTCCCGTTTGGTTGCGACTCCATGCACAGGCGCAGCTGCTTCTCCAATCTCCCCAAGTGCTCCGTAGCGATCTCCCACAACCTGTTGATCACCGCGTCGCTCGTGCAGCACTCCTCTTTGAGTAGGAGGGTCAAGACTACGTCTTGCTGCCCGCAAACGAAGAGAACGCACTTGTGGAGGGTGGAGTTTGCTTTGGAGGGTTTTACCGTCTTTATGGGGTTGTAGGGGAAGTTTTGCTGGGTGGGGGTCGCGCCTCGGTAATCTCCGGGTGTTGTCGAGTGAGAACCGAAGCCACTTGATGCCTCTTCGAACGCTAGCATGGTCAATTTTGACATTAAAGGAGTCAGTTGCACTCCGGACGAGTATTTACGATTTTTTGTTATGGGGGATGTTAGTTCCGCGGTGAGGGATTTCAGGGGGAGCGTTAGGGATTTTCTTTGCTCCCGGTTGTTGGTCTTTGGTTTGTCGCGCAGAATTACGTCGGATTTTGGATTGGTGATGTTTTTGTTGTTCTTGTAAACTTCAACTTTCGCGTTGTTTTTGATTTTATTACTCGGCATAATTAAATCAAACTTGTTGAAGTTATTGTGCTCTCTTTTTACATCCATATTCAAGTCATACCGAATCTGGTTGAACACTTGTTCATTGTACATCGACTTCGACATGACTTTTCCAGTTTCCAGACTAAAAACCGCACACGTAGGATCACCTATACTTACCGCACGCTTTAATTTGTCTTTACTATCACCATCATCGTCCACAATACCTGCCAAGTTCTGCAAACTCACCGAATGCTCGCGTATCGTACCTTTGCATTTTTTATCATCATCATCAATATTACGTTGTTGTTGTTGTTCGGGAGAATCCACTTTTATCCCTACCTCGTCGGGATCCAAAACGATCGAGAGCGGGTTCTGATGCACGAACTTTTTCAACTCGACCATGGGCGTGGATACCACGCTGGTTTGGCCGACGAAAGGCGTTTTTGGTGGAGGTTTTAGGTCCAAATCGACACTCGCGGATTTGAGGTTCAAAAATTTCGGGCGCGGTTTTTTGGCGGCCGTCGGGAGAAAGCCTTCCGGGTTCGGTGCGTCTTCTTCAGGTACCATGGTGAAGATCAGGGATTGGTCGCGTTTCATCTGGGAAACGGCCGCGCTGTCCGTGGAAGGTTTCGAGTTAGTCTGAAAGGTGTTGTTAAGTGTGTTCGAAAAAACTCGCGGTACAAGAAAACATGGTACGTTCTTGCGCATCTATTACCACCTCTCCATCATATTGCCGAAGATGTTTGTTAGTGTTAAAAATGTCTACCTGCCAAGTGATTAGATTTTGTCTAAAACATTTTTTCATATTTGTAATACAGGGTGTTATGTAATTAATGTTATATATTAAAATACTGAATACCTTTTGACATAAGGAATAAAGGAAAAATATTTAAAAAAAACATTTTTCCAAAGATAAAAAAAAAAATATGCATTAGAAGTTTTTTATATTTTTTGTGATACGCCACTGGTTACACACTTGTTTATCTCTGCACACCTGTATTTTGTGACTACATAGATACCAACCAACAAAGTAGCTATGCGTTGCCAGATGTAAAAAATTGTTACTAAAAATTTTTCTTGCAAAAAATAAATAAAAACTCAATAAATACAAAAGTTTTATGCCCTTAAAGCTCTAATACCCTTCTGTATTTATTTACTGATCCAGCTATTAGCTTAAGCAATGATTAGAAAATTTAGTACCTTTGAAATTTGAAATCCATAACCACAAAATTAATTTTTTCATCAGTTTTTTTCTGTGTTTACTCAGATGAAATTGGGACCAGTTCACAGGTTAAACTTTAAACATTTAATTTGTGTAAATAAATCCAAAAGCACTTCCCTTAGTTAAGATATTTACAATTTGAAAACATAACCTAAAATTTAAAAGAAATGCACTAGATTCTGTCATAAAAGTTGGCAGATTTTGTTTGAATTTACCTTCAGTACAAAAATGAAATAACCAACAATTAATAAAAACGACACATTGACAATTTGCATTTTTAATTTTGTCATTTTTGTAATTAAGCTAAATTAAAACAATGTTTGTCAACTTTTTTGAGAGATTTTGGAAACACTGTTACCAACCATAACATAATAAATCCACCAGATTAACCTAAAGTTCCTAGTCGATCAGTGGCGTACTTTTTGGTTGGATAAAGGTTATTATAAATTATTTTTAGACTTTGGAATTTAGAAAAAAAAAGTTTCAGGTGCTTCTTTATGGACCCTAAGGAACAACCCATTTTAATATATAACATTAATTACATAACACCCTGTAGATGGCGTTGTAATGAAGAAAAATTAATTTTGTTCGATTTCGCAAAAATACCTCATTTCAGGTAAAAAAACATTATTTTGTCAATTAATTAATTTAATCCTAATTGAGGTATAAAAAATAGTATTTAGTTATAAATAATAATTATTATTGAGGTATAAAGAAACTATTTATACATAGTTTAGCATTATTTAATCAATTTAGTTCCAAGATTAATTTGCAAACAAAAAGACCTATCGTTAAGCAGTTATGCATAATGGATTTTTTAACAGTGGAAGATAAATAGAAATGATTTTGATTTATGGAGAAGCAGGCAGGAATCTTGATGATGCTGTTAATATCTACGCTCAGCGTTTTCCGGAAAAAATTCGATCACGTACATCATTTCACCGTACAGTCAAGCAGTTTACTAAAAACGGGAGTGTTCAACCGAAAAAAAGCACCTACTCTAATTAAAATTTAAAAAATTCTTTAGTGGTTATTTAATTAAGTAAAGTATTCTAAAAATGTTTTTTAAATCAACAATAAAAAACATATTATTAGAAAAATGTTTTTATTCAACTGAGGAATATCTTAATTAGCTCTACTTTTTAAAAACCTTTTGTTTTTTAAACAGTGCTGTGTTTGTTTATTTATACAACTTTTTGTATGTACTTTAAATTTCTTTGTTTATTTATTTTATAAATTTTGTTATATTTGAATGTTTTTTTTGACTTGTCACAAACATTTTTTGTTTAGCTGACCAATAAATTATTATTATTATTATTATTATTATTATTATCTATTATGGTGGATTAAATGTAGTCAGTATATATTTATTAGATAAGGATACCATAATAAATACTTTACTTTACTTAATTTGAAATTAACCTTACTTTGAAGTAAAACTTATTTTAAAGTTATTTAATAAGTTTTATTTATGTTATTTTTACCTATTTTAATAACCCTCAAGTTTCAACACTTTAAAGTATCATGACTCATGATACTTTAAAGTGTTGAAACTTGAGGGTTATTAAAATAGGTAAAAATAACATAAATAAATTTTCCTTTAGGTGAAATACACTTATAAGTAATTTTCTTTCGTAAAAATTACGTCCCTCATGATTCATGAGGGACGTAATTTTTACGAAAGAAAATTACTTATAAGTGTATTTCACCTAAAGGAAAATTTAACGGTAATTTTAACGTCAGAATTTTTACTTAATGGTAAATGTTACTCATAAGTCATAATTTTACGATATTAAGATCAATTTATAACCGCAAATAAATCCTATTCGCCTGGTATTTTTTAGGGTTATTAGTGGTAATAAATACTATTAATATTAACTAAACAAGGAAAAATAAGCTAAAAGTAAAAAATAAATTTTTTATTCAGGTCGCCATAATGAATTTTTTAAGATGGCATTCATTACTTATATAAACATTTATATAATATTTTTCTAAAATATAATAACAATATAAGGAAAGTTTTACTTATTAAAAAATTATTAAAACTAAATGATTTTTAAAAGATTTTATAAAATTTTGTAGGTTCTAAGTTTTGTTGAATTTTTACCCAAGTAATAAACTAAATGATTTTTTTTTTTGTCTAAATATTTAAGTTGTATATAATAAATTTTGTTTTGCCTGAGAAATATAATCCCTACATAATTTTGCTTTTAAGTAGGTATATTTTTAGTTTGTTTATGACAGGATAAGAACAAGACAGGTCAAATGTTGGAATTCCTAGGGGCGTCTGGCAATATCTGTGACGTAGAGGCAGGGAAAGTTTTCAGCCCAGATGTGTAACGGGTACCTGCGTTCAACAAGAAGGACAGATTTTAACGGGCCGTTGCGAACTGAAGACGTATTTTAATTTTTAACCTTTTTACTATTTTTTATTAATGTGTAATATCATAGTCACTTGTAAATAAAACCGATTTACCATCATTGCTGATTATTTCCCTACATATAATAACAATATAAGGAAAGTTTTACTTATTAAAAAATGATTAAAACTAAACGATTTTTAAAAGATTTTATAAAATTTTGTAGGTTCTAAGTTTTGTTGAATTTTTACCCAAGTAATAATTTTTTTTAAAACCGTAATCTATTTAGAGGGCATATAATTTTTAAGATGTATCGTGCCTATTTTTATCAATAAAACAATGTGCGTTTGAGTTTTAATGCAAAATATTATTAATTTTGACAATTTGTTATATTTTTTAAATTTTACTCTAGGGTGGCCTTTATTACTTTGCAAGTACCATTTTGTAAAATATAAAGAACAAAGAAATTACGAATGTCAATGTTTTAGAAAGAGAGAGCACAGTTAGTAATTATAGCGTTATTTTTACGTAAATTTGTGGTATTTATATTGTTTTTATTACGTTGTTCTCTTAGTAGATCAAAAAGGTTATTATGTAGATAAAATAACGAAATAAACCATTCCCCAAATTTGGTAATTTTTCGAATCTATACCGATATAAAACCGTTTTGGTTAACCGTAAAAAAATACTTTAAAGTTGACTTGATCTTCAAATTATTCGACAATTTAATCTAAAAATCGAATAATTTTATAGAAATTACGATGAATAATATTTAAATTTAAAATATCATTTAAATTTAAAGATGGCGGTAGCTGTAGTGAAGAACATACCTTGTTTTCTTGTACCATGGGGGCTCTTACCTTTTTAATACCTTTCTTATTGTATAAATACTGAAAAATACTGCTATTTTTGGCAAGTAACGTGTAATATTCGTCACTGGAAATATAAACTTCCAGCAACTGGACGCCCAGCGGCAAGTCAAAGTTAACTGTGGTCGTTTCTGCTGGACATTTTATTCGATACGGGTCAGTCAAAACGATTCTCTTCGTCAAATCTGGACTGAATTGAGTTGCAACCACCCTAAAAGTTTAATTATGCGAGTATAATTTCTACTGTCCATGGTAAATTAACATTGGTAAGTACCAATGCTTTGAAAATTGGTTTTACAGGACAGATGTTTAAAATAAGCAAGATAATTGAACAAAAATGTTATTCCTGTGTATTTTATCAAAGGGATCATGGTGAATTATTGTGTTTTTAATTGTAAATAAAATTCAAGAACTAAATCGTTGCATTTTCATGTTTTGCCAAAGGATCCAATTCGGTAAGTACATTTGTTGGTGCCGAATTAACTTATGATAACTTTACCTAATATAATTTATATTTAAGTTTGGACATTTTAAAGAAATTAGTAAAAAATAATGTTTGCACAAACATAACCTTAAAATCAACCATTTTTATATTTGAGTTCTCTAAAAAACGCCGACAACTGCATTTTAAACAACAAAATATACCTACGAATTCGTGGCAACATAATATTACATATAATACATAATATAATGGTTTTTACCGTTGAGTAATAAACGCTTTTAATAATGCTAAATGCTGTTTAAATTTAGACGACTTACGTTAATCACTACTAAAATGTGTATTTATTGTATCTAATAGGTAGAAATTCTACCTATTAGATACAATAAATACCGTAGAATTTATATTTACAGACTCTGTAATACAGAGACTGTATGCAATTTATTTCTTCATTCAGATTAACACTGTTTATTGGAAAACCGGTAAAAAGTCAACCCAGGATTTCCTCTCAAAATACACCCAACAGGACACGGTTTTTTTTTCGATATTAAATAAATTTTATTCTCAAAAACACTCGTTTGTAACACACGCGTTTGACAGCTGAAAGTAATTTTAATAGCTGTCACACACTTTTTTATGTTATTTTGTTTTGTATTTGAATATGATAAAAAATAAAAGGGTCGTAGAAAAAACATTGTGAGAATAGTATATTAAAGTACAAGTTGCAGAAGGCCACATATTCTCGCACGAATTCGAAATTTGGCCTCGAGCGACGAAGGAGCGAGTGGACGAACGAATGAGTGCGAGAATGGCCTTCTGCAACGTGTGATTTATACTATTTTCTCGATTTTAACTTTTATTTAGGTTTTTTTAAATGTTTTGTGGTCGTTGTTAGTTGGGGGATTTTTCTCGCAAAATGTCAGTTGGCAACACAAAATGACAGTTGCATGGACAGGTAGATTTATTTTTATTTACTATTTATTAATAATTATTATAATCTGTCTGTATTTGTCAACTGGATAATAAGGTTTTGTGTAAGTATTGTATTATTTTTTAATGTTTTCTGATATTTTTGAACAATTGTGTTTACTTTTAGCAGTAAAAAATGTCACAGGAGGTTTTACAAGCAACACTGAACATTACAATAAAAGTTTATAACAATTGTGCTAGTGATTAATTTATAGTAGTTTTGTGTTTTGTGTACTGTGGGTATATAATATTTCCAATAAAATATAGTTTGATTGACCTGTCTGGCTCATTTATTTGTCAATAGTTGTTATCCTGCACAAGTACCACTGAACTGCACTTTTTCACATTAAACTTAATTAATTTTGCATTAAAATGCATTGTTGGAGCAAACTTAATATAACAAAACAATAATAAAGGCTTCATTTTCAATAAAAGTGTAGTTCAGGTTGCACTAGTGCAGGATAACAAACAAAGCTATTATAAATAATCCTAAAAGTAATGAATTTGAGGTTATTAAACAGTTTGACATTTTGGGGGGTACCAATACTTAAAAACTAAATGTTACCAAAAATCGTTTAAGAATGAGCTTCATTCTTCAACGATTTTGCGTGCGAGAATATGACATTCTTACATACAAATCGAGAAAAGCTTTTCAACATTTGTAAAACAAATAACTATTTTTGTTTCTAACTCAATATTAGTGTAAAATGTTAAAAATACATACATTATATTTTGATTGGACAATTTGACAGATATTCCGAGAATTTTGTTGTTGTAGGAAGAGAAAATAATACAGGCACTGTTAAAATGAAGAAAACCCCAAATTTCGTCATAAAAGACTTTTCATGATGAAAATTAGTATACTATTATAATTGCCATGGCAACATTTTTTTGTTTTGGTTGCTAGGCACTTGTTTACCATTGCTAGGGACGCTATTTTCCTTAGCAACTGATCATTTTTTTACTCTTAAAATTAATAAAAAAAAGTTATTTACTTACTTGTTATGGTACAACATAGATCCGCCCAAAACGTTTGTTAACTCTTGGCAACACTGCAGCAGATGCAGAGCTTCAGTAAAAACGTTGCTGGCACTTTTTGGTAGCGCTAACGTTGGTATATGAGAGAATATGTTCCCCCCGTAAACAAGCATTTTAAGATATGTTTCGAACATGTGATATAGCTTTGCCGACAGGTTTTCTCTCTTGGGGTAAATTTGAGAGAGAACGGAAAAATCATTGTGAAAGAAGTTGATTATGGAATAAAGGGTTTTGGCTCTGTGTTCCAGCTGCCATTCTGATATATTGCGATCTGTTCCACATGCCTACGAAATGACAAGTAAGTAACCTTACTTTTTGTATTTTATTTAACGTTAACAAAATCTGTAATTTTTTTATTTACCAGTAAGTATCTCCCATTCTCTATAACATAAAACTTTCCGCTCTGCAAGGAGACAACACTGGGTGTCGAAAAAATACTTTTAATGCAACGAGTGGTTCCGATTATTTGTCCACATAGGGCAGTTTTTTGTTGATCCGACACCCACGTCGGGTGAAAATATAAAATCGCCGACGCCGGGTCGTCTTCCTCTTTTTGTAAAAGTTGAGTGTCGTAAACAAAAATTATAATCACTTCTCTGAAAAAAAAAAATTGTTGTTTGGTTTTATCGGTTAAATTGTTTACTCACTTGGCCATGTTTTGTACGTTTGTCTTAAAATAGTTATTGGAGTTTGTTTACTTTGTGTTTATGCATTTTGCGGGCTATGGCATTTTTCATAACCTCACTTTGGGGATGACATTTGAAATGTCAAAAGTCAAAACAATACGACGCACGGTGGGTATGTATCAAGTTTGATAAACGTCATTTTATACACAAATTTAATTTAGGCACGAGCAAGCTTGCGAGCAAGTGCTTAAATTAATGAGTGTATAGAAAAGTTTATAAACGAGGTGCATACTATACATTTTCTACGACAAATACTTATTATTATCTTAAAATGATTTAAATCAAATATTTGTATAGAGCGCCATCTATGAAACAATAGTGGAATCTGTGTGCCACCGTCAAATGTCAAATTTTTAAATTTTATAAACAGATTATAAATGTTATAAATCGAAATTTATTCCTTGAAAATGGACAGTTTTTTGCAGTGAAAGTAAAGAAAATGTTTTATGAGCACTTTACAGAGGAGTCAGTGCCCGAATTTAAGTTATAGTTTACTGCCGGCGAAATTAAAAGGTCAGTAGGTATGTACAATGTTCATATAAACTTTTCAAATATTGGCGTTGAGAAACTATTTAATACTTCTGTATTTTTGTATTGTAATTTATTATTAAATTACCAGGGAAATAAAACGAATTTAGGTAATATAATAATTTATTTATACATTTAAAAATATAATAATTACATAGAAACTTTAACCAAACATGTTTTTCAGTTTTTGTTTGTCTTGTTCGTCCTTTACTTTGACTTGTTTTTCAAGTTCTTCCAAATCTTTTTTGACCAATTTTTCCAGGGTTTTATCAAGTTTTAAAATAACCTCAAAATCTTCCCTGGCTTCTTTTACATTCCAGGCTCCGACATGGGCTTTGCCTCTTCTGTAATAGGCTTTAACATTATCTAAAAAAATATTTTTATATTTTGTCGTTTGTGTGAAAAAATATCGTTACCTTTATCAAATTTGATGACTTCAGTGCAATGTTGTATGACGGAGTAATAGTCTCCTTCGTTTAGTTTACATTGTGCAAAATTTAATAAAATTGGTAATTTTTGGCTGTTTAATTTGTTCCATTCCACATCATGCGGTTTTTCACTAAAAATAACAATAAATTGCTCAAAATGTTATAAAAAGTTTTTTCTTACTTCAACATAAGATTTTCCAAAATACCAATAGCCTTAGCATACAACTCTGCAGCCTTTTTATAATTTTTCTTTTTGTATTCCTCATTACCCTTTTCTCTGAAAAGAGGAATAGCCTCCACTCTTTCCTTTTCCTCCATTTGCCAAGTCTCTTTTTCATAATCTTCGGGCTGTTCAACTTTTAACAACTCTTAAAAAAAAAGAAATGTAAATAATACCTAATATTTTTTTATAATTACCTACCTAGTGTAAATTCCAAGTTGGTAGGCCTTTTTAAGAAGTCATTTAAGTCATCGTAACCCACCCCCTGAGCTTGCAAAGTCATTGCACATTGGTGTACATGTTTTTCTTCTGGAGGCTTATTTATATCTCGCAACGCTTTAGATACAAACGGGTATTGAATAACCAACTAAAACACTTTTATAGCAAAGAAAAACTATTTTTTTATTTATAAAACGTACACTTTTATCCACGGTAAACGATGCCACCTCATTTAAAGCCATTTTTTGCACCATAACCTCCCAAACCTCCAGTTTAAATTTTTTACCTAAAATTAATTCCATAGGTTTTTTGTTGCCCATTTTTCTGGAATCATCCAGTACAGTCTTTTTGCCGTCGCATAGTTTAGTGACGAAATGAAAATGCACCTGGCAACACAATTTTTTTGATATTTCACAAAAAAAATTATTTTTAGGTTACCTTTGTCCCGTTCTTAAAATCCACTGCTTTGGTCCCGGCGTATATTATTTTTTTATCAATTAGAGCGTCAGATTTATCAGAAACGTCCATTTTTAGCCTTTAGATTATATTTTGATCCTTATAATATAGTATATTGATTTGTTGTGAAAACGTCAAAGTTTGAGGTTATGTCATTATTAACAAGGTCACTTTGATCCAAGCCAGTCTTTTTCAACAGGGCGGTACTTAAAATTTCTTATATCATAGACAGGACCGTAATGAAATATTGTGGGTAATTAAAAATAAAAAAAATTAATTTATTATTTTTTTATTTAAATAAAAACGCCAAACAGTATATACCTACGCGTAACGTAGTTGTTTTTTTATTTAATAAATAATTAGAATGTCTTAAATATAAGTACATACAACTCTTTATCATTTAGAATATTCAATACTGAGCAAAAAATGCCTGCGTGGGGGGAGCATTTGACTATATACCGCCCCATCCAAGTGTATTCCCGCACAAACAAATCGTCGTCTCGTATCTTCACTTAAAAATCAAAATTTAATTTGAGTTTTTGCGCTTAGGTGAGTCCCCTGTTTTTGAGGGGAGTAAATTGCGTAGAAGTTCAGAAAATATTAACCCTGATTTTGAAAATCCAGAGCTCAAATGTCAAATTTTGTACATGATATTCAAAGCATAGATATACAAAGTATAGAAGTTTTTTTCATTTCATAATTTTTTTTAATGCTGTTTTTTTAGACATATGAAAAAACGTTAGAAACTAAATTTTACAGGGGGTTAAGTTTTTTGAATTTCTACGAATTTCACTAGCATATGTGCAGTTTTTTATCATAAGAAGGAAGTAATTCATTTTTTTAGGTAGGTGATGTAGCTCCGAAATTTTCAGACTCTTTGCTCTGTGCATTGTAGGAAGAAGGTTTATTTATTTATTTTAATATCTGCAGAATATAGTGTGCTAATTTTAAAATGTCATCCAGTACCAAATTTAAATTAATACTTTATTTTTGATACTCTAAGGTTGGTAGTGGATGTTACACGACTCTTAGCTCCTTCGCTATTCTTGGTCTTTGTTTTTTTGTTATTAATTATTTTCATTTTATGTGTTCTAGTGTATATGTACAGTCATTATCTAGGATCATTTTTTCTCTACGAGCGCGTGTTCTAATTTTAATGTCAACTAAAACTTGTATATATAATTTTAATTAATAGGTATTTATATATTATATTTAGAATTTCGTTTTTGGCCACTGGGGCGCGTTTTGGAAACCAAATTTTTGAGTGTCGAATTTTGGTTTCCAAAAATTTTTTTTAAACTGGATTTGACTTAAAAGTTGGGTGTGCGTGCGGCTACCCTAACATAGGATCCTCAAAAGTCAAAACTTCAATTTTGGGGTCATTCTCTCAATTGGGAACTCCCCCTTAATATCATTTTAAAACTTGAGGCATTCCTAACCCTAAAAAAGGTTTATTTGTATGTAATTAATTAATAATTAAGGATCGGTGCGTAGTATAAAACAGGAACGGCTTATTTACAATTTTCTCATTTGTTTAAAATAGATACATCATCTATAATAAAATAAACAATTGATCTAGACTACCTGCGACTAGAAATTAACAATAATAAATATCTTTAATTAACAAAATAAATAACAGAGTACATTTTTAATATATTTTTTTAAGCAAGAGTTCGTTAACCAAATTATCATATTATTAATATGCTATCACCATGGAACACAATTACAAGAGTAAATGTAGTTTCTTCTTTCAATTCATCAAAAATAAACATTTACTTTTGTACTAGTTTCCTCAGATGGTGCAGATATACAGTCATAGATAATTGACTTGTTATTTGTCAAAATTTAACAGTTTTAAAATAATAAAACAAAGAAGTAGATCTAAGCGCTATTAAATATCACATACATGGTCTAGTATTGCAATGATTATGGAACTGTTGCTTAAAATTAATCGAGTTAAGGGTAGTAGATATATGGTTAAAATTCGTGACTTAACAAATACAGTGATATCCACATCTCTACTGTCTATATTAGGCTACAATATGTATACTTTTATATGGTTTTAATGTATGTACTAAGTGATGTAAAACATTTGTGTTCTGGGTCTTAAGCTAGATATAACAGTCTTAAGAATGTGAACTCAAGAGATATCACAAATGATTCGCATAACAAAATACACATATATAACCATAAGAGGTATGGCCAATGTTGATCTTCTTGGGTTGTTTCGAGATGGCATCCACACTAGGGTATAATATTTTTTATGAAACTCGTTCGAACTTTATTTATCTACTTCTAAGAGCACTAGATCGTCCGCCACGACGTCGCTGATGTGCAAATAAATGATCCAGTACATGAGATTGAAGCACACGAAGCACACCGGGAATATGATTCTCGAGTACTTGTCGATATCAGAAGAGGAGATCCCGTAGAGCTTATTCAAGTCTTTGTTGGGGTGAATGATGTGTTGGGGTATGGGAGCGGTCGTTTCCTCTTCGGGAGGGCCTGACTCTCTGCCTCCACCGCCGCCTCCGCGGCCCCCGTTGACGGTGCTCTCTAGGGTGCCGCCTTTGCTATGAGCTTTTGGATCATGCACTTTGAATCGCACCTCCTGGAACAAAGGTCCCACTAACAAGTACCCAAGACTATATCTAACACTCTTCTTTTGGAGACTAGCACATCTACACTTTACGTTCTAGATTAATTAATGGAGCCCGAAGATTCTTTAGTCTTCTAATAGAGAGAAAGAGCTATTCCATTCCAGTCTATGCTATGATTGTGCTTCCACAACTTTGCTCCAGAAACAGTCAAACTGTTGGAACAAAGCTGATGATCTTGGAAGCACATTCCTCTAGAAATTCTAACCTATTTCTATTACTGCCTTTACAAAGTCTCCTACCTTTTAAGCTAAACCCTAAGTATACAGGATGATGAGTTAAGTTAAAAAGAGTGACCATCAAAAATGAACCTTGTAGTAATCGGGGATCTATTATAATAGTGCTCATGCGACTGAACAAAAAAACAGTAAAGTAAGGTGTTGATGAGAAAGACAACATAAATGAAACACAACGGCTTTCATATTGTTTTTTATTTAAATAAAAACGCCAAACAGTATATATCTACGCGGAACGTAGTTGGTTGTTTTGATAAATAATTGGAATGTTTCAAATATACATACAACTCTTTTCTTATCGTTTAGAATATTTCAATGGTGAGCAATAGATGCCCGCTTGGTTTTTTGACGCCGCCACTGACAAACACTAAGGCCCGCTTCACACCATACCGCTAGGTTGTCATAGAAAAAAAAAGTTGAATTCCGGGGTATGGAGTGAACAGGGGGTGAGTGTTAACTCTCGTAATTTTAGTATCATAAGAAGGAAGGTTTTTTCTGTTTAATATTGCTCCGAAACTTCAGACTCTTGCTCTGTGCAGTGTGCTACAATTATTAACTGTAGTGTGTTGTGTACAAACTGAGGAGTCGTTTTAGTGTGTTTAAAGCGCAGGCAGAACCCCAGCAAACTTAGGTTTTACTGGGGTTTTGTTGTAGACTCTACAAGTCGATTCCCCGTTCAAAAAGTACAAAAGTTATCACAAGGGTCTATTAAAAATTTTGCCATTGCCGAGGTGATGTCCAAAAAATTGTGTTTTTATGTTCGAGGAAGACGATTCACAATGCTAAATGGCGTCTACTTTTTCAAAAATACGGAACGAGGGAACAAACCCATGCTATCGCGCTTAATTTGGCTATATTTTATGGTTTTGGCCACTTTACTGAATTGCGCGCTTTTGAATTTGCTCAGAAAGTACTCAGTTACGGAAAGTTATATTGTCTGCATAATGGCGGGTTCTGAACATTTGAGTCTTTACTTACAATAGAAGGTTTTCGCCACATATAGGTTTAAATTAACACTTAACATTCAAGGTTCTTTACTAAGAAATTGAAATTATTAAATAAATCAAAATATTTCACAAAGTTTGTGACTATACAGAGGACAGGACAACAGATATTCAGTCCCCCACTCACTGTTGTTGGGTCATTAATCCCTTATACATTTTGGTCCTCACTATTTTTAGTCTCAGAACTTTGGAGTATAAAAAATTCTAAAATTATGTCTGTAAGTTATGTTGGCAAGCAGAATATCAATCCCTTGTTGCTATAATAATAATTCAGTAACTTTGCATCGTAACGTTGCTACTTTGATTTCGGAATTTTGGATGCTGCGAATGGAGTAAAGTGGCCGATTAAATATACGTACGGGTTCGCTAAATCTTCATGTATATATTTAATATATATTTGTTCATATATATTTACAGTCAGATGATCTATGATCAAGTTTTACTACGAGCGCTTTTCCTATCTAAATTCTTGTATATATAATTTAATTACATAATAATTATGTTACAGTTTAGAATTTCGTTCCACCGCTAATATCTCGACGGTTTTTTTTATATTTATTTATTATTTTTATAATGTAATGTATTATTATTCGTGGCCAACTTGGTGGTGGTAGTATTTTGAGGTGCGTGCTGCCTATCCTAGTTTTTTTATTATATTTTGGGATAACGTGCGATTAGTAGAAAACAGGAACGTTTTATTTACATGGAATGTTCAATATCGCGAGTTTAATTTTTAACAAACAAAATCTCTATCGATTCTACTTCCAGTCAGCCAGCGACTGGTTTAAGAAAGTAACCAACTAAACTATGAAAACAGTATAACAATAGAACATAATTAACTGAGGTGGTGTTTTGTGTTTTTGTGGATTTGATGACGATGAGATGCCGATTACGAGTTGTTTATTTACAAAATATCCGCAGAATTGTGCGGGGTTTTCAACTTTTCTTCAGTTCAAGTTCATTTTCACTTCCTCACAGAATGAACTGCCTAAGTCTAGTATGCTTTTGGCTTTGACGTGTCATCCAGAAAACCTGTTATGGGGCAAGTTAAGGTTTTGAGAGAGCAAGTCTAGATCTTGGTGCTAGAAGAGGATAAGTCAACACTGTCTTCTGAACTAGGAATTCAATAATTAGACGTGTTGCTCTAATTGGTTTATTGCTTTTTAAAGAGATCATTTTCTATAGAAAGCAATGTCGCAAATTTCAAGGAACACAGGGAGAGTGGTTGTTTTGAAAGCATTGATTTTGAGTTTTTATCATGACAGGAGAATTATCTTCTTCTAGTACTAGTTCTTAACCTACATGATGGTTTTCTAGGTTGGGTTATAAACTATTGAAGGACAATTCAAGGTATTGATACTAGAAGAGGATAAGTCAACATTTTATCTGGAGTCGTCGTACTGACTTATCTTGTTCTAGTACGTAGTGCTTAAACTGCATTGATATGATTTGAATTCTTGCGGCTGGCGTTCATTCTGTGACGGAAGAGACAATCTTAAAAGTAAGACTTCGTCTTTAGAAGCTTTAAGATCAAGAACGTGTTGCACTTATTTGTCTTCTTCTAAGAGCACTAGATCGTCCGCTACCACGTCGCTGATGTGCAAGTAAATGATCCAGTACATGAGATTGAAGCACACGAAGCACACCGGAAAAATGATCCTCGAGTACTTGTCGATGTCAGAGGGAGTGATCCCGAAGAGCTTGTTAATTTCTTTGCTCGGGTGGATGATGTGTTGCGGTATGGGGGGGGCGGACTCTTCGTCGCGGCATCCGCCGCCTCCACGGCCCCCGTTGACGGTGCTTTCGAGGGTGCCGCCTTTGCTATGAGCTTTCGGGTCGTGCACTTTGAATCGCACCTCCTGGAACAAAGGTCCCCACTAACAAGTACCCAGATCAGTTCTAACAGTCTCGGGGCGCTTCTCGTTTTTTGTTACCTGGCTTGCTACAATTAACGGATCGACCAGTACATCTATCACTTTACATCACTAGGCTGTTTTTAATTCATACAACCGCTTTCCGTTTTATCGGGAGTTATCGCGTTTGTTGTGATTGAAGTAAGAAATAGAAATGAATTCAATTACAAATAAAAATTAACTATCGCATGCATTTAGTCGACTGAAGCAATGAAGCAGGATCAAAGCAACATAAACATTTTCTTTTATTTTCAATATTTCATCCAAATTAAACATGGATATGTAATGGTGTTTGTGTTATGCTGCAAAAAGATAAAACAATGTTGTGCAAAATCCTCGTTTTTCTTCCTCATCCTGGTCAAATTTCTACACACATTAATCATTAAGAAATATAATCTATCTAAATCATTACACAGCCAATTGAGTTGAGTATACTATATGTATAGTAAAGCCTAATCGCAATAAATATATTCTGCATGCACTATAGTTATAGCTGGTCACAGTTTTCAATGATTTAGCAGACCAGTGGTCTAAAATTTTTGAAAATATTATTAAGGTTTTATTTTTAAATATTATAGTAGTTACGAAAGAGAGCAATTATAGTGGTAGTAGTAGTAAAATGTATTATTACATATCCAGACGACATTTTTAATGGCCCCAAAGTTTTATAAAAGAAAAACGTTATCTACAATGATCCCAAGCTTCGTTCCACTAAAATTAAGTAAATTTAAAAAAAAATGAATAACAAAATAAACCTTTTTTACATGAAATAGTATCTCAAGTTACTCTCTGATATTAGATACTGAAATAGCGTAAGATAGAGAGAGTTGATGTGCCAGTCTCCATTAATCATAGCATGCTTGGGTTTTGGTGTCCAAATGGACGACTACTCACTGTTTGTTTGGGCGCGTGGTCCCCGTCGGGTCCGTCAACGGCGATTTTCTTTTGTTCGGCTATTTTCTGGATAGCGAGGAAACGGTTTTTTCGCATCTGTATCCGCTTTGCCATGTAGCCTACCGTCGCGTATTCTGCAAAGAAAATAGACAGTTGTTAGGTCAGCTTTATATCCAAGTCAAAGTATCCCGTGAGGTTTTATTATGATCCTGCACAAAGAAAAACATTGCACAAAGTTTAACCATTCGCACAATATTGTCTTTTGTACAAATGTAACTTTGAGTTGGAATATAAATTTTACAATATTAGACAATTTGTTCGGGGGTATTTAGTATACGACTGTATAGAATCAAGTAAGTAGGGCTGGAGACAAGGATGACAAATTATATTCTGATTAGAGAAAAAGAAACAAACTTTAATTGGGCGTGGTTTAAACCAAGCCATTCGTAATTACGAATCATAGTTGCCAGGTTGTTCTAAATCAGAAGAGAACGATTATAATTATTTAATAAATAGTTCAATTGTATTTGTTTGAAACTTTAAAAATAACAAAATAATTAATAATAATATATATTATGTCAAAAATAATTTGATTTAGTTAATTTTCTTACTTTTAATATTAAAAAATAAGAAAAACAACCCTTTTAGGATAGCGCGGCATGCAGCCAGATACAAGGGCATGCAGTTTGATCTACTGTGTTTGTTGTTCAGTAGCTCCGACGCTGTCGTAGGGAAATGTGTATAGTTTTTAAGAAATACATTTTCGCCATTAACTGGAATTTAATGGATTTTAAACAATACTTAGCAGAAATGCATTAAAACAAAACAAACGAATTTGATAAAAATAAAACCTATAAATTCTCAAACAAAAATAATTCTAAAATAACGAAAATAACTTTTTTCTAAATCCCTACTACAGTGGGCGGGGTTTGGCACTGTATAAGCAGATTAGATTAAAATATGTTTAAATGTCAAATAAATTAGGTATGTAAGTTTTAAATATAATAAGTTTACTACTACCGATATTTAGTGAATAAGCTCGTTGTCTATGCTCCGTAATAACTAAGCATCGTAAACTAGAACCATAAAGCATTTTCGCTTAAAAACATAGTTTATTGCGTCATTTCCGGATTAAAATCGCAGAACGAAGCAAAAGACAATAATAAAGGGTGTTAAATTTTAATACCTGTTAAAAACAAAACATCAAAATAAATCAAATCCAGGTTAGATACCTTTTGTGGAATATCTGCACAAGCGTTTAAAACTATTTAAAATTGGGTATACGAGGTGTGTTCAGAAAATATCGGGAATTTTCGTTTTTTGAAACAAATATTTATTTATTCGCCTACATTAATGTTGTCGCCTTCAAAATAGTCCCCATTGGATATTATGCACATGTGCCAGCTCTTCTTCCAATACTCGAAACACTTCTAAAACTCGATCTTTGGGATAGCCTTTAGTTCTTTCATCGATGCGCTTTTAATGTCATCTAGGCTTGCAAAACGACGGCCCTTTAAGGTTCTCTTTATTTTTGGGAATAGGAAAAAGTCAGGCAGAGGCATGTCTGGCGAATATGGAGGCTGGGGCATCATTACAGTATTGTTTTTGGCCAAAAATTTTGTTCAAAATTTAACAATTTTAGAACAAATTTTGCTGCCACGCGTTTTATACCCAAAACATTCGAAAAAATTTCATGGGATGAGCCAATCGATATACCAATATCATCACTGATGGTTTATAACTATTTCTTCCACTTTTTCCATGTTTTTATTGGTTGTTAATGTGCTTGTACGTTAGGGGCATTCGTCATCTTCAACGTCTTCACGGCCATCTTGGAAACTCTTATACCACTTGTAAACTCTTGTTTTACTTTTAGCAGACTCACTATAGGCCTTTGTTAACATTTCACAGAATTTATTTAATTTTTTAAGCAAAATTGTATACAAATTCTTTGATCCATTTCTTTTAACGAACGAAAAATCGCCGAGCTCATAAAACACGTCTGACCTTAGCGGCTGTCACAGACAAAGTAAACAATGAAAACAGCTAAAGTTTTTATCATACTTCGGAGGCATGTATACCAACATAATAAAGAAAATTTTATGACAACCGGACCCTCTGAACCCGCGAAATTTAACAATTTCCGTTATTTTCTGAACACACCTCGTATTGTGTTGCTTATAGATCGCCCTGTACACATTTTCTGTTTAATTTATTTTAGCGTTCCATAGGGTTATAAAAAGGCAAACAAACATTTGCATATTTATTTGAAAACGTATTTGTGAGATGAAATTTACGTTGTCGGAATATCGACCAATCAAAAATTAAATTTCAGGATTCGTGATTGATTTTTTAATATAAGAGTTTCGAGGTTGCAACGAAGCTTTGATGAGCGTGGCAAATTAGAATAATACATAAGGTTTTTAATCAAAAAATTTGTTCCGGGCTTTCGAGCCAAATGAAAAATTACCGGCTTAGAAGTTTTAGAATAATAAGTGAATAGCGATAAATCATACAAATGTAAACGAAATATAACAACATATCATATAAAAATAATAAATATAACTATCTCGATTATAATGCTATGCATATGTTTTGGACGATAATCGAATTTTTATTCAAACTCTGACATTATGCCAAATTTACAGTACGAAATCATTGTGCGTTAGGGAATAGAGCGAAACGCTCACTAATACTGCCATCATGGGAATAATAACGGGAATGTAGTAGTCCCACTATTTTTATGTCCCCCATTTCAATCCAGAGCGACCGAAAATATTTTTATATTTATAAAACACGAGATTACTCGCCATTTCGACAACACGTGAAACTAATCTGTGCAAACACACATGAACTTTCACAATTTATTCTCGCCGGAAGTTCAAACTAGTTTTCAAAACTTAAAACTACTTAATGACGCCACGTTGTATGGGTGTGTACCAGTGTTTTCGAGCTCGCATGGCGCAGTCGGTGGTGTAATTTTTGCTTTAAGTTTCAAAATAAAAAGTTATGAAATGGGGGCAATTTTCTTAAACTTTGATGATTTGCGTTTTAAGTTTTGTTTATGGTCTACAAACTGACCATGCTATAAAAATGCTTTTAATGGATAACCTGATTTTATATACGAATATCATCAATAAAAATCTTGTCAGCTTAAATAAGCAACCCAATCTTTATTGTCGTATCCATTTCATATTCAATCATTGTTTGATTATGGCCTGATATAGATTTCATCCATATCAAATTACGTTTTATTAACTTAAAATATATACCAAGATTTTGCTTTATTATTCTGTGGTTTTATATCATATACTGTTCTACCAGACTACCAGACGTACTAGATCTGGCGTGTCTATGATAGCACACTTTATTCTAAGAATGTTTTTTAAACCTTCCAGTGAGAATATTCTTAGGATCATGCTATATTTTTTCTAAAGAACATGCTTAAAAGACATGTAGCATGATCCTAAGAATATTCTTACTGGCCTATAGGCAGGTTCTTAGAAGGTGCAAAGTTTTCGTGGTAAAAATTAGTCTACTCTAAATATATGCTTAGAATGTTAAGAAAGTAATTGCTATAGAAAGTTTATTTAGGAATATTCCTGTTAAGCATATTTAGTTCAGTTACCTATATAATAGTAAAATATACCATAAACTATGTATAAACGTATATACCTATACTTAAGTACCCAATTAGTAATTAGTATTAAATACTAAGTAAAAAACACAATTCAAAATATTTTTTTTATAGTTATTTGTCAAATTAAAACAATATTCGATAACAAAAATACTTTTACTATAGGTATTTTATTTTATGTTAAAAATAAATATTTATTAATTTGTATACCGATTTTTTATTTCCTAATTAACATTTGTATGTATAATAATCCTAACTATCTTCAACTTCAATCTAATCTGACTTATCCCACAAAATTTTCCAATTTTACTTTTTATGAAATAATGTCATACAACTTATGGTTTAGAGGTCAAATTGTTTATTTAATATTTTTAAATTAATGTGTCGCAAAATTTTTTAAGGGGACGACATTTCACTGTCATATTATGACAGTGAGGCGTATTTGTCTCCTGAAGAATTTTACGAATGTAGAATACAACATATTAGAACATATTTGGATATATTCTCAAAAGCTTCCTAGAAGCTCTATAAGAAACCTTCTAAGAACATTCCAAAAACGTACTCTTAAAATGTTCTTAGGATGCTTTTTAGGACGGTTTTAAGAAGCTTTTAAGAATCTAATTGCATCATTAAAAGGGTATCTATTGAATGGTTTAAAAGTCCCTAAGAACATTCTTAACAATAAGGGAAGGTTCTAAGAATATTCCTTTATTCCGGGTCATATCTTCTTAGAAGATTCTTAAAATCAAATTTTGTTATCAGGGTTAGTTCATCAGACTCACCTAATAAGCTGGCGAATACCATGACGAAACAGGTACCCAGATAGACGTCGATGGACTTGACGTAGGAGATCTTGGGCAGCGCTGCGTTCGTCGACGACATCAGAGTGGTCATGGTCAGCACAGTGGTGACGCCTAGGGCTACCCTGGCCGGGGTCGCGTTACGGTTCAGCCAGAAACTTACCCACGATATTATGACGATCAGGCCGGACGGGATGTAGATTTGGATCAAGTAATAGCCCATGGACCTAACGAACTGGATCTCGCACGCCAGTCTGCTGTAGTTACCTAAGCAAATCGTCAACATCAATTTTTTTGCACAAAATGAGAAGTCTAAATGTACGTGAAGAGGAGGAAATTAGGAAGAGGAACTATAAGTTACAAACAGTAAGAAACAAACGTTTAATTCTTTTGATAAATGGGTCGTTTTCAAAAAACACCCGCCTTCCGCTGTCCGTAAGTTTGAATTCCAATAACTTATAATATAATAATTTTTTTTTAATTTTGAATAACCAGAACTTTGTGTTGCTTTATAACATCCTTAGTTAATACAGTAAACAATTTATATATAAAATAATTAATTTTAATCTACTTTTTTTAAATTTGACTCATGTCCCAGACATTTTTTCCGATGCGTTACGTCCGTCGCGTTACCGATAAATTATTGAAAAAAACATATATATATGGCAACTTTTTTGGCACTCACGTGATCAACAAATGATGTTCGGACGTACACATTACCCAGCTGAATTTATTTATTCAATCAGGAAGAAGATATCGGTTGAAACAGGTGCGAGTAACGCTAATGTAATAATTGTTTGTCCGCTAAGTTACTCAAAAAAATAATAAAAATAAGGTAATAAAAAATACTATTTTTCATGTTTATGTTTATTTTAGGGCACTAAAGCTCATTAAGAGTAATTAATAACTATAATGTCTTATTAATAATTTTTTAAATATGGTTTTACAAAACTTTGTCCACTGCGTTACCGAGTCCACTATGTTATCTCATGGTAACGCAATGGAATTTAGGGTAACGCAATAGAATTTTTCGACAACAAAGTGGTTATTTACCGTCGCTTTTATTAAAAGTAGTTTATGATTAACCAATTTAAAATTATTTGTAATTACAACTCATGATATAGATTACATCCAAGGAAAAATTCCACGCAATATAAAAGTACTAAAAGGGACCTTCACCAGCTAGTCAAAGAAAAAGGGTGTCTACAATTTAGAAATCTAAGTTGTTATTCTGCAAGTGAGCACCACTACAAGGGATTTTGTTTATGCATTACTCTAAAATCGTACCACCCTATATAGTTTCTTTTTTACGTTATCTGATTAAGTCCTTTGTGTACCCCTGTCCGTTGTGATACCAATGTCTATTTCGTTACTTTTTTTAGTTTTTGTTAAAAAAAAATACTTAAAATGATTTTTATACACTATCACTTGGTAATACGTGTTTATAAATTAGAGTTTAATTCACTAATATAGTGACTAAAAGAAAATATTAATGGTATTGTTTTTTTAACAAAGAATCGGAATGGTTTCTTTTAAAAAGTAACTTAACGAACATACATATTTAAAAAAAAACCTACAATTTTTAATAAAAAATAAAATAAAAAATTGGAGTCAAAAGTTTGTGAACTAAGTACATTTTATTTTAAATTATTTTTATAACAACTTTTTTATTGAATTAAATTTTGGATTTCAAATTGGTAACACAGTGGAGATATATAAAGCTAGCTAAACACATTTTCTAAAAAAAATGTAAAAAAAATAAAAAGTGCACTGCCTGTCTTAAATGTAAGTAAACAAAACTCTAAACATTTATAAAAATCCAACCAAAAGTCAATTTAAGCAAAAAAAATATTTTGATCTTCATTTTCCTGAAAGCGGGTGTTTCTTGAAAATGACCCAAATATTTGATTGAAAAAGCAGCGCATTAATTCAATGAGAAACAATAAACCAAATTAAGCCAGTCAAGATGAAATAAAACCCTTCAAATTGACCTCAGTTTACTGAGAAACGTGACCCCAATAGAAAGTATCTTGAGACTTTAAAAGAACACTCCAAACTCTTGTTTTTGCCATCGAAAAAATTTATAAATAACTTTCACGTTTTCTTCCGAAATATTTATGTTTACATTTTTAATCAAAGAAAAATAATATTTTAGGTTGTCTTTCTTAAAAACTGTCAAATGTAATAATGACGTACTTTGTTTTTTTTGGTAGACATGTGGTACGAGGTGTGTTCAGAAAATAACGGAGGGTCCGGTTGTCATAAAATTTTCTTTATTATGTTGGTATACATGCCCCAGAAGTATGATAAAAACTTTAGCTGTTTTCATTGTTTACTTTGTCTGTGGCAGTCGCTAAGGTTAGACGTGTTTTATGAGCTCGGCGATTTTCGTTCGTTAAAAGAAATGGATCAAAGTATTTGTATACAATTTTGCTCAACAAATTAAATAAATTCTGTGAAATGTTAACAAAGGCCTATAGTGAGTCTGCTATAAGTAAAACAAGAGTTTACAAGTGGTATAAGAGTTTCCAAGATGGCCGTGAAGACGTTGAAGATGACGAACGCCCCGAACGCACAAGCACATGAACAACCGATAAAAACATGGAAAAAGTGGAAGAAATGGTTATAAACCATCAGAGAAGTCGCTGATGATGTTAGTATATCGGTTGGCTCATCCCATGAAATTTTTTCGAATGTTTTGGGTATGAAACGCGTGGCAGCAAAATTTGTTCCAAAATTGTTAAATTTTGAACAAAATTTTTGGCCAAAAACAATACTGTAATGATGCCCCAGCCTCAATATTCGCCAGACATGCCTCTGTCTGACTTTTTTCTATTCCTAAAAATAAAGAGAACCTTAAAGGGCCGTCGTTTTGCAAGCATAAATGACATTAAAAGCGCATCGCTGACAGAACTAAAGGTTATCTCAAAGATCGAGTATTGGAAGAAGAGCTGGCACATGTGCATAATATCCAATGGGGACTATTTTGAAGGCGACAACATCAATGTAGACGAATAAATAAATATTTGTTTCAAAAAACGAAAATTCCCGATATTTTCTAAACACACCTCGTATACCACATCTTCCGGACGAAAATGACACATTGGTATTTTTTGTTGGTGACAGCCAAAATTAACGGTTATTATTGACTCTTTGTATAATCATACGCAACCAAATTCCATTACTTTATGTCATAGACAAAAATGATGATATTTTTATATTTTTTCTCCGAATAATAAATAAAACCGTATTAAACAATAAAATAGCTTTTAATGCAATCCGACGTGAAAAATAAAATCATAAAATTGTGGTTATGAGCACTCAATAGAACTTTATTGTTATTATCAAATAGAATTAAAGCTGTACTTTATGGGAACGTCAAAAGTTAAATTTAATATTGTTTAATACGTTTTAAAAATAAAAAAAACTAGGTAGGTATATAAAAATACAAGGTTTTGAAGTTATTAAAGTTGACACCGAAAAACAAGGAAATCGCATTTTGGGGGTAATAAAAAAATGTCATACGCGTACATTTTTAGGTCAAGTATTTTCAGTACAGTGTCTATTTTTACCTTAATTAGGGCTGAATAAGGGAAATAACTATTTCAATTTTAACTGTTAACATTTTCATTTTATTGCTTTAAATAAACATCTTTAAATTGGCTATGTACTTTGCTCCACACCTCAAAGTCCCACCACGTGACCACGTACGGAACGCAGTCTTTTGAAAATTTGGCATTTAAGGCTTTTCAGGTTATGTATCTGTCAAACTATAGTCAACGAAAGAAATAATATTATGTTTAGGCGTTAAAAATGTTTAAATCTTTATAACATTACAATAACAATGGATGGTTTAAGAATTTAAGAATATAAATACTGCATTTAATGAAATTCTAAAATGTATGGTGCCAAATATGTAATATTTTTGTGCATTTGGTCCAAATATCTGGTTTTCTCCATAAAATAAATTTAACTAAATAGCATTTATTAAAAAAAATCTAGCTTCTCTATTATGGAATAAGAATATCTGTATTAAATGTAGGTTAATATATTATAACAAAAATATCATCTAATTTTGTAATTTTAAGGTTAGAAAAATTTATTTTGTCCAAAATAAATAAATATTTTGGATTATTGAAAAGACTGTATAATATGGTATTTAAAAATGTGGTAGTTTATCCAGCTTAAAGTGTACCTACATAAAGTTTTGTCAATACAAATAGTTAAAAAGCTTCGACTGAATTTGATCTACATCAAAAAATCATTATAACTTTAAAAATTTTAATAAATCACATGTCATGGGAGTATTAAATATTTTCACATTGCAAGTTTCTCTAAAAATTAATTAAAAATAACATTTGTTTTCATATAATCTAACTTAAAGTAAGTATGCCGAGAGGTATGCACAATTTTTGTCGTTAGAAGTATAAAAGCTTCAATTTAATTCTAACTATATTCAACAATTATTTATTTATGACCATATTAACACACTCTTTCAAATAATCCACTTATTTATTTTGGTCAAAATACATTTTTCTAACCTTAAAATACAAAATTAATTAATTAATTTTTGTTCTGATACATTAACCTACATTTAATAAAGATATTCTTATTTCATAATAGAGAAGTTAGATTTTTTAAAATAAATGCTGTTTATTTATTTTATGAAGAAATGTAGACCCAATGCACAAAAATATCACTTATATTGCACCTTACACTTTGGAATTTCATTAAATGCAGTATTTATATTCCTAAATTCTTAAACCAACCATTGTTATTGTGATTCTATAAAGATTTATTAACTTTTAACGCTTAAACATAAGCGGTAACATACTGAGAATCAAAAGTCCAACTGGTACCTTAACTAATTTTTATTACTGTGACACAGGAGAATGCACAGTTTGGCCACGCGCTGATTTTCGGGATTTAAATGAATTTTTTTTGTTTTTTGAATGTCAAATATCAACATTTTATATATTTGAATTTAGGGAAAAATATCTATTCATTTTTGCTATAAGTAATATCCATTATTATATTACATAACTAATGGATCTTTCATAAACTCAGCAATATACGGGATAACCCTGTACAAAGCAGCAATTAATAATTTAAAAACTCTGTTCATTATCTAACTAAATAAAGTTTGAAAAAACATAAAAGCACTATTTTCTGAGAGCGTCATTAAAACTTGAAAAATGGAAAAAAAGCGAGAGAAATAAAACGCTTGTGCGGTCTTTAGGTCGTTACATTGAAAGCAGTAGTTAAAAAGAATTCATTAACGAGTTTGTAAATAATATTTATTGTCGGGAAGTATGTCAAGGCTCCTGAAATAACACGAACCGCAATTTCACGAACAGACGAGTCTGAAAAGTCGCTGAAAATACTGAAAGTTACGCTGCACGATGAATTAAATCTTCTTCGAGCTTGCGAGCGAGTGTTTAATAAAAATGAGTGTCTAGTAAGTTTATAAACGAGATACATACTATACTTTTTACACGACAAATTCTTCATACAGAAAAATATTGGAAATTGTAATGTTTTTTTTTTAAATCTATATTTTCCACAAAAATAATTATATCGAGGTGAACCAAAAACAAAACTGTTAAGAATAGATGTGACTTGATAAATAAAACTTAATTTAGAACAATATACGGTTTTGCCACTCTACAGAGTGTCTTAAACTTATGGTAAAAAACATATTTTTGTTTAAACCTGTATATTATAAACGTACGTTTATTTTTTAGTAACTTTTTAAAAGGTGAGCGATTGTCCATTAATTTATCTTCAATATTCTTTAATATTCGTTTAAATCCGACATCAAATAAAAAAGTAATTTGCGATTGAAATTCATCGAAAATTTGTGTGGATCGATTATTTTGCCTGTGAAGTTTGTATTTTTGTATTAAGATACTAAAATGTACAACTAACTTGAGCCTGTGACTAAAACGCCATAAAGTCACTGTGTATTTAAAAGATCACAGTGTCATAGAAACATTTGCGTTTTAAAGGTAAAATTTGATGAAGATTCTATTTATAATTATAACTGTGGCTATAAACACGAACGTGCTATAATTAAAGTTCTAAATTAATAATAATAAATTTAATTTCAATTAAAATTTTTCGCAGTTGAAGCGTTGAAATGTCGGCATTAAATTTTCTTGTTCGCTGATCAATTAAGTAAATTTGGAGCTCCCTAGGGTGTTAAGGTGAGTTTGCATAGTTTATACAGCTTGAAATTGCCTCGTAAAACTTTTTCTCCTTTTATTATTTCAGCATTTGCAAGTTGGGTAGTCAAAACTAAACTTAACTTAGTAAAGGAATTACAACGTACATTTTTTTAAATAAAAAGGTACAATATTTTTACTGTTTTTTTTTAATTATATTAATAACTTTAGGTAAAGAAAAGTTTGTTTTTTATAAAATATTTATAAAGAAAATCTACTTACTGAGATATTACACTTCACGGTGGATAGGTTTTTAAATAGCAAATTAATGAACTTAAACTTTTGAATTATAAAACAGCAACACTCTCATCTGCATATAAATTCTAACTGACCTTCAGGAATCACATGCATCTATAATGTCGTAAACAGAGGTTTTTGCTTATTTAAAATGATTAAAGCGCCATCCGTTGCATAAAATTTGAAGCAAAAACAGATTCACGGAGGATAGAATCAGTTTTTGTAACACATGTGTTTAATTTACTTGGTGAACTGATATTTTTAGTATGCTTTTACTACCTAAGGTATTTGAAAACATATAGGTTAACCTAGAAAGAGTAACAGTCACGGAGGATAGGTTTTAGGCTTTTAAAACATTTTTTGTCAGTAAGTAGTTGTACCTGTGGTAAGGCTGATCTCCATGGCCCTTTGTCGATGACCAAGTACTTTAAATTGGGGTAGGGACACCTCGTTCGATACGCCAACGGAATTCGGTCCCTCGTTCCATTTATATCTGATATCTCGCATTGTGTAACCGACTGTAATAACAAGCCATTGCGAGATACGGACCAACAGAACATTTAACGAACTAGTTAAAATGGTTAAAGAATCGGTTATTTAAAAAAAACACCATAAGTAATTTCTGTATCTATCTAAACTTAAGGTGGATAAAAAATAACCGATTCAAAGGGAAACTAAGAAAATAAGGATCTAAGGGACAATACCTTTTATAAATTATGATTTTATTTTGAAGAACAGGATTATTTTACATTGCTTATCCTAAGTGATTGTTGAAAAGGAATATTGTTAATAATAATTTATTAACATACAAATCCAAGATTAGTAGATTTTTAAAGTTACGTTTAACCAGGCCCTTACGCAAGTTCTATATTCAATTTTTTAAATGAAATAAACAGTTTTTTTCTTCCGAAACAATTACACTGACTTACAAGGATTTTGCGACTTAGCTGGGTTATTTTTTCGTGTTCAGGTCACCCAAAATCTTCTTTTTTTGGTTATTCGCCAATTTTTAGTTTTTTGATAAAATTAAAAAAACCTTTGGTATTATCAACACCAATGCAAGAGATATAAACAATTCTTACTTTTTTTTTAATAAAATATTACCTATGCTATTAGCAAAACAGTTTTTGGGCTACCTGAACATGAAAAAATATCACAAAAATATCACAATATACCGTACTTTCATTTTACATGTACTATGCTCCACACCTCAAAGTCCCACCACGTGACCACGTACGGAACGCAGTCTTTTGAAAATTTGGCATTTAAGGCTTTTCAGGTTATGTATCTGTCAAAGTATAGTCAATGAAAGAAATAATATTTATAGTGTTACCGCTTATGTTTAAGCGTTAAAAGTTAATAAATCTTTATGGTATCAAAATAACAATGGTTGGTTTAAGAATTTAGGAATATAAATACTGCATTTAATGAAATTCCAAAGTGTAAGGTGCAATATAAGAGATATTTTTAACTAAACAGCATTTATTAAAAAAAATCCAACTTCTCTATTATGAAATAAGAATATCTGTATCAAAGGTAGGTTAATGTATTAGAACAAAAAATATCATCTAATTTTGTATTTTAAGGTTATAAAAATCTATTTTGACCAAAATAAATAAGTGGATTATTTGAAAGAGTGTGTTAATATGGTCATAAATAAATATAGGTATACTAAATAATTGTTGAAGCTTTTATACTTCTAACGACAAAACTTGTGCATACCTCTCGGCATACTTACTTTAAATTAGATTATAAGAAAACAAACAAGAGAGACTTGCAATGTGAAAATATTTAATACTCCCATGACATGTGATTTATTAAAATTTTTAAAGTTATAAGGATTTTTTGATGTAAATCAAATCAGTCGAAGCTTTTTAACTATTTGTATTGACAAAACTTTATGTAGGTACACTTTAAGCTGAATAAGAAAAACTACCTCATTTTTAAATACGATATTATACAGTCTTTTAAATAATCCAAAATACTTATTTATTTTGGTCAAAATAAATTTTTCTAACTTTAAAATTACAAAATTAGATGATATTTTTGTTATAATAAATTAACCTACCTTTAATACAGATATTCTTATTCCATAATAGAGAAGCTAGATTTTTTTAAATAAATGCTCTTTAGTTAAAATTATTTTATGGAGAAAACCAGATATTTGGATCAAATATTACTTATTTGGCACCATACATTTTAGAATTTCATTAAATGCAGTATTTATATTCTTAAATTCTTAAATCATCCATTGTTATTCTAATGTTATAAAGATTTATACATTTTTAACGCCTAAACATAATATTATTTCTTTCGTTGACTATACTTTGACAGATACATAACCTGAAAAGCCTTAAATGCCAAAAGACTGCGTTCCGTACGTGGTCACGGGGTGGGACTTTGAGGTGCGGAGCATAGTACATTCGGTTTTTAAGAGTGGGAGAATAATTCTATTAAAAACAAATTAATTATGCAAAATGCAAAACATAACTGAATCGTCGCCTACGGCAACATCTTTCAATGCATCTCGCGTTCGGGTTCACTCGAGTGTATATATTTCAATTGAAAATACGGTATAAGCATTTTTAACAGTTTAATGACAAAAAACCCTGCTCAAGAACCTGAGTTTAATAACGAATTACGACTTATTTAACCCAATCAACAAACACCTTATAAATCGCTTAAAAAACAAGTTACCTGTGGTCAGTTCGACCTGCCTCGAGCTCTGCTTGTGACCCAACACCCGAAACTGTGGCAACGACACAGCGTTGCTAATAGCGACGCTCTCTAATCCCGCATTCCATTTATATCTGATATCTCGCATCGTGTAACCGACTATAGCAAATCACACCGGCCGCCAGAACAGACAACAAAGCAAGTCATGACATTTTTACGTCGACAGTCACCTCGCCAAATGTCAAAAACAGTTGCGAGGCTTTTTCAGGTTAGAAACGCACATAAACATATGATTACAGTGTTGCCAAGTTTGACCACCATCTTGAAACTCCGCTAATAGCCGATGAAATGAACTACTCACGTATATTTTGTTCTTTGTTGACAGTTATTAACCTATTTTTTAATCTCATTATTGTATGACCGTGGTTACGATGTTAACATATAGGTTATGTTAATGTATTAGTTCAACCATATGTGAGTAGTTCATTTTACGACATAAAAAGAGTATTCTTTTGGACCTGGCAACACTGCTTGACATTTTTGTCAAATTTTATGTGAGTTTTTGCATTACATGATAAAATCTACACCATACACAATAATTCATGAAATAGTGATAATCATACAAAAACATGAAGCGATTAAAGCACAAGCCAATAAAAAATGTTTCGGGTGCAAATAGAGTGCAAATATGATAATACGAAAAATAAAATATAGCTACAGGGTGAGGAATTTGGTGTGATAAAAATGACTGATGAATTTGTTGTAGGTACACGCAATTTATATGCAAATTAGTGCTGGGTAAAAAATTTCCTAGATTAAAATCGTGTTAGTCTGGGAAATTTCAAGCCAACACCTTTTTGTCGTATAGTCAAATGTAGTAATAAAATTATATATGGATATGTACAGGTTTTTTGATTAATTAGTTTATGTTTTTGTGGGTCTAATTTATTTTACTAAAGCAGTTCTAAATTTATAATTAAATATATGTTTTTAACATTTTTTAAAAAATGGCGAATGCGCCGGGATTAATTGTGATGGATTCTGTTTTAATTTTTGTTGCATTTATAAGGACAATTTTTTCACCTGTCATCTGTCAAATTATTATTTGTCAATGTTTTACCAATTAAAAATTATTGCAGCGAATATTTTACCATTGTCCAATATTGTACCATTGTCAATATTTTGCACTTTTGAGTGGTCAAAAATTGTTTTACTACGAGGTAAATAAAAATAAATATTTTGGTATTTATAAAATATACATAGAACAATAGATACTTGGTGCACCCTGTAAAATACAAAAGGTTTTTTTTAAATTACAATTTTTTTTTTAAATATCTTTAGATATTCTTTTAAAATTTTAAGATTCTTAGGATTTAACAATTTTTTGGTAATTTTCAAAAGTAATTGCAGCGAATATTGTACCATTGTCCAATATTGTACCATTGTCCAATATTGTAACATTGTCCATATTCGCACTTTTGATTTGTCAAAAATTGTTTTACTACGAGGTAAATAAAAATAAATATTTTCCTATCTATAAAATATACATAGAAGAATAGGTACTTGGTGCACCCTGTAAAATACAAAAGGTTTTTTTTTTAATTTACAATTTTCTTTTAAATATCTTTAGATATTCTTTTAAAATTTTAAGATTCTTGGGATTTAAGAATTTTGTTGGTAATTTTCAAAAGTAATTGCAGCGAATATTGTACCATTATCCAATATTGTACCATTGTCCAATATTGTAACATTGTCCATATTCGCACTTTTAATTAGTCAAAAATTGTTTTATTACGAGGTAAATAAAAATAAATATTTTGGTATCTATAGAATATACATAGAAGAATACTTGGTATTGTTTGTATTGATTATTACAATATATTTTTTTAATTTTGATATTTCCATTATTAGATTTTGTAATTTTCAAAAGAACTGCTTTAATAAAATAGATGATTTTTTGCAGGGGTATTCTCACAGTAAAATATTATTTTTCATATTATTACAAAAATGTTCATTATATTTACTTTAACCACTTTTATAAAACTTGGGTTGGCAAATATATATTTTCAGCACTAATAATTATCTTGTGTATTAAAATAATAGTTATTTATGTATCAAGGCAGTAAAGTCGTATTTTTTATCACGATTGTGGAAATTAAATTTTATCCGAAATCACATTTAGTCACAATCCACACAACAAGGTCTGTTCTATCTCGTACTAAAAATATAAAAAATCACTGCAACACTGCACAGTTTAACGACGGCCATTTTAGTTGTTTACAATTTTTGTGCTTTGGGTTTGTGCTCTGTTTATACAGATTAATAATCGTTTTAAACGTAAGCCTTAAAAGAGTCCTTAAAGTGCTAAGAACAACCATTTTACTCCTCTATTGTAAAAAATAAACTCTATTCTATCAAGGCTGTCATAAAACTGTCAAATGTCAATTTTAAGGTTAAATTATAACCCACAAATTAACCTTCAAATTGTTATTTGACAGCCCTGATAGAATAAGGTATATTTATTATAAAAGAGGAGTAAAATGGTTGTCCTTAGCACTTAAAGCCATTATTTGAGGCTTACAACGTTTAAAACAATTTTTAAACAGCACAAACCCAAAGCACAAGAATTGTAAACAACAAAAATGGCCGCCGTTAAACTCTGTGCAGTGTTGCGGTGATTTTTAGTATTTTTAGCATGAGATAGAACAGACCTTGTTGTGTGGATTGTGGTAATACTAATAATTAATATTGGTGATTAAATCAAATGTCATTTGATTGTAGGAAGTGTCTACGTATACTCTTTGTTAAAATTAACTTATTATTTTTATTTAAACAACATTTTATGAAAGGGTCCAATCGACCTCCGCGACGGTGCTTTTTTAAATATTACTTAGTTAGTAGACACATCTTAAAATGTATAATGGGTTGCATACAATACTCTCTATTAAATCGGCATTAAAGTTCTACTTTACTGCCGATTTCGGATAAAAGAACTATTTTCATTGAGAATACCCCTTTGTCTCGTCATGCAGGAATTGAGGTTAGGTATCATGCTGGTGCCTGACGGCCGGCGTAGTCGGGACAGTCATTGCGCGCAAAGAGGTAAATAATTTCTAAATCAAAAAAAAAAACTGCTGCCCCCGGGCGTCAGTCCGTGAGTCCTCCGGTGCCGCCACAGTGCAGGGGCGGGTGAGCAGGGCCGTATTTGCAGTTTTTATGCTCACAGCGTACTTCGGTACTTTTGTTAAATTTTTTTTGTACTGAGCATAAAAATCGGTCCTTCTGCGAGTGCTGTATAAGAGAAGGAGGCCGAACCAACGACAACAGACATTGTTTAAACTTTAAATAAACAAATCAATAAACAAATAAAATCATATAATTTTTGGTATGGTCGGTTCAGGGCAATAAGATTGCTTTGTGTTCAGTTGGATTTTTGTTTTGTTTGTTATTTTAAGGGTAAATTTGATAAATTGTATATTTGTATATACACTCATGTGCAAAATAATCGAACCACACACATTTTCGATGAATTTCAATCGCAAATAACTTTTTTATAAAAAATAGACATACGGTTTTGCCACTCTACAGAGTGTCTTAAACTTATGGTAAAAAACATATTTTTGTTTAAACCTGTATATTATAAACGTACGTCTATTTTTTAGTATTTTTTTTAAATGTTAGCGATTGTCCATTAATTTATCTACAATATTCTAATAAAAAAGCTATTTGCGATTGAAATTAATGTGTGGATCGATTATTTTGCACTAAGAAGTCTTGTAAACTTAATAACAAACTCGTTACTATTTTTCTACAAAATTGCAGTAGTATACAAAATAAATATACAGGTTGTATACAAGTTCATACAAAAAATCCATCTAAATCTAAACATTCTTTCAACTTATTACACTGAACCTGGTTATTTTGAAAAGCGAAAGGCCAACACATTGGGGCCGAAATCAAAAAGCATACGACTTGGAGAACCTTTGGCTCTATTGTCCCTTTTGAACACAGCAACAACACGTTAAAATGATGAAAAAAGCAAACATTTACATAGGACGCAAGGCAAAGATTCCCCAACACAAATGATCCAGAAAATTTAAAAGGTCGTAGGACTTATAATTTGACGACCTTTGTAATTTTCAGGCGACACGTCGTGCTCCAGATTTAAGATCAACATGGAAGTTACAATACTTTTTTTACCCTTCTTGTACCCATCTTTTTCCACTTAATAACAGTACAAAAACAGTACAAAAATGTATCCACATTAACTTTGTATTTGGAGCAAGGCTTGTCAGATGCCTTTTTTTGGCCTTTCGCTTAACAATGTTTAAGGGTATACGCAAATATTTGGGGATTGCGGCTTCAGGACCCGGAAGCTCGTCCTTTTAAAAGCCCCCAGGACACCCTTTTAATGAAATCAACTTTTTGCTCCTCCAAAGAAACTCACAGTAAACTTAACAGCTATTTTAGGTGGAGAAAAATCTACACCCTTTCTTGAACATTAAAACATTAAAACAAGCTGTGTTCACTTGTAAAAAAAAGTGGACTTAATACATTTCGTCTCTGGGGTACACAATTGTATTAATAATAAACGTGCAAATTATAAAAAATCGAAATTTACATCCTTACAATTTAAAACAATTTCATCCTTCCAGCCTTTTAACTTTTGCATTAAAGGCAGCCCAGGGGTATACAAGGTAGAAACTCCCGATCCCTAATAATTTTTGGAGTTATGCTGGCCGGAAAGGGAATAAGTAATATTTTCGGCGTTAAATGGAGGAAAAAATACGATTGTAATTTTATTCAATTTAGGTAAATTTATGGATAGAGCGACAAGTTGATTTCAAGTTATTTTACGGCAACAACGAAAATACTTTTGGAGATTTAAATTTTTATTATAATATATTGTATGTGGTTTGTATGTATATGTATAGGTATGTTCTTTATTCAAAAATGTCCACGTAACAATTATTTTAAACACATATAGCAAACCCTGAAATTTTTATTAACAAGTTTTTGTAAATTAGGTTTAAAATTTTGTGGTATATTTTAAAATTATTTTTTATAGACTAATTAATTTTCAACAAAAATATTTACTACTAATTTCAAAATCCGAACCATTCTATTAGTTAAAAAATAAAAAAAAATACAATTTTTTTTAAGTGCATTGTGCACCCAAAAAGTGCATTAATCATAAAAATTTGGATTTAAAGGTGTTGCGACTAAAATAATTAATTTGTTGTCTTTTTCTTTCATTTTTGTAAAACAAATGAAAATCTCCAAAAGTTAATTTCCACACCCATCATTTTGTTGGTTACGAGCTTCCAAGTATTTGCGTGATATTTGCCGAATCAAAGGTTATCTGTGTATAAACAGTGCAGTGTGTGCACCCCTTTAGAAGCCTAAAAATTTCGGAAAACTGTTAAATTGTTGACATCACAAAAAGCTTTATACAGTGTTTCGAGAAAATCGGAAAAAAGTGCGAGCACATTGCAGACACAGGTATCTTTTGATATCCTTTTTGTTTTGTTTTGGCTAGACTTATTTTCTAGTTTATTTTGAAATAATAATAGTTTATTTTACATTAGGTTTAGAGTAGTAGGTAATTTACTTACAACTTTCAATTTCTATGTGGCAAAGTTGTCGGTCCATCGGGAAATACTGAAGGTTCATAGGACACGAAGCGGTAATGGTAAGTCTGAAAGAAGAAGTATATAAGTTGTTGTGGTTTTTATGATCATTTCATCAGTGCTACATCAAATTTGATGTTCAAGCGTTTTATAATTTTTTACCTCCTAGTCTGTTAAAACCCCGTTTGGCCAATAAAAAGTGTTTTGAGATCTGAGAGAGCTGTTAATATTTCTAGTAACTCTTAGAATTTTACATTTTTTATATACAAATCTGATATCTGATCAAAATTATTCTTTGTCCATTCAAAGGCATCAATCATTATATTAATTTTTTATCTGTCCAATAAACGACATTGCCATTCAACGATATTCGGCAGTAAAGTCAAAGTAAATGGTCAATTTGAATTGATGCAGACAAAGAAACAGAAGTGGATAAAACTACCGTAATGGCGCCCATATATCCTTCGATAGACCGCAGTACGAGCAAGTGTGTGTTAGGGAGCGATTCAGAGTGATATATGTCCATTAATACATTTCAATGTTGCGGGTAAATTGATCCAAAATAGCTTCAACCTTGATACTGAACGATATAGTTTAGGTTTAATTCTAAATTTTGTTCATAAAAATTATAATTTTTAACGTATGTCCTTAACGTTATATTCTTGGGTGTACAAAACAAAGTATGTTAAAGTCAAATAGAAATATGTAATAACATAATACATTGCATTGCAAGATAATATTATTAATATTTAAAATGGTAAACATAAAATGATATATATAATAAATAAGTAATTAAGTTTGTCCAACCATAACCCAAAATATACAAAGTTTAGCTTGCTTCTTCTTTCACAAAGAAAAGATGAATTAAAAATAATAAAATATAATTTTAATATTTAAAAAATAATACTTTCACAAAAACTGAATTTTTATAATAGGACAGAAAAGTTCGCACGTTACTTTGGTGCTAAGATTTTTGTTTTTTTTGTTAAGAGCAAGACTGTGTTTAAATTACAACAAAAAATATTTCTAAAAAGTGTACAGATCAGTGTGTGGTATAAATGTGTTTCTCGTAGTTTAAACATTGTCACTTTAATGCGTTTTAATTTCAATTCTGAAAACAAACAGTAACATGGCCAGTGTCCAATTACTGGTTGGTAAAAAATGTAAATTTCTATTATTGGACATATGTCCAATATCATACTCTATTTGTATCCCGGACATTTACCAGTCTATTCTTATGTAAAATATATATATATATATATATATATATATATATATATATATATACATTATATGTAAAATTGATTATATTTCAAAAACTGTTCCACTTTTATAAGTTTTGACGACATTGTCAGATTCAGTGAATAATATTTCATAGGAATTGACTGCAAAATGTCCTGGATACAAATTGCTGTTGACGAGAATTATTAGTGGCTCCTTTTTCGCTATGGCATTTTTGACTAATTCATTTTTAGAGAGTAAGTAATATAGTGATTTCTTCGTCACAGGATATCTTGCAGAATAACAGTGATTTAAATACAGTGCATGATAGAGAACATAAAAAACTAATGGCAATAAATTCGGAAAATACTTTTAACATACCACCAGAAAAAATATTAAATCATCCTGTTTCGGCCTAACATTATTAATGCTTCACAAACTAGAGATACCACACTTAATGATATTTGCAACAAACTATTTCAGAAGTCAGAATTCGAATGATATTATTATTACATGTAAATTAATTGGTAAGTCAATTTATCTGAATGATTGATTTATAGGTCGACATGGAGAGTACAATAAAAATAATGAATTTCGTTTATCATCATCTGTTTATCTATGCAATGTAATTTGCAAATCGATGTGTTAATCACTGTTTTTATGCTCATCTGATGTTGGTAAAATTGAGTTCATTACTGTTTCATATCCTTTAGCTAAATATGGAATTCTCACAATCCACACAACAAGGTCTGTTCTATCTCGTACTAAAAATACAAAAAATCACTGCAACACTGCACAGTTTAACGGCGGCCATTTTTGTTGTTTACAATTTTTGTGCTTTGGGTTTGTGCTCTGTTTATACAGATTAATAATCGTTTTAAACGTTGTGTTTCTCATAGTAAGCCTTAAAGTGCTAAGAACAATCATTTTACTCCTCTATTGTAAAAAATAAACTTTATTCTATCAGGGCTGTCATAAAACTGTCAAATGTCAATTTTAAGGTTAAATTATAACCCACAAATTAACCTTAAAATTGTCATTTGACAGCCCTGATAGAATAAGATATATTTATTATAAAAGAGGAGTAAAATGGTTGTCCTTAGCACTTAAAGGCCTTATTTGAGGCTTACAAGTGCCTCTGTAAGAAACACAACGTTTAAAACAATTATTAAACAGCGCAAACCCAAAGCACAAGAATTGTAAACGACCGCCCTTAAACTCTGTGCAGTGTTGCAGTGATTTTTAGTATTGAGACCTTGTTGTGTGGATTGTGGGTATTCTATTAAAAGAGTCACACCAAACTTGACAGTTGCGACATTTAGGTGTGACTGATGCATTGTTGCCAAACTTACCGAATACTTCGCGTGATTGACCCGGAATGGTGTATCCGAATGAATTCGTTGAGGGTGGTTGCTATGTGGAAGGAGGACTGTTTCTCATTGACGAAGAATGTGTCGGGTACCCAGATGTTCTTGATGAATTCCGAACCAACGCTCAGCGTTTCTACGCCGGGTCGCTTCCGGAACGCCAGTCGCGGGTCAGTCCAGAATTGACGAAAATAGAAGTCCAAAGTGAAGTCCTAGATAAATCGTACATCGGATTAGACAGAGTTTCACTAAGGTATGGTGGTATGTTTGGAAGGACCTTGTATTGTTATTGGATAACAATAAAACGTTCTTTCAAGTTCTATTTACAAACAGTCACAATTGTGCAAACAGTAATCTATTGTGCTAGGGATAGTAAGAGGCAAATCAACAAGACATAAAGTTTAAGTATTCATATTATATGCTTTGTTCAGTGTTATGCTTGGGCGACTCTTTACATTATTTTTATGCTTATACGGGATGATTAAAACTGATTCTATATCACTCTCTCTCAGATCTTTTCGAGCATTATAATTGTGTCCTCTAGAGGCAAGATTAAAGGAAATTTAGAGTGCATGTAGATTTGCTGAGTGAGGGTTTTTAACGTATAAATGAGGTCCCGAGAGCGTAAATATTAAATGAAAAAACCTGCCAACTGAAACAATTAAGTTTGAGTTAAAACATGCATTCATAAATATAGCACAAAACTAACGTATCATTATCGAAGTGCTTTCATGTCGATTTGCCCGTTACGATTGCAAATGACTGGGCAAGTCGTTGAAAAAAATAACGAACCCAACATTTCGGTGAGTGAGTGGGGAATGTGATTGGTTCTACACGGGCTGTTGGCATGCTTTTGCTAGGACGCCATAATTAATAGTTATTAACCATAATGCACTAAGCGGACATGTAACGGCATGCACAACAACAAGAATGGGGCGGATACGCCTTGAAACTATGCACAGTGATCCAAATTGCAATTTAGTATTTGTATTTTGCCAATGAAAAGTAAAATAAGATGAAGTTTATGTTTTTTCCTACCCGGTAAAATATTCTTACACTATGATAGTTTCACAAACTTTTTTTCCTAACATTAAGTACTCCAGCTTAGTTTAACTAATTTTGGGCCGCTGATTTCAAAAATGTCATTAGTTTTTCTCTAGGACGTCTAGGATTTAAAATAATTTCGTAATAAAATGCTCTGCTCAATCACCTCAAAATGTAAGTTTTTTGTTGGTATTTTAATTGTTTATTAAATTATTTTGGCTTAAATTTATCTTGAATGTACTAAAGTAATTGGTATACGGCAAAAAGATCATATTTATCTTAACAATATGACATTTGAAATACTAAAACTAAAAATGGGTAATGTATTTTATGTAAAAAACAACCATTCTTTGACATTTTTTGTCGTTTATTTTAATTATTAAATTGAAAGGGCAGAGTAAACAAGTTTCAGTATTTTTTATTTAAATTAACCCCTTAAAATTTAATGCATTGCATAATTTTGTTTTTTTATACCTTAAATTTATTAAATCGTATCAAATATCGAATTGGATTATAGTATTATTTCTTCCCGCTATACCCATAGATATCTACCAATGCTCTAGATTTGCAGTTACTTGGTGAAATCGTTCTCCATGTTCATCAGTTCGGCAAATTTATCAGGATGAAAAAAAAGATTCTTTGCAAAACGGAAAGCATTTTTTCAATGAATTGGCGCCAATTTTGGCCCGATATGAACCAAGAACATTTTCAATGACAGCTTTAACACTGCCATATGCGACAAGCTCGTCAACTTTGAGAGCATTTTTGAATGCTTGATCTTTTATTAAACGTGGTATATCAGATCCATTTAATATTTCTGCAAAATTAAAGTAGTAGGTATATCTCATAAAACTTTGCAATGAAATATTGCGTTGGTTTTTCTTGGGCGTAAAGGTACCGCAACAAAAACAAAACAAATTTACAACGACGACATAAATGTTCGTCTCCTTTCTCTTTCTCTGCCACTTCCATTACCACTCTTTTTTCATTTTTGGTTCTTAAAATCACTTTCAAGTAAAAATACAATTTAAAGTCAATAATTAATAGATGCACTTTAGTGTGCTTGAGTACTTAATGTTAGTAAATCGAACTATCATAGTGTTATTAGTGACTTTTTCGCTATGAAAATTAGTCAAATATGACTTGGTTATTTTCGACTAATTCATTTAAAGAGAGTAAAGAATGAAGATAGTTTTAGGTGTGCTTGTTAAATAAATAAGCTGATTAAAAAAAAAATTGAAAATGCCCGCAAAAACATGTCTATCGCAAAAAACGAGGCCTTCATCCAGCGACTATAAATACAGTTCTGCAAATTGAATCACAATGCTGCGCCTTGTAGGAGGCGGTAGGCAGCCGCCGCCGGGGGTGGCCCAGGCAAAGGCAAAGAACAACAGTGCAATGCAGCGGCGGCGGCAGCTTGGCTTCGAGCCAGAGGCGCAGTGCGACTGCCGCCGCGAGGGGGCAGCACCGCCGTGCTTTGCGAGAGATTATTTGGGGCGGGCCGGCCGTGCCAAAAACGCTTGCACTATTTTCGCCCTCGGTGTGCTCTTAATTCCTTCATTAATGCCGATTTATTTGGTCGCTGTCTCTGAACGCTTTATCGGGTTTTAGGACTGCACTGTACTGTATTAATGTTAGATGCAAATGTATGATTATTTATATTTACATTATATTTCTTTGTTGGATGTGTATTTTAAGCTTTTCAGGTTATGTATCTGTCAAAGTATAGTCAACGAAAGAAATTATATTATGTTTAGCCGTTAAAAATTAATAAATCTTTATAACATTACAATAACAATGGATGGTTTAAGAATTTAAGAATATAAATATAAATCAATAATATATTTTTAACTAAACAGCATTTATTTTAAAAAAATCTAGCTTCTCTAATATGGAATAAAAATAACTGTGTTAAAGGTAGGTTAATATATTATAACAAAAATATCATCTAATTTTGTAATTTTAAGGTTAGAAAAATTTATTTTGACCAAAATAAAGAAGTATTTTGGATTATTTATAAGACTGTAATGGTATTTAAAATGTGGTAGTTTTTCTTATCCAGCTTAAAGTTCACATACATAAAGTTTTGTCAATACAAATAGTTAAAAAGCTTCGACTGAATTTGATCTACATCAAAAAATCATTATAACTTTAAAAAATTTAATAAATTACATGTCATGGGAGTATTAAATATTTTCACATTGCAAGTTTCTCTAAAAATTGTTTGTTTTTTATAATCTAACTTAAAGTAAGTATGCCGAGAGGTACGCACAAGTTTTGTCATTAGAAGTATAAAAGCTTCAATTTAATTTGAACTATATTTAACAATTATTTAGTATACCTATATTTATTTATGACCATATTAACACACTCTTTCAAATAATCCACTTATTTATTTTGGTCAAAATAGATTTTTCTAACCTTAAAATACAAAATTAGATGATATTTTTTGTTCTTATACATTAACCTACCTTTGATACAGATATTCTTATTTCATAATAGAGAAGTTATATTTTTTTTATTAAATGCTGTTTAGTTAAAACTATTTTATGGAGAAATGTAGACCCAATGCACAAAAATATTACTTATATTGCACCTTACACTTTGGAATTTCATTAAATATATTCCTAAATTCTTAAACCAACCATTGTTATTGTGATACTATAAAGATTTATTAACTTTTAACGCTTAAACATAAGCGGTAACACTATAAATATTATTTCTTTCATTGACTATACTTTGACAGATACATATCCTGAAAAGCCTTAAATGCCAAATTTTCAAAAGACTGCGTTCCGTACGTGGTCACGTGGTGGGACTTTGAGGTGTGGAGCATAGTACATGTGTCTCTTAAGCGTTCTCCAAATATTTCGAAGTACTATTGCCCGTTACTGTATATCTAAATACAATTATGCTTCTATTATTTTTAATCTATTTTTGTCAAATTTGGACAAATGTTTGCACTTAAAACTTTAATTCAAAACTTAAACATGCCTTTAAATTTAAAAACATTCTGCACAGAACAAACGGCTTAATTTCGCTGGTTTCATTGTCCGCGAAAAATAAAAAACTTAATGCAACTGTTTAAAATGAAATGTCGCTTTTTCCAGCTAGATAAAACCGACGCCATAAAAGTAATGATAAAAAAGCTTATGTCCAGGAAACAGACAAGAAACGGACTTCAAAAAAATAAGTTATGGTAGCAATGACCGTTTAAATGTTTTTCATGAAACACCTCAAAATAGAACAGTTGTTGGCTAGAGTTATGTTTAATTTAACTAAAATATTATTGTAATGATTTTTTCAAGGTAGTTCAATCGTTTAAATTTTTATTTTTATTTAATGTTTTATTTGAACTTGATCTAATTTCTATTTAAATTCAAGAGCTCGGGGTAAGCTGGCACTGAGGTTTATGAAAATTTAATTTATTTAAGGAAACTATAAATTATTAGACATTGACATTGGTAAATCAAAGCACAATTGACACGCAAACCATTAAAATCATTTATATTTTTATTACCAAAAGTAGTTCATTACCATTTTTACAATGCTTAAAATATCGAATAAAATATAAAAAAATAAACTTTCTCTAACAGTACAGAAGAATATATTCCAAATATTACAGAAAAAGCCCATTTGTGGTAATATTTAAAAATACATGTGGTTAAAATAGCCCCTAAAGTTTGTCCCTTAATTTTGGTCCCCTAGGTCACGTCTCCTGGGTCACAGCTTTTATAAATGACCTTTTGAATTGAGCGCACATTTTTTGGTGCTGCCCCCTTGCGGCAATGTATTTGGTAAAGGATTTTAGTAGAAATTGGTGTTTTGAACTATCTTTATGCCACAACACGTTTTTTTGTATTTTTTATACCAGCGTGGCAAAACTGTGCATTCTTCTGTGTCACAGTAATAAAAAGTACCTAGTTGGACTATTTTGAGAATCAAACAAAGTCTAACTAGGTACTTTTTATTACTGTGACACAGAAGAATGCACAGTTTTGCCACGCTGGTATAAAAAATACAAAAAAACGTGTTGTGGCATAAAGATAGTTCAAAACACCAATTTCTACTACAATCCTTTTTGAGAATCAAACAAAGTATCCTAGTAATTGTTTTATGGACCAAAATACAAATTTTTATCTTTGAAACAGTAAAGAGGTTATGTTCTAAAAACATACATTTTTCCCCTGGGTCACACGTCTCCTGGATCAAAGATTGTGTGACCCATGGGAAAGTTATGTGACCCAGGGGACAATTCCAAAGAAATGAATTGTAATATATTTTTTAAAAAATAATAAACTTATAGAAAAGTTTTAAATACATTTTTTTTCGACATATTAAAATAATTTTATTGCTTTCCATAGTTATCATTTTTTATATGAAGAAAATTAAGTCATATTTTTTAATAATTTGGGAACAGTACATGAAGTTGATTAACTGTAAAATGTATAATACAAACATATAAACCTTAAAAAGTTTATAGTAAACAAATTGGTTGTCCATTATAATCAAAATTATCGAAAAACAACAAATTACGATATTATAATTTATGTTTTATATTGACGCATAAATAAATTACGTTAAATAATGATTTTTCAAACATTTGCATCCACATCAGTTTAAATTCTAAATTTGTTTCATATTAAAGCACATTATATTTAAATTGTAATTAATGGAGGCTTTAACGGCATTGACAAACGTTTTTAACACAGCTGCCGCATATTTTTATTTAATTTTATTGTATTTTGGTCAAGGTCACTTAAAACCAGATTAAGTCTTAGTAATGGGCCATGATTTTAAAATATATTAATTAGGTAATACTTTTTTAAAAACCTGAAAACAATTTAAAAATAGAGACTGTAAAACATGCATCTATAATTAAAAATAAGCCAGGACTTAATCAAACAAGTTTTAAGAAACCTTGGTTATTAATTCATAGGTATAAGGAAATTTAAAAATCTATAAAGGCTGGCCTATTAAAACGTAACGAACATAACGTCGATTAAGATGGGTACATATGGGGTAAATGTGGGGTAAGTAAATGGTAATGTGGCTACATTCAATCAAATAAGTAAAGTTATCAATGGTAACACAAATGCAATTTTTTAATGAATGTAGGTCAGAAACAACCAGTGGCGGCCCAAAATTTGACAAATGTAGCCAAGGGACTCGATAAGACTAGTACACATGCGACATGCCGACACCCAGGCAGTTACTTATCTGTGTCCCTATAGGGAGTAAAAAGTATGGAGAAGTCAGAGACAAGGTTGGGTTTAGGTTGGGTTTATGGGATTCGCGCGCTCAACTGAGCTGGCGGAAGGGGGCAGGCCAGGGTCACGTCCTGAAGTGACCTTTAACCTTGATTTGGTTTCCATGGTGTGTCTCCAACACCTTACAATATAAACATTACAACAGTATAGTATATATATGGGTATTACAAGTTTGGAGTTGGTGTAAACAATGAGGATCCCAATCTTTGACCCAGTCGTTGGCATTTGATATATACAAAAGCTAAAACACTCCCCAGGTAGCACACTGACGTTTATATGACGTTTATATGACGTCATTTCAACGTCATATAAACGTCGTATAAACGTCAGTGTGCTACCTGGGTCTCTCCATATATACAAATAACAATGAAGAGGTAAAGGTCCAGTTCCTCAGAGCTTAGGTGCAACATCCCGAAGCAGATAACCCAAACATTATAAAGAGAATGTGGCACCCGGGTGCTTGTAAAATCACGACTAAAGCTGGCTGCTGGCAACAACATACTTAGAAGAGGCCATGCACACAGTCCGTAGTATTTTAGACTGCGACACACACACACAACAACAGACATTCTCAATCTCCGGCGCCGTTGCCCGGATCCATCGTACAAGACCATGTCTGGTGGTTTGGTTGCAACAACACTCGTACGACAGTTAGTAGTAATTAATTAATATAAGAAAAATGACCCCATGCACGAACGTTAATCTACCAACTGATTTGAGTTTTTCACTTTGGTTATATGTTAAACAAATATTAGAAATATTGGGGAATATTTCTTATATTTGTTTAGTAACAGACTTAATAAGTTAAACTAGTAGTACTTAATTATTAAACAGTGAAAAATATAATCAGTTGGCCATATCAGCTGATATAGTTATTTGAACGTATGTGCATAGAGGCATGTTGGTTAAAAAAAGAAAAAATGATGCAGCACGATAAAATTAATAAAAAAATACTTAATTAAAGTACGAAATTAAGTAGGTACGATATAATACACACACGGTAAAGATACTGAACAGATAAACAGTGTTAATAAATGCGATACTCATATATGCGGCTCGAAAGAGCTAGCAGTGCTTAGTGTTCGAGGGTAGCACTTAAGAGTAGTGTGGATATGGATATGGATAAGTACCATCAAAACCTCGGAGACGGAGCTGATACTGAGCACGTACATGGTGACTCCCACGTCCACTGGCGGGCCTAAAAACCGCAAACATTCTTTTCAGTCTCGGAGGAGTCTTTTTGCAGGCTTAATGAAAACCAAATCAAACTCGTCAAACGTGCCCGGGCCTGCCCGGCCCTTAAATTGCGCGCCCGGACCTGGACCGAGGACGGGACATACTAATTTTCAATTTCAATTCACATAACATAACATAACAACTAGTACACTGGCCAGGATACGTTTACTGTGGCCCGGGAACTTTACGACAATTTTGGACAATTTGACGATGCCGACAAGCATAAAATCATCCAAAACTGATTTAAGAGCCTGCGCCACAGAAAACATCTAATTTTTTTGACCAGTCTCAATCCGATATCGATTTTTTGATAGATACCATCTGGACTTCGGATAAGGAGCTGATACTGAGCACGTACATTGTCACTCCCACGTCCACAGGGGGGCCTGCAAGCCAATAACCATCACATCAACACCCGCATCTCTCCTTTTTTATCTAGTACCGATCCCCCCTTTGCCCCAATTTCCCCCCCGTCGCTTCCCCAGGCCGCCAAGCGCGCGAAAGAGGATTCAGCACCGCGTTCTTACTTTCTTTATACAGTTACTAATAAATGATGTTGAAATAACGATAAGTTAGTTTTAGGACTTCTTAAAAAGAAAGAATGAAGAGGCTTAGGTACTTATTTTTATAGCAATTGTCCTAAAGTAACTTTCATTGCTTCAGCAGTGATTCACCAAAATCTCTATCACAAAAACTGATTAATCACATAATCAAAACAAAAATAGTTGCTATAGCAGTGTAGTATGCTTGCCGTAATAATAATAATAATAACAAATAAATATTGCTTTTTTTGGTTTTGAATGCAAGACAATGCAACTAACTTTGTACCATTTTGACTTCGGATAAGGAGCTGATACTCAAGACGTACATGGTCACCCCTACCACTACCGGAGGACCTGAAACTCACCATCACCACGTCACAAATGGGATTATCTTAGTCTGTCACTGCACTGCGCTGGAAAGACCGTACCTTCGCTATGAGAGTTATTCGCGTCAACAAACGGGATTTCGAAAAATTTTATGCTGTCTTAATATTATTTGTAGATGAAACAATCTAATTAGTAAATCTAGTCTACTAATTTTAGAATTATAACATATATAACATAACCTCATATACAGAGTAAAGTAGACACTTTATAGTTATTGGACAATTAGCATTAATACTGTAAAAACAAGAGTTCTATAAATAGTTACCTTAAAGTCAAATCATTAGATGACGCTTTATACAATTATAAATATTCATATATATCCATAACATCCCTAGTTAATACAGTAAAAAATTTATATATAAAATGATTAATTTTACTCATGTCCCAGACATTTTTTCCGTTGCGTTACGTCCGTCGCGTTACCGATATAATATTTAAAAAAACATATATATGGCAACTTTTTTGGTATTCACGTGATCAACAAATGATGTTCGGACGTACACATTACCCAGCTGAATTCATTTATTCAATCAGGAAGAAGATATCGGTTGAAACAGGTGCGGGTAATGCGAATGTAATAATTGTTTGTCCGCTAAGTTACTCAAAAAAATAATAAAAATAAAATAAAAAAAATACTATTTTTCATGTTTATGTTTGTTTTAGGGCACTAAAGCTAATTGAGAGTAATTAATGACTATAATGTCTTATTATTATTTTTTAAATATGGTTTTACAAAACTTTGTCCACTGCTTTACCGAGTTCACTATGTTACCTTACGGTAACGCAGTGGAATTTAGGGTAACGCAATAGAATTTTTCGACAACAAAGTGGATATTTACCGTCGCTTTTATTAAAAGTAGTTTATGATTAACCAATTTTAAATTATTTGTAATTACAAAACTCATGATATAGATTACATCCAAGGAAAAATTCCACGCAATATAAAAGTACTAAAAGGGACCTTCACCAGCTTATAGTCAAAGAAAAAGGGTGTCTACAATTTAGAAATCTAAGTTGTTATTCTGCAAGTGAGCACCACTACAAAGGATTTTGTTTATGCATTACTCTAAAATCGTACCACCCTATATAGTTTCTTTTTTACGTTATCTGATTAAGTCCTTTGTGTATCCCTGTCCGTTGTGATATCAATGTCTATTTCTTTACTTTTTTTAGTTTTGTTAAAAAAATACTTAAAATGATTTTTATACACTATGTAATACGTGTTTATAAGTTTAATTCACTAATACAGTGACTAAAAGAAAATATTAATGGTATTGTTTTTTTAACAAAGAATCGGAATGGTTTCTTTTAAAAAGTGACTTAACGAACATACATATTTAAAAAAAAGCATACAATTTTTAATAATAATAAAAAAAAATTGCAGTCAAAAGTTTGTGAACTAGGTACATTTTATTTCAAATTATTTTTATAACAACTTTTTTTATTGAATTAAATTTTGGATTTCAAATTGGTAACACAGTGGCTAAACACATTTTTCTGAAAAAAACGTAAAAAAATTAAAAAGTGCACTGCCTGTCTTAAATGTAAGTAAACAAAACTAAACATTTATAAAAATCCAACCAAAAGTCAATTTAAGCAAAAAAAATATTTTGATCTTTATTTTCCTGAAAGCGGGTGTTTCTTAAAAATGACCCTTACATAAAAATTGTAAATGTCCAATAACTATGGTCCAGCTTTATATCTCGAGAACTACAAGTTGTACGTAAATTTTGTATGGAACCATTTTCATTCAGATTTAGCCGAAAAATAAATTTTATAACCACAATCAATATTTTGCGAGATAATCAAGAAAAACTGTTTTTTTGCAACGCCAACACAATTTCACTTGGGTCTTTTGAGCCATCCCTAATTTGACTGGATTTAAATTTCTCTATATAGCATATTCGTTAAATTTTGTCAATTTCACGGCCTTGAATTAGCGAAATTTTAATCATCTATCGACTTTACGTAATGCTCCTTTAATTTTTGTTAGTTAATAGTTAATCACGCTACCTCTGAATTTTGTGTTGTTATTTTCTAATTTAAAATGCCCCCTTATTGCAGTTTACATGACCTTGATAAGTTATTTTTAATCAATATAAGTACAATACATAGTAAGTTTAGAAATTATTGTATTGTTCTTAACTTTTAGTAATATTAATAACATAATGTTTACTTGCATACAATAACTGTGTAAATATATTGTAACAAAGAAAATTTTAATTTGTTTGGTTTACTTATTGACAAACCCTAATGTTTATCATGCTTTCTTAAATAAATATTTAATTTATCACCCAAAACAATAATTTTATATTTACATTTCATAACATTACAATTTGATATTTTTAATAATTACAGTTCCAGTAATTAATCTTTCTTAGTGTTAAACATTTCTGAAATAATGCCTTGTGACGTGAGGATTAAACGTAAATTAATGTTGGTTATAACCTTTGAAGATGTCCAGTTTGTTAATCTGTAAAACTTACACTGCATAAATAAGTGCTTGTGTGAAAATATCTAAAAAAAAATAGCGTGTTTTTGGTGTGCTCAACAAGCTTTAAAAGCAATTATTTTAATTAATATTTAACCCCCACCATATTTAATGCTAATACCGAAAGATGCATATTTTTTATAATAACAGCGTTGGAAAACTTATGTTTTAAAGCATGTTTTCTTGGCGTGACTTTACTATTATTATTTTTATATTAATGTACTAAAGATTGAAAATATACCACGTTTACGCGTGATACCGATTATAAGCTTTTGATATACGAAATTATTATTAATTAAATGGTACTAATCGTGTGTTATAACGCAATACATCATGCTGCGAAAAAATTTTGTTTATGCATTAATTACATGGATACCTTAATATTTTTTAAAAATATTTATAAAAAAAAACCTTACTGTGATATAGTACACTTTACGGTGGATAGGTTTTAAAATGGCAAATTAATGAACTTAAACATTTGAATTATAAAACAGCAACACTCTCATCTGCATATAAATTCGAATTGACCTTCAGGAATCACATGCATCTATAATGTAGTAAACAGAGGTTTTTGCTTATTTAAAATGATTAAAGCGCCATCCGTTGCATAAAATTTAAAGCAAAAACAGATTCACGTTCATTTTTTATACTTGCAAATGACCCAGTTTGCTTTTAGCTTTTTTTGGATCATTTGTGGATTTAAATGTTTTTTCCAGACTCATAATTTATCACAATTTTTAAATGATGGCTAAAGAAACATCAATCAGCCTTACGCTTCTTTTGAGCTTTACTGAAATGAATAAACTTTTAAAGCATACACATCGCATTCATAATTTTTTTTTCATCATTAGTGTACGTTATATTTGATTTTTCCAGTCTGCATTCAAATGTCAAGGTTCACTATACATTTTGTATGAAGATTTTATCGCACATATTTCCATAATTATTAACCGTGTTCTTTTGTAGAACGCGGCAACGATAAATTTTTGTATGTTGAATGTTTAAAGATATTTCTCGGGATGCTGATAACGAATGGCTTTTTTGCCGTGGGTGTTATGCTCTCTAAATGGGCTCATCACAGTGAAATCATATTTTACGGTCGCCTCTCTTTTTTGCGACTGTCATAACCTTGGGGTTTAATATCAGCATCCTCATGATACCCATCTTCTGATAGAGTAAGTACAATCTACAAGTTTGATTATTTTTGAATTTGCTTTATGTATAATAACAAACCAGTCAAATATGTTTTTAGAGGTAACTTTCTGAACCCAAAGCAACATTTTGATTTTTTTACCACACATAATTTCTTTGAATTAAGATTATAATTCTCATTATCAAAATAATTTTAAATGTAAATTTTTGATAAAGCAATCGAATCAAATATAAAATATTATTAAAATTAAAAGAAATAATTTTTATAACCATTTATGTAGGTGTTACAAAAATTGATTCTATCCTCCGTGAATCTGTTTTTTCTTTAAATTTCATGCAACGGGTGGCGCTTTATTCATTTTAAATAAGCAAAACCACTGTTTACGACTTTATAGATGCATGTGATTCCTGAAGGTCAGTTAGAATTTATATGCAGATGAGAGTGTTGCTGTTTTATAATTCGAAAGTTTAAGTTCATTAATTTGCTATTTAAAAACTTATCCACCGTGAAGTTTAATATCTCAGTAAGTAGTTTTTTTATAAATATTTTATATATGTACAATTGTATTTTTTAAAAATATTAAGGTGTCAAAAGACATCTCAATAAATTTACCCATTACTAACTAGTTAAATATTTGGTTTATAGGTAAATTCAGGTTATTTCAAGAGTTTAATTTTCATATTTTAACATAATAAGAAAATTCCTATGGTATATTATATTACTAATCCCGGCGCATTCGCCATTTTTTAAACTAGCCGGTGAATTCACCATTTTTGTGACTTTACTAAACCCCTTCTTTTATCAAATTGTTTTACTTATTTTTGGAGTGTATTATTACTAATCCAAAATTTGCTTAAAATAGTACATTAAAGTACAAGTAAGAAGGCCACATATTGCAAGAATTTCTCAATTTTGTTTTTTTTTTGGTCATTGGAGTTTTTCTTAAAAAATATGTTAGTTGCTAACACTAACTGACAGGTAAATTTACTATTGTTAACTAAAATATAAGTGTTGTACTCTTTTTAAATGTTTAAACAATTAAGAGTAAAATGTCACAAAAGGTTTTATTTACCTCATTAGCTTATTTACTTGTCAATGTTTATTGAAAGGAATATAACTAATCCTAAAAGTCTGGACATTTTTGAGGATACCAATACTTGAAAACTAAAAGAATGATTCATCATCATTCATCAAACGATTTTGGGGGAGAATATGAAATTCTTAAACAAAGCAAACAGTGGCGTAGATTTTAAATGCAAAATTGACAAGTTATTGTTTCGAAATCCCCGTAAGTTGGCTTTTCACGGTGGTAAAAACTTTAGTATAGGACGAACAAAAATGCCAACCAAAACTGATAGCATATTTGATTATAGACCCTTTTGGTAACACTAACATGTATTTATCAAAATCCCAGCTGATCCTATTTTAAAGTTTTGCAAACTTTTTTGTTTTTCTATTTCTATGTATTATTTTGCAATTATTGTACTAAAACTACCTGTACAATTTTAATAAAATTAAGCAAAATAATAAACTTTGTATCATTTAAATTACTTTACTCCCCAGTATTAATTTATTGAGTCACTTATTATTGTTTACCACTCAAAATAAAACAACAAAAAAAAAACGAAGATTTATATCTTAAATATTTTTTATAACAAAAAATAGTGGAAGTTTGTCTATGAAATAATTAAAACAATAATTAAGGTGGTTATGAAAAAAATTGCTATACGTTATAACGCAAGTGACATTTTGCTTTAGTTGTTTACTTAATGTATACTTTATAAAGTTAAAAATAGTATTTTAAAATGAAAATTAAACCGAAATTCAAGTTAAGCCGTGAAGAAAATCGAAAGAAGGTATGTGCTGGCTGTGGAGACAAAATTGTTGTTGGTAATCGAAAAATTCAGAGTTTAGGGTTTCTGAGAAAATATAAAAATTACTGCAGACTTTTTCAAAGAACACTTTTACTAAAGTGATTCAAAATTACCTACTTCAATATATGGTAAAAACGGTATTTTTGCATAGCCACAATTGCCAAATTTTCAAAATTTAGAAATTGCTAGAGAATTTCGCGGCAGCCAAGAATGTATGTGCAAAATGGCAAGATATAAAGGGCATAAAAAATTATTAAGGGAAGAGGACGGACGAACGAACTAAAGTTTTGATATGCTCTTCGTTTCTAGGGGATATCGCTAGATGTAAGAAGCATGTTTGTACAGAGACTGAAGAATTTAAAAATACTGTTTCCATGTTAAAAACAATTCCATGTAAAACCCAAGAAAAAGTTTTACTGAAAATTTAAGGCAAGCAGTAATCGATTTTGGTTCAAAGAATCTTTAGTAAGAAATATGCAAACCTTTAATAAAGGATCAGCTGGGATTTTGATAAATACATTTTTGTGTTACCAAAAGAGTCTATAATCAGATTATGCTATCAGTTTTGGTTGGCATTTTTGTTCGTCCTATCCTTTAGTTTTGATCACCGTGTTTGATATTGTTGACGAGATCGCAGTAAACTGGAGAGGTACGGTCTTTTAGCTAGCGCCCGGTCAGCGGATGCAGGCAGAATGGCGGTCTGGAGAGAGCATCTCTCAGAGATGCTGCGCGTCGCTAGGCAACCCGCCTAACATCGATTTGGCCCCACCCTGTGTTCTCGCGACCCGAGCGCCTTTACGAGACCGCCGCCCCTGTCTTCCTTGCAACAAATGCAACCACCAAGTGCAAGGGCGACGATCGCGGCAAACGAAAATTTTAACGCAAACAAATCAAAATTCGACCACTCACCTCCGTAGTTTGGTCTTACTCTTTTGTCATAGCTGACGCTAAAGGAGTCCAATATGGCCGAAACGTTCACGTCTCCCAAGTAGCTCCCACCAGGCGATCTGCAAAAACAAAAACAAAGCTTCACCAACAATAACATTGCCACCAACAACTCTTTCATCAAACATCCATCAGCTTTCTGCACAAATAAAATCCACCAACAGAAAAGAGTTTATTTATTGTGCAGAAAGCCATCCAAAAGTACAAAGCAAATTACACATAACAGGAAGTGTCCAATAAGATTACGATATACAGTGCACGCAAAAGCCTAGCCTAGTCTGTGTGTGTTGAGCAAATATATCAAGAAATTAATTTATAAATTTAGGCATGGACAGATAACCTTGAAAGATTCATTGTTTGCGAACTGACTTATATTAATTACCCTCTACTGGACACTGAATTGATTGTTTACTTTTGGATAACTGCAATCTATGCATTTAAATCTGGGATTTTAGATCTGGCGAGGAAAGGGTTATTTTGTTTTGTGAAAAATCATATTATAAAGCTATTTAAGGCGTAACACAAGAATGAACTTACCCAGCTGAAACCCACGGAAGGATGTTGAGGGCCAGCAGCACGGTTGGCCACAACACCATCCGGCTTCGCCCCATGGCGATGGGTTTTACACGTGTCCCCTTTCTCTCGTCATTTGGGCACAGTTCACTCGCAAGGTTTGCAGTGTCACATCAGACACCGACACTAGGAGTGGTCTGAGAGCCCGGTTTCCAGCAAGCAACCACTGCGCATGGTGCACGAAACGTGCGAAATAATTGCAGCCCCCATTCGCAACACCCTTACCCGCTACGTCTACCCTTACGCTCCGCGACGTAATAGAAGGAGATAGAGGGTGTTGCGGATGTCGCGCATGGCGGCTGGTGGCTTACGGACCTGGAGAGTGAGCCTCGACCAATCAATACCAGCCGCCCTATCTGCGATTCTTGTTGTGCCCTCTTCTCTCGTGACGTAATATCAGTCAACACTGATACCTGTAAGCAACAGTAATCGCAGTAAGGCTTTTGCGAGTTACCTACTCGATTATGCACCCATGTCGCCGATGGAATGTCAACTTCCACTGGCTAGTTGAAGGGTCAATGCGCAGCCTGGATATGCTTTTATAATTCTAACGGATTCAGATTATTACATTTGCAAAAATGGCGAATGCGCCGGGATATTCCCTCAATAATAAAATATTTAAATAGGGTAAACCACATCACGGTGCTGTTCTAAGAGGTGATTTTTGGACTTTCTGTGAAACCTAATTTTTTTTATATTCTTGTTAATTAGGTTATAACTAAAATTTTAAAACAAAATAAAAAAAATTTGACGGTTTGAATTGTTTTAATTGGATGTTTATTAAAAATATTTATGCACACTTTCAATTCTCCAAACTTGCGATTTTATTTAAATATTATCATAACTTTTTAAATCAGATTAAAGATTAGTTAATTTCCTAAAAAAAGGTCTATACATTTTTTATATCTTTTACTGTTTTGTTGTAATACACGTTTAAAATTTTAATTTAAGGTTAAATGACATTGTATAGTATACATTTATTAAACAATAATTCTAAGGGTGCCACATTTTATTTAGGGCCGATTTATTCATTTTTGATTTATTTGACGAATAATTTCTTTGGATACTAGATATTGCCAAGACATGAAAGATATCGGCCCGATAAACTTTACTAAAGATGAATAAACCGGTCCTTAGTTAAATTTCATGAATTTCTTCGTAACTTTTACTACAATTTTTTATTTTTGTTTATAAAAAACACTTTAAAAAACTAAACAAAAATACGTATACTGAAAATGACAATTCAAACGTCAAATAAATTTTTAATAGATCTAAGTTTCATGGCAACCTTTAAGGATATATTAATTAAGGGAACATAAATGTATACGTCAAAGGTTAGATTAAAAGTTTGAACGTTTATTGCAACAAAACAGTAAAATATATAAAAAAAAATTGTAAAAACCTTTTTTTAGTTATGCAAATATTAAATATTTAAATTAAATCGCTAGTTTTAATTGGATAATTGATAGAGTGCATAATATTTTTCATAAACAGCCAATTAAAACAATTCAAACCGTCAAATTTTTTTTATTTTGCTCTTAAAATTTTAGTTATGACCTAATTAACAAGAATATAAAAAAATTAGGTTTCACAGAAAGTCCAAAAATCACCTCTTAGAACAGCACCGTGACATAGTTATTGGACACTTATGATTATATTATTTATTTAAAATATATATATGCCGTTGTTTGGTCTGACTTCTGAAATAGTTTGTTGCAAATGACGAAGAAATCACTGTATTACTTACTTTCTAAAAATGAATTAGTCAAAAATGTCATAGCGAAAAAGCAGACACTAATAATTCTCGTCAACAGCAATTTGTGTCCTAGACATTTCGCAGTCAATTCCTATGAAATATTATTCGCTGAATCCAAAAATATCGTCAAAAGTTATAAAAGTAAAACAGGTTTTAAAATATAATCAATTTTACATATAACATGGAATTGACCATATCTCAAAAACTACTTAACTTTTATAGTTTTTGACGGTCTTTTCGGATTCAGAGGACAATTTTACATAAGAATTGGCTGGTAAATGTCCGGGATACAAATAGAGTATGATATTGGACTTATGTCCAATAATAGAAATTTACATTTTTTACCAACCAGTAATTGGACACTGGCCATTTTACTGTTTGTTTTCAGAAATAAAATTAAAACGCATTAAAGTGACAATGTTTCTAAACCAAAAAACATTATTTTAAAGAAAGAAAACACTGTTAATGATAATCCATTAAAAGATGCTAATACAGTGGATTTCAAAAAGGAGTTCCTCAGGGTTAAATTCTTGGCCCTCTTCTGTTCATCTGATATGTAAATTATTTGCCTCAATGTCATGATAATATTTTTATGTATGCAGATGATACTACCGCAATTTTTAAATCTTTCATCAATAAATTATTTAACATCTAATATTGTTTTAACACAAGAAAATATATTTCAGTGGTTTCAAGACAACGGCCCCAAGTTAAATGTAGGCAAAACACAGTATATTATGTTTGAAAATTATGGATTTACTAATAGCAAAATTAATATTAATAATAATTGTACCATAGAGCTAGGTACCTCAATTAAATTTTTAGGCCTTACTTTGGACAATAAATTGTTATGGAAAAATCAAACAGATAATGTTGTAAAGAAAATAATAAGTATCTTTACTTACTCCTTAATTTAATTTTTAAAAAATGGCAGGCAATTTTTTTCATTATAAAATTAAACATATTTTGTAGTTTTAAGTATGTGACTCTTTTGTAAAAATTACCAATATATAATACAAAAAATAATTGACAAAAATATAATAAATAATATTAATTAATATAACTAATAATATTTAAAAAAATATATAATTTAGCTACATATAGTTTTAAAATGTTTCAAACATTTCTATTTTTCTTTAAGAGGTTGGGTCAATGTGCATCCCAGAAAAGCTTTAGTTGGACTCGCACCAAACGGAACAGAATTTCGAGCGATCGTAAATTACCGCTTTATTTTATACACATGATATCCACTTCCTTAAATTATATCCGTTATTTTTCACGATAGAACCCGAGACAATAAAAATATCACGTCCGAGCTCACTTTGCTTTAGTTTTTGCTTTATTACTTATATTACTCTTGTTTAATCGCTACCCAACTGAAATTTTAATTAATGTTAAAAAATAACATCTTAATACTTGGGGCATTAAATCATATTTTTAAATATTGTTTAAAATTTTAGAAATTGTTAAATATCTCTGGAATTATGTAGGGTAAACCTCATAGTTTTGGACACTTATATGAATATTTGAATTTTTAATATTAGTTTTATAAAAACATGCAAAAAATTATAGTAATTGGACATTATATATAGTAATTGGACAAATTCGCTTTTGTAAATATCATATAATTCATATATTTCTTTCTCGGATTCCTCATCCCTTTTCTGAATTCTGAAGGTAATGTTTAGGCCGGAACAGGATGATATATACTGCCGTGCTTAATGAAAACGCCGTAACCAACAATTTTGAGATTTTTGTTTTACGGCATTTTCTACTAGAACAATTCATCCTGCGTCTATCCCCGGTACTCAAGAAACCGCATCTATATATATAAAGGTTTTTTGAGTACCGGGGATAGACGCAGGATGAATTGTTCTAGTAGAAAATGCCGTAAAATAAAAATCGCAAAATTGTTGGTTACGGCGTTTTCATTAAGCACGGCAGTATATATCTAATATTTTTTCGGGGGGTACGTTAAAAGTATTTTCCGAATTTATTAATTCACTGTATTTAAATCACTGTTATTCTGCAAGATGTCCTGTGACGAAGAAATCACTATATTACTTACTCTCTAAAAATGAATTAGTCAAAAATGTCATAGCCCCTAATAACTCTCGTCAACAGCAATTTGTATCCTGGACATTTAGCAGTCAATTCCTACGAAATATTATTCGCTGAATCCGAAAATGTCGTCAAAAGTTATAAAAGTATAACAGTTTTTGAAATATAATCAATTTTACATATAATATGGAATTGACTATATCTCAAAAACTGCTTAACTTTTATGTTTTTTGACGGTCTTTTCGGATTCAGGGGGCAATTTTACATAACAATTTTCTACCCTGCTCTTGACAAAAAAAACAAAAACCTTTGAGATGTTATTATTAATTTTCATAATGCATTTATATCGTTGTTTTCGGATACCCTGTATATAACTGACCTTTGTATAAAAGCAAACAATTCTGATTCGTTTTAAGTCATTAAATTTGGTAAAAGCTTTTAAACTTCCGCTTACGCTGGTCTAAAGTTAATTTAACTTTAACTATTTTTAGCCATAAAGTTATGAAAATATTTGTACATAAAGTTTGAAACAAAAATAATTTTATTACTATCAAAACCACTTTGCCGTAATGTTCATCGTCAAAGTAATTATAGTGAACAATATTAATGCTGATAAATTATAAATCAGTTAAATCCGTACCTTAAAGTTTGTGGGTACCATATAATTTAAATGAATAGCTTTACACGACACTTTAGTTAAATATGCATTCATTTAATTATAATCTAATTATATTTACCCATGCATTGTATAATTGCATGTAAATGAGGATTGTTGCCTTACCAAATTAAACTGTTTTAATATTGATATGATGAAAATATAGTTTTAAAAAGAAAAAATAATATTACGAAAATATAGAACTACTTTATTAAATTAATTAATATTCTTATTTTTAAGTAAAAGTAAATAAACATCTTAATATAGGGTTTGAATATCCCTATTTGAATGACCCTTATAAATTAGTTCGTAATGGAGTTTTAATATTATCTCCAAACAAAGAGCAATGATTGCAACTTTTGATAAATCTGGAAAAGTTGCTTGTAAAAGATCGAATCTTCCAAATTGCCCGCAACTTTTTGGATAAAATCGATTAAAAATTCATTAGTGTATGACACACTTTCAGATAACATCAGAATTAAATTAAGCAAAGTTTCGTTTTACAAAAGAAAATATCACATCGTGGTTGTTTTGTTAAATGTTAATTTAAATGCCAAAAATACCGTTTCCATTATGAAATTTAATATCGGCGTACTTTTTACAATGCCCAGTTATTTTTACGCCGAAAAAAGCAATTAATCACACGGAAGCATTTGAA